AGAAGACGCTGGCTTGGAAGAGGACGCTGGTTCAGAAGAAGATGCTGGCTTGGAAGAGGACGCTGGTTCAGAAGAAGACGCTGGCTTGGAAGACGAAGCCGCTGGTTCAGAAGAAGACGCTGGCTTGGAAGAGGATGCTGGTACAGAAGAAGCCGCCTTGGAAGAGGACGCTGGTTCAGAAGAAGCTGGCTTGGAAGATGGGGATGGAGTTGGCTCCAAAACTATGACATTAACCTGACAGTTACCAGAGCTAGCTGGTTGGGTGACAGTGGTGGTAAAGGCACCAGTCCAGGTGGAAGTAGAGATAGAGGTCAGGAATGGGTTTTGAACCACAACAGTCTGGGTAAGATCAGTGGTAGCAAATGGAAGAGTGCTAGTCACGGCTTGGCTGCCAGTCCAACAGCTAGAAGCCGTCACAATGGTGCCGACTTGACCGGAAGAGCCACCACTGCCGGAAACTACGTTGTAGTTGACTTTAACAGCAGTAATCTTAGGAGAAGAGTCACCTTGGCATTGGATACTTTCGTAATAGGTAATCGATTGGGCATTGCCTCTGTTGGCGTCAACAAAGACTCTTTCACCCGGCTGGAGATTGGTGTAAGTAACAGTGACCAAGTTGGTGGTACAAACAAGCTGAATATTGTTAGACGAACCAAAGGTTTCTGGGAAAGACCAAGCGTTGATCGAGTTAGAGGTGTAGGCAAAAGTGTTGGAGCAGTCGAACCCACCATCTGGGTTGATAATTTTCAACTCACCCAGCTCGATACCACTAGAAGGACACTGCTGGGACAACATGTATTCCTGACGAACGCCAGTTGGAAGGTTGTGGGAGTAATAGTTCAAAGCAGACTTCCAAGAGTACTTACCAGAGTCAAAGGTTACAGGAGCGGTCAAGCTCTGGCCACCAGACTGGCTCCAAGTAATAGTGTTAGTACCAGCGGTGTAAAATTTGGCGTCAGACAAGTCTGCAGAGTTAGCACTACCACCAGCACCAAAAGAAACGGAGAACGACAAGGTACCAAAGACTCTGTCGACACCGGTGATGGCATTAGCAACAGTACAGGTAATGATAGTCGTCCCAGTGGAGGAGCCACCGGCGACACCCTTACAGGAGGCGTAATTAACACCGTCAGCGGTCAAAGGGAAAGTGGTAGCACTGACCATACGGTAGGTGTGTGGCATAGTGATGGTGAAAGTATCACCTGCAGCGACGGAGCTGTCAAGCGACCAGTCGAGAGAAGCCAGCCAACCGTTGAAAGGCATCTGCTTTCCAGACTGGTTCAAGTCGACGGTCTGCTTCAACGAGAGATTGCTGAAAACATTAGAAACCTCGGCAGCGGCGACCGACTGCAAAAAGAGGAGGGAAAAGGCAACACTGCTAAATAACTTCATCGTGTGTTGGATGTGGCTAATCAAAGTTCACCAATGAAAGCTCTAGCGGGACTGCTGGCTTTATATACGAGCCTATTTCTGGTTATATTATTAGAAGCAGGGACCTCATAGGGGATATTTGGTATACTTGAAACTCATTACTGGAGTGAAATGCAGCCGAGCTTCACGAGGCGCCCGAGAATATCGATTAGTCCAAGCGAGAGCTTCTGCAGCAGCCCACATATCCAAGCTATATGCAAGTTTCTCAGGAGAGTTCCACATATTTCGGCTAATAAGGAGAGAAATCGAACTAACAAAGCTCGAAACGTCGGTTACTTAGGCGAAGTATTTAGGGGCACTTGTACTTGGCGTTAAATCTTGCATGGTCGCTTACGCAGGTATTATGCCCCTCCTACGCCTCAGGTTCCCAATCTGGACGCAAGCCCTGGTGTCCATGCAGGAGAAGTGAGGGTCGCTGAGAGACGGTGAGCCGAGAGCCAAGCAATGGCAGCTTCCAGTACGCCTCGATATTTTGGGATCGCATTGATTCGCTGCATTTTGTTCCTTCTATTGTTCCGTGAGGTTCAATTTACTCGCGCCTGCGAGGGTCCATCAAAGTCCATTTGTTTAAATAGCGGGCCAAAGCCGCGTGTGCCGATACGATTTGCCGAGGTTATTTTTTTTTTGGTAATTATCTCATACAACAGAATACTGCCTGTATGGTTGCTATGGTACTATTGTTGCACCTTTCTAGAATTCATTAGTCCGCTATTGCGCAACTGGCACCTCGCGCCGCTCACCGGAATGCACCGTTAATAATGTAGCTCAGTGAATATCCTGATTTGGTCAAATGCGGCGCTCCTAAACGGGCTTTCCTTGGCAGTCCTAGGAGGTTGAAACACTAGCCTTACAGGATGGCTAGAAGCCTTCCGTTTGTTTCCTCTACACGACACCACTACACATGCCCCCTTCTCCGTCTGGACATGTGAGGATAGTGTTTACGGGCAAACTTAAAACTCTGGAAATCGAGATACTCAATGTCAGAAATGATATTCTTGATATCTCGCCACCTTTAAGATCTTTTGGATCTGTGTCAATGTAGAGTCTCTGCTCCTGGGCTGCACTGTCAGAAAGAGGTATATAACGGCGAGGGGGAAGCGGCGTTCGGAATGAGCTAGGGGGGACTGCGAAATGTTTGATCGCCGTTTTGAGACCGGAATGGTAATGTAAAGCCCCTGGGCGCATCACGAGGTTAGCACGACTAATGTATAAATAGCGTAGAGCTGGCCTATGGTTAGACCACCTACTAGTAAGGTAGTGTATACAACTGTGCCTGCGAAACCGCCCCATGCAGCACAGCCGTGTGATTGTATTCCCCTTGGTATAAAGGAGTGAAACGCAGGCGAATGCCCGTGGGCTATAAAATCCGCTAGGCTGCGAAAGTACATAGGCGTACCTCGTGGAATTCCTGCTGTACATATACTGACGACCAGGCGTATGGTAGATTTAGATCTGTCAAAAGAATAAAAGTAGCCTCGCCATTCGTTATCGGGAACGTGAGCTCATTTGGACGTCTCGAATATATAGCTGCCCCACTCATCTATATCCATATATACACATGCAAGTTTAATACCTTTCGTGGTTATTAGCCTATGCGGCTTGGATCGCTATCCACTCCTATATGCCCCTTGTCTCCACTGTAAATTAATCCAAAGTATTGGTGGTATTTCTATTAACAGCAAGACTAATGTTTCTTAAATTAGATAGCATGCTTTTCACATTAAACCCTTAAAGAGAATAAAGATTATGACCCTTTATGTATTTTGAGGCGCCGATACTATCCCGTTATCCGTGCACAAATGACAAGTGGGAGTCACGACGCGATATGCACAAAGGTCAAACCTTTAGCCCTATATTACTGGTGCTGGTGTCACACAACCTTGAAGCATATATACTTTTGTTGGCTTTTCAAAGATATGGCTAATATTAGCGATTGCTTGCAATGTCTGCAAAGCAACATGGGATTAAACTATATATCGTATGTATAACTTGAGCTATATATTAGTATCCACCTTAAAATAAGAGCGTACATATATATATATATTATATATTATATATTATATATTATAACAAATTACATAAGCAAAAGTACAAATACCTAGAGTATGTTTCAGATGTTTTGCCAATACCCATCTAACTATATCGCTGCAAACTATACGTCTGGGCTCTATACCTGCTACTACATCGAAAATAGGCCAAGCCTGCAAGTTTCACTCAACAAATAAAAGGTAGAGAGGAGGACAAAAAAGTTAGCGGTGAGACAGTCCTTTTAATCTTGCAACTTCTAGCACAGAGAACCATAACTTTATATACGAATGTTCTGGTTTATATTCCTGCCGCTCATACCATACCAAACATAACTGGCTTACATCATACCAGTCATGCCACTCGTGTCTGCCAGATAGCTATAACTGGCGTACGTCATCCCACAAAGGTGAAATCGCAGGCATTCTGGCACACTTACATACCATGCCACTGACGTCGCATTCGGTGTTTAACAAACAATAATAGATAAAAATATGACTAAAACACACCTACACAACTTGTCTTCTGGACTTATCGCCGGCTGGGGTGTAGTTCTTGCCCTTCTGGAAGGCACTCTGGGCTTGGTGGCCGCCGGCAGCGAGTCTCTCATTTCTCTCGGATAACTGGCCAATCTTTTCAGTCAAGGTCAAGGTCATCTCTTGCAACTTGGTCAATTCGCGGCCCTGGAAGACGATGGAATCGGTCTGCTGGCTCAAGGTGGCGGCAATTTCGTCGTTGAAGACCATCTTGGAGACAACGGCGCACACCTCCTCGGAGGAGAGCTCAAACACTGCGGCAAGGTGCGCAATGGACAACTTGCTATACAAGGTTCTAAAGGTGAACACATAAGTTCTCAAGCCCTCGACCTGCAACTTGGTGCGCATCATGGCCTTGAGCTCCTCGGCATCTGGGAAGAGGTTCCAGATCTTGATCGCACACAAGAACTCGTGCGCCTTCTTCCAGTCGCCCGCCTGCAACGCCTTTGCGGCGTGCAACACGTGATCGCGGGTATTCTCCGGTGGGCCGGTGAAGTACTGTCTGTCGTAGAACTCCAAGGAACGTCTGAAAGACTTGGAGGCAGTCTTGCGTTTATAGTCGGATGCCTGGGCCGCGATCTGGGGAATCTCGAGCAACATAGAGCCGGTCATGAAAGCGGCCTCCAATAACTCGAGGTTGGTGTGCATGTGGTACGGCAACAATCTCTGCTTGTCAGCGGCGGTGGTGGTCTGGCTGAACTTGGCGGTGCCCTGACCCAAGAGCTCTTTGGAGCGCGGCGACGTGGCAATCTCCTGGAGGACCTGCTGCGACTCGGCAATCAAGCCGGCGCGGAACGCGCAAAGCCCCAATTGCACTAACGCGCGGTTGAAGAGTACCTGCACCTGCGGTTCGGACGTGTGGATGGTTGCCTGGAGGTGCGAGAGAAGGAACATGTCTCTGGCCTTGTAGTACTGGTTGTTCTTGGCATAGTAGTAGATATGCGAGAGCATGGCGCGCTTGCGGAAGACCGAGTTTTGCGTGTACAATAAGGAGCACAACGCATCGACGAGGGTGTCCGCGTCCGCGACACGTGGGGCAACGGTGGAGTTCTGTGCTTCAGGAATACCGCTCCACGCCTGGGCCTCTGCCGCGGCGATCAAAGATACCGGCTTGTAGTAGATGTGGTCGAGACGGCGGAGCACGAGACGCGCAAGCTGTTCACTCGTGCGTGCGGTCGCCTCCGCATAGAGCTGTGCGCGCACAAGCAATGCATACACACGCGCCTCGTCCTTAAGACGGTCGCTGTACTCGGCCGCATGCGAGTCGATGCTCTGTAACGAGCGCGCGAGCTCGTCGTCAAGACGTTCCACGAAACCACCCGCAGACCCCAAGATCTCCTTGACCCCCGCGGCATTTGGCAGCGGCTCGGTCTCGAGATTGTCGGTGGCCTCCGCAGTCTCCAAGAGCGCAACAGTGGCGGCGTTGGTCTCCAACACATCAAAGAGTGCATTGATATCGGCTTCCGCCGCCATCCACTGCTCGAGTGACATGTAGGCGGCGTTGGCAGAAACGTCGAAACGGATCGGAATCATCATCAAGTAGACGGAGATCTGCTCGAACGGCGTCTTGGCAAGCTGGGCGAGGTCCTCCAACTCTTGGATCTGCTGGAAGCGGTCCACGTTCTTCTTACCACGCGTCTCAGCGATGGTCTGGAGCGTCGCAAAGATGCCACTAGACGCGGCGACCGCGCGCACAACGGGAGCGGCCTCTTCCGCGTCGCCGCCCGCACGGAACGCATCCACACGCGCCTGGAACTCACGCACCTGCTTCTTAACCCTCTGGCGGACCGTGTTATAGGCACGCGACTCGGACGCGCTCATCTTCTTGACATCAGTCTGCGCAGCGATCGCGTCGTCCAACGCGGCGAGCGCCTCGACGTAGAACGCCGGCGTCGCAATGCTCTGCTGCTGCGCCTTGGTCAATGCGCGGCCCAACTTGTCAAAGTCAGCCACAATCTTCACCCAGTCGCCCGCAGCCTTTGCGGCGTCAATCAGCGCGATGCAGTCGCGCATCTCATCCATCAACTTTTCCTTTGAGGACTTGACCACTTTTCTGCCTTCGTCATCGCTGTCGGAGTCAGAGGCATCTGTTTTGAGGAATGCCTTCTTAAGAAAGTATGCTGGGCCCAGGGCCGACGGGCCGTCATCTTCGGAGCTGTCGTCAGCGTCGTCGAACTCAGAGTCCGACTCGAGCGATTGTTCTTCTTCAGAGGAAGAAAGTTCTTCTTCGGAGGAGGAGGTCAACAAGTCCTCTTCTGAAGAGGACCCAGACTCAGAATCATAGCCAGCAGCAAAGAAACGGGACATGATCAATGGGCTGTTGGGGGAGTGAATTATAGAAGGTGAAGAAGCAAAACGAGTGTTTGATATAGCGTGGCGCGAATTTTTCCACGAGAATTTTTCCGGGACCAGAATTACCCGCCAAAGATGTCGGTCGCGCACGACTGAATTACAGCGCTTCAAGATGCCATATGGCTTGTGCTTATACTTTTGGATAATATATTGGCCCTATTAATAATTATAGATGATGCTCTGTTTGGTTTAGAATCTTAGACTAATACATGTTGGTGGATGTCATGGTCCAAGTTTATTATGTCTCCTTTTGTTGGATTATGGAATTTCCAGCGAGAAGCTTCTGCGCCACAGTGTGGTCGCAAACAACAAGATATGGCGGTAATTAATGGCATCGCACCACGGAATATGCATTAATGGGGCTATTTGCTAATAGAGGGGTGGGAGTGAGTTCTTGACAATTTATTTACGATCGAGATTATATTAACTATCGTCAGGACATGAACAAAGGGTCCTCTTTGTTTTAAGGAGGCACGCCACAACTACCAGAACCGGCAAGGCGTGGCGGGTTATGAGATATACGATAGTTTCTCAGTGATATCGCATGAGTTTAATTGGTCTACTTTGGAATAATAGAGGGCCATTAATGAGTGAAACTATTATAAAAATCCTGCATTTCGCAATGTGGTTATCAAGCGATGCTATTTTAATAAATAGGGGTATTTTCACTGAAGGGCTCCTCTGTGCCACAGCTACCAAAAACAACGAGTCTGAGACCATAGCCACTAGTGTCTAGATGTAACACTATTTCCCATGATCTGCTTTCGCGGGAGCAGTTCGATAATTTTTTTAAATACATTAATGTTTTATTTTTTTTAGATTTAATGTTGTCTCGGATATGAGCAGGCGTTCTGTCTACGGAAACTGGCGGATAAGCCACCTTACAATGCGGCAGTCGTGATATTGAAAGGTTAAGAAAATTAAGAGAATAGTGCCAATCTAATCTACCTGGATATTCTGGGAATTCGTTTTAAAGCCTTTTATCTGCAGCATTACTATAGCATGCTGTTTTGCTCTTTCTACTACATGCCTTGGCTCTGCTATATGTTTCTAGTCACAACCAAACAGACTGCTGCGCCACCTGCGCCTCGGAAGAAAAAAAATATATTGAAAAATACCTCTTATCAGTGACACATCCTACACACCAACCACCATTTTCTCATGTCATCCCGCCCAAAGAAAGTTGTCGCACCGTGCGAGTTGTGCCATGCTAGAAAACCGGTCATGAAGAGACCGAAGACACTTCAGAAGTTGTGTAAGGAATGCTTCTACCATGTCTTTGAGACGGAGATCCACCACACCATAACCAGCACCCAGCTCTTCCATAGGGGCGAGCGGATCGCCATCGGGGCCTCTGGCGGAAAAGATTCTACCGTTCTTGCACATATATTAAAGACCTTGAACGAGAGATACGATTACGGGTTGGAGTTGGTGTTGTTGAGCATCGACGAAGGCATCAAGGGCTATAGAGACGACTCTCTCGCCACCGTCCAGAGAAACAAAATCCAGTACGACATGCCGTTGGAGATTGTCAGCTATAAGGACCTCTACACATGGTCCATGGATGAGATCGTCAGCTGCGCCGGGATCAGAAACAGTTGCACGTATTGCGGAGTGTTGAGACGGCAAGCGTTGGACCGAGGTGCCGCGAAATTGGAGATCAGGCACGTCGTTACCGGCCACAACGCCGATGATATGGCAGAAACAGTGTTGATGAACTTGTTGAGAGGGGACACTGCCAGGTTGGAGAAGTCCTGTGCCATCTTGACCCAATCTTCCGGCTCCCCCATCAAGAGATCCAAGCCGTTCAAGTACACATACGAAAAGGAGATTGTTTTGTACGCCCACTACAAAAAGCTTGATTACTTCAGCACCGAATGCACCTACGCGCCTGAAGCGTTCAGAGGGACTGCCAGAACGTTGTTGAAGTCCTTGGAGGCCATCAGGCCTAGCTGCATTGTCGACATCATCCACTCGGGTGAGCACTTTGTGTTGCGAGAGAAGAAGAAGAGAACGGCACAGTACAAGAACGTGAAGAAGACTGACGAACAAGAGATCAATGCCGATGGGTCCGTATCTTTGAGCAACGGCAAAAAGGAGTTCAAGGACGGTAATCGGTGTGAGAACTGTGGCTACTTGTCATCCAACCGGATTTGCAAGGCCTGTGTGTTACTAGCCGGGTTGGAGGCCTCCAGGGCCAAGGTCACCATTGAGAACGATACGACTGCTGATGGGGCCGCCAAATTAGGCAAGGAGCTCGAACAATTGAGCTTTTGAGTACAAGTTTAGTGAATAATACTCTTGGTTTAATGTAAACTTCATCTTTGGTGTAGACTGTATCTGAGTCAATGGCTAGAAGAGTAGGTAGAAGGAACAAAGAGAGAGGGGATGAATGAGATATTTCAAGTATTGAGGGTCCACCTCAGGCAGACATTATAGTCGAGATGTATAAGGCGTTTTACCGAGATTACTTACAATGGATATGGATTTACGATCGGTAGACTACCTCAGAATTACGTATATTTTAGATTAAGGCAGGGGAATTGGACAGGCCGTAGCCCCTGAAAGAGCCCACCAAGTTTTGAACGGATGCAACATATAATCTGGCTACTGAGGATCCGCATTATGCGGCCAGAACCTGTCACTAATAAATTTAGGACCTTTTTTTCGCCAATAATAATATATTGTTGTATGTCACAAAAATGCCGAAGGATACCATGGCCTAGCGATGAAATGTGGCAGACTAGCAGTCCCCGAAGTACACAAATACGTGCATATGCCACATGCACAAGGGGAGCAGCGTCTAGCTGGTATCCCTTTTGTATCCCAGGACTACACGCTTCTTCAAATCCCAAGACTTCTAAAATGTATAAATACAGCACACTGGCCAACTAGAACTCGATTACATTACACGAGTACGAAGCAGTCATTCCAGGTCCCTCTAATGTCAGAAGAAACTCGTACCAGAAAACGTACGCGAATTGAAACCTTCCTGAATCATGTTTTCAGAGTTGCGATCCTTCCATGGCTACTTCTCGGATTGGTAGTCAATTGGGAGTACAAGTTCCTTTGTCAAGGACAGAAGAGCCTCACCAGAGCAATGAGGTGTGGCTTAATGCGATCTAGAAACCAACTGGGAACCATCTCCCCAACTCATACTTCTATTCGAGATCTTAGAACTGCGAATTCAAGTTCGATTGATGATATGTGGTTGGCAAAAGAAGCTTTACGAGCAAGGCTTCCCCATAGAGAAACCCATTTGACCTTAAATGAAAAAATAACCCAGCGGGTACTCATCATCCGAGGTACACCAGTAAGATCTGTGACAGCAATGTCAAATTTCCTTCAGAGCCGAAGAGCGGAGGTCATTAATTTATGGAAATATTCGGACTATCTCCACGATCGATATGTCATTCATGCTCCCATTTGTGTAATGCGAAGGCTCAACCCATTTGAGCCGAAAGCAATACCATATGAGTCGCGTCACGAGCGTACGCCAACTCCAAGAGCTTCTGACTCATTTCCAGCGGCGGAGGAAACCTTGAGACCACTACAACTACTTAACAGGTCTATTCGAGAAACAGACATGATAAACCCAGTGGGATGCCCGTTCGGAGAGCTGGTCTCTGATGGTCCAAAGGAGGCTTCTTTCAGGTCTGTTAGATCTAGGCGAAGGATTATATCGATTGTCCCCGAAATTATTGACAGAATGCCGGAGACCGAAACTATCTCAAACTCGATGCCTCAAGGTTTGAAGCTCTATACGGATTCCAGGATAGTTCTTAATAAACAGTCCACACTGCTAGAGCTTCCTAACTCCCAACTCAACTCCCAGTTACCCACCTCGAAAAATCATGTAAATAGTCTGGCAAATGGAAATAAAGCTTTAACTAGAAGACATCTGATTGAGTTGCCTCAAGAGGTCCCAACAAGTGTTTTTCGGCTTACCATCAAAAAGAAACCTCACTCAATGTTCAAGCCTATTTCAGTATCAGAAACAATGAACAAACAAGATACGCCTAATTATGAATATGCTCGACAGGAGATTACTAAGGTTTTCCCACTACCTGGTTTAGATGATGGGTCTCTAGCCCCTGTCATTTTAAGATTGGCGTGGCATTGTTGCGGTACCTTTGACAAATACACCAACACAGGTGGCTCCAACGGTGCCACAATGAGGTAAGTACCCCTTCTGTTCCTTCCCCCTCCATAAATGCTAACTCTTACTTTTAGATTCCCACCAGAACTTACAGACAGCGGCAATATTGGGCTTGACGTCGCAAGACTGGCACTTGAGTCTACAAAATGTGCGCTAAAATGGATATCTTACTCAGATTTATGGACCCTTGCGGGTGTCGTGGCCATCGAATATATGGGTGGCCCGCGGGTACCTTGGAAACCGGGTAGAATTGATTACGTGAACGACAAAAGGGTTCCTCCAAATGGGAGATTACCGCTAGGTTATAAAGACTCAGTCCATATTAGAGAGGTATTCCTCCGACTTGACATGAATGACCAGGAAACAGTTGCGCTTCTAGGGGCGCATGCAGTGGGGAGATGCCATAAAAGGTACAGCGGATGGGAAGGTGCGTGGACCTTAGAACCTACAGTCTTTGACAACACCTTCTTCAAAGTTTTGTTGAACGAAACTTGGAGCGTTGGAACCGTACCAGAGACTGGTAGAACACAGTACTTCAATGCAGACAAAAGCCTCATGATGCTCTATACTGACATGGAATTGGTGAAGGATCCACAGTTCTTGAGGTGGGTCAAAGTTTACGCCCAGGACCAAACGCTTTTCTTTAAGGATTTCTCCGATGCGTTTGCCAAATTATTGGAACTTGGGATTGAAAGAGACCTAATGGGAGGAGTAATAGGAAAATAGTTCGGATATATAGCTAAGTACGATAATAGATGCTCCAAGCACGTGCAAACTGATCAAGCAGCACCTGTCTTCATCACTAGTTGTAGCCATACATGGATTAAATTCAGTTAATACATATACATAGCTATCTAAGTAACATTAAATAAAATAGCTTTTCCACAACACTCCCTCAAGGTCTTCCAATTGCTCCGAGGTGAACGATTTACTATCCACCTCCCATGTATCCTGTCTCGTCTTCTTGAAGTTACTCAAAGTTTCCTTGGCTGTCCTACCAACTACCCCTTGCACACCAGACGCGTACTTTGCGAGGCTGGCAAGCGCTCTTGGGACCCATTTTGGTGGCGGGGAAGCATACGGGAATGCGTTGATCAAAGACCCAAGTCCTAGGGTGGCACCATGAAGACTAACCGATTCCTCGTTAGAGATCTTACCTCTGTTCTTCTGCATAAGGATCTGTGTGCACCTATGCAAAACTTGCGACACAAAATCATCATCCTTCTGCGAGTCCGAAAGGTGAACCATACCAGAAAGAGTGGAGGCAGCAGATTCGCGGACTTCGAGGATCTTGGCGAAACACAACTTAGAGATCATGTTAAAAATCTTCTGTTTTTGTGGCTGCGAGAGTAGGAAGAAATTCTTGAAATAGAAAATCTGGATAAACGCGCTGACAATCATAAGACTTCTCTTGGAAGGGTTCTCGGCCGACACCGTTGCTTCCACATTTGTGATGATTCCTTCGAGCATGGATGCGCGGTAAGGGAGCTGGGCCAACTTGAGGAACACACGGGGTGGATTAATGTTTGCCAACTTGCAAACGTCTTTGAAACCAGAGAGGTGCATCAAGAATGGCCACAAATAATCTACCAAGTATCTTTCAAGAACGATGGACGACGAGGTGAGGGATATTTGCTTTATCATGCACAAAAGGGTACGGGAAGCACGGAAATATCTGGAGTTCATAACTGCCTGCGGACTCATGCCTTCGGTCTCGGCACGCCACTGCTCAGTCTGCTCAAAGGACTTGACAATAAAGTTGTGTGAGCTCTGACCAAGAAGGAAGGGCTCACACCCCAAATCACCGGCAGCATTATTCGCGGAAACATACTGCTGCAAACACGAATATGACGTGTTGAAATGGGTATAGATCAACACCGTAACCAACTTTGCCACTTGTTCACGAACGGCTTGGTACGGATGGTCTATGTTCTCAAAGCAATTCTTGAGCAACGTGTCGGCACCAACATACTTCCACGTGATGCTGTTGACAAACGATTTCAAATACGAAAGCCTGGTAGATTCAATAAAGGCAGCATCAGACGTCTTGTCGAGCTTGAAGCTGGTCAACAAGTGAGCGGTCTTTGGGTAACGACGGATGTCGCAATGTGACGGCACCCACCAGCACAAGATGTTCCACACACCCTTGTTCTCAGGGGACAAATCATCCTCGAGAACTCTGGTTAAGGTCGTAGACAAGAATTCATCTCTCATATCCACAAACTCGACAGCAGTGTACTTGGAGGCAATAAGGAAGCCAGCACAAAGTTCGCAGATGACAACATGCACATTTTTTTCGTCTCTCGAGTACTTCTCGTTAACGATGTCAATGAGATCCACAAACTTTAAACTCTCGACATAACCAGCTGAAATCAACTGAATGACAACTCTGAAGAGGAACACGTCCGTACCCTGGAAGGTGGCACGTTCTTCATTCTCCTCAATCACAACACCAATAAGTTTCGTCAACCAGTCCTTGGTGATTAACTTGCAGAAGCTTTTTAAAACATGTTCATCGTGCTCATTTAAAGCCAACTGATAGAAGGCTTGCGGCTTAACAACGGTCAACTCATCACCCCAGAATAACCAGCCAGTGGAGAGCTTATTATCAAAGTAGAAAGAAGGATCAGTCTGGTTGTGTAACTCCTTTTGTAGCGTTGAGGTGAAAGACTTTCCCGGTTGGCCCTTCGTACTGACCGTCAAGACGTCGTCTGGGAAGTGACCTAAATCTGCAAGCTTGCCGAGATCGTAGTTGTACGCACTCAAATCTTCAAACTTGGTGAGGAGGGAATTGAGGCCCTTAACAGAGGCGCGGGAAATGTCTGGGTGCAGGTTTGTGGATTCCTTCATCAAAATTTCCATGACATCGTAATTAGAGGCCACCTCTAAGTCTTGTTGGATGGAGCAGAGCAAATTCACATTCAAAAGCTTGGACTTCCAATGTTTAGTGTTTCGTTGAACGTCCACAATGGTGTGCTCAAGCGTCGTCAACTTCTTAAAGTATGCGTCTCTCTTGCTCTCTTTGGCAATGCGCACCGCCCTCACCTCAACCTCAATCAAATCGTCACGCGGCTTGATAATATCCACTTCGTCCAAATCAATAAGGCAAATGCTTGACGGGATCCGTAAGTGCTTGGAAAAGCTCTTGTAAAGTTTCTGCGCGATATCACTGACCCTGACATTGTCCACATTCATACACCTGAGCAAGATGGAGGCATACTCGTTGATGTTGTTAAAGTCAGCAGAAATCTTGCGCTTCACCCCTCTGTGGGCAAAGGAACGTAACCCACTTTCGATCTTGTTGTGGTCGTTCGCGATGAGCGATTCCACCATGTGCTTAAATGTCACCTTCATGAAAAGAGAGTATGAGCCCAACACCTTTTTCATGATTCTACTCATTGCCACTTGTGCAGAACGAGAAATGTCAATATAGACAGAGTTGCACAACTCGGCGGTTTTAGCAATCAACTTTTTGTCCAAATCAGTCGCAACACGGCTGCTCGCGTGGATAATAGCCCTCTGACGGTGGTACAGCTCAAGTCTCGCCCCAAAGCCGGATCTGGTAAACGGCTTGCGCACCCGGTTGATATGCTGGATCGTGTAGAGGTATCTGTAACTAGCAGTCTTCTGTTCGTGGCTGGTGTCAAACCCGACATCATAGAACCACGTGGTTAAGGAATGCAAAAAGATCTTGAACAAGGTGATGTCGTTTTCATGGTTATCGATCAAGAAGGTACAGATATCTTCCAAGTGTTTCCCAACCTTAGCCCGGAGCTGGTGGATCTTCCGATATAAGGGGTGTCCAAGCCTGTCATCGCTCTCTTGGCCGAAGAAGTAGTTACTAGAGTACAACTTCGAGTCTCTTGACGTGAAGGTAGGATTCATCAAAGTCATGTTGTCAGCATCCCCGTCAATTCCTGGTGTTGGCGGAGAGGTAGCCGAAGGGGTGGGCTCCGACGTCATTGGCACCTCTGCACCGAATCTCAGGTCCTCGCCGCCGATATCATCGTCATCATCATCATTCTGGTCCAAAAGAACATTGTCATTGGGAATGGTCGTAGGAGTGTTGATCACCGAATCATCAAACAACCACTCCTGCGGCGTCGGGGTCGAAGCACCGCCTGACGATGCACGGATCTGTCTCAAAACCATCAATCGACTCTGAAGGCCACCATGGGAACTTTGACGATGCTTTGGGACCTTGGCATCATACAACGGGTCCAGCAACTGAGCAACACCAGACAAGGCGTGCGAGATGCACAACAAGTTGTGACGGAAGTCGTCCGTAAAATCAAGTAAATTACGGGGCTTTCCCGCCTCCTTCGTAGGAGTTAGCTTCATAAGAGCGGAAAGGTTTCCCAACGCCTCGTTAACAATCTTCTCAAACGCATCCACCGCAAAGGTGATCTCCGCACCATTGGGGATGTGCCACTCAAAGGTCAAGTTCAGTTTGCTGAACCTCTCGTCGCTGAACTGGAATCCACCCCAGCACTCAGCTGTAATGCCATGCTTCAGCGTGTATGATGGAGAAATCAATCTGGTTTCGGCAAGCCGGATGGTGGAAACAGAGTGTAAAATCTGGTGGATCAAGTAGGTACTGATGTACACACTTGGTCCCTTGACGTTCTGCATAAGATGAGTCACTAACGCCACCAACTCAGTCTGATAGTCGAGGATCTGAACACCGCCGTATTCAACACAGGAATTGAGCACCAAGAGGTTACAAAACAACGGCTCATCACGCGGAACAATCTCGGATCCGGTTCTCTGAGCACCAGCCCCTTCCTTAATTTCCTCTCTGATACGAGGAATCAAGTACTCCATATACTTCTTGAAGAAAGCAGGATCACGCTTCACAATGAAGCCGCTTATCGAAGCAGTGGCCTCTGCGGTTGAATGATGAAGACTGTCTTTGCTGTAAGCGAAAAACTCGTCGGCAATTTTGGCAAAATAGCTGCCAGGCATAGCTTCAAAAATCTGGTTGACACACTTGGGCAACGCCATGAGTACGGCCTTTTCCAACCCACCCTTGGTCTTTGACGGGTCCGTCAAGTTTTCAAGCAAGATATACATGCGACCGAAGAACAACCTGATCACTTCGTTAAATGCAACTGACGAGGACTTCAAGGCCTCAAGCTCAAATTCTGGTTCGTAAAAGAACCGCTCCAGAGAAATACCATACGCACTTAACGCTGCCTCATCACCGTCGTGGATCTTGAGAATCTCAAGGTACTCTAGGTGTTGCTGAATGAACTGCATGGCGATCCCGGTGTCCAGATTTCCATCTGACAAGTCAGAAAAGGGAATGAACGACGAGGCGGCGGTAAAAATGTTCAATGTATACAAGGTTTTGAACAAATCATTGGAATCAATGCCCGGGATAACCATGGTTAACACTCGGGTGACGTGCACACGGTAGACTGGAGTCGAGGCCATGTATCTCACCAAAGCGGCCAAGACCTTCATGGCCGAATGGACTCTGTGAGAGGAAATGACTCCCTCCAACGATTCGTAGATGTCTAACAAGGCAGTATCCAACACGTACTCAGGGTTCAAGTAGGCCAATAAGCTTAAGCTATGGACAAAGGTGTTGATGACCGAGTCCTTCTTCGACTGAATACCCGTTATGACCACAGGCAACATGATCTTGACAAACTGCTTCGTGACCGCCGGACTCAACTTGACAGCTTCGGGGAGGCCCTGCAAGGAGGTTTTTTCCTGGTTCAATCGCTTGTGGTACTGGTAAATTAAGGAGTCAATCACCTTGGTAATAGAGCCAGTCCATGCGCCGGCGTTGGAGGGGTGAATGTACGTGGCAATCGCGTTGACCAATAACGCAACCTGGTCCATGATACCATCGGGCACGAGTGCAGCATCACCATTCATAGAGAAAACAATACACGCCGCATAGCCATGGTACACGTTGGAGGAGGGATACGGGTTGAGCATCTCGGGGTTGATGTTCAACGAGTTGAGCAAGACATTGGTAATAGACGAGAACTGGGCCTGCGAAAAGACTCCATAGATGGACAAACGCTCCTTGTTTTCCTCGGCGGAAGCGTACTCAACTTCATTGGCCAAGTAGCGGATGTACTGCTCCGCCAATCTTCCCAACAAACCGCTGAGGTGGCCATCGATGCCCTTCGTCTTGACCGTGGTAGCCCAGATGTTGAAGATGGACGGGAGGTAGTCACGCACGTCAGAGCCGGCGTTGAATGTGCACGGAAGAAGCGCATACAATGTAGAGATGGTCAAAGATGCGGTCAGCAACGAAAACCTGCTCAAAACCTCCTTGATAATCTCCTCCGTCGCGGCCGGGTCAAAAAACTGGTTCGCGTTAAGAGCGAGAGTGAGCATGTCATTATGGGATTTAGTTTCAATATCGTCTACCAATGCGTCGTACTTGGGGAACTCATTCTCAAACTCTTTGAAGAGTGGCCGCCAGGCAAGTCTCAAGCCGTGCTTCTTCATCAACGGCTTGTCTTTTACCAACTGGTTGAACATGTTGAGAAACGTCTGCAATGAGAGCGACTGCCCACGGGAAAGACAAATGGCGTAGTAGACACGCGCGAGCGCAATCCGCAACTGCACGGGCATGTCGAACTTCATCTTCATCCACACATTCAACTCGTTGGTCCAGTGGCGTACGCTCACCACGGCCGACGACTTTGGTGACCCTACGACCGCCGTGCTGGTTAAGGAAACCTCACCGTCATCATCGTCATCGTCATCCACCTCATCTTCAATCGCCTCCTCCTGGTCGTGCGAATCCAACTGGAACAATCCGGTGTCTAAGGCCAACTGGACGTCAGAAAACCCCGGGGTATCTTTCAAAGCGACCAAGTCCTTAGGACTCACCACCAAAAGGCCCTGTAAGTCGAGCGTCTTCACGGCGATGTACAAGTGAGAGACAATGTGCGCGAGATACTTGGCCTGATTCTGCGGCGTTTCGGTTTCGTATGGCAACAACTGCGGCATATCCAAGGTGCGCGGCTTTGCACGCGCAAAGAAGCGAGACGCTTCGTCCATCTGTAATGCTTGGATATCGCTGTAGCTCGCAGTTTTGGGGTAATCAAGAGCGTATCCCTGCATTCTGGAGTGTTCCAATGAATCGCGTTGTTGGTGTTTTCCTGGGCTGACCGAGGAACGGGTAGGTGGCGAATTGCTTCTAAGTAATGCGCGACCGGGTCCAGAAGCGCACCTAGCGGGTGGCGAAATGTCTGGAAGCAACCTTCTGGCAGCAGAGCCTCGAATTGCCACGGGAGCGGCCAATTCAGACGGGATTGGGGACATTGAAGGGGTCTATTTGTAGCAATGGGGCGGTGGTTAGGTTCAATTATAGTGTTATTATTCTTGAAGTCTTTATTGTGACGGTTAGGATTGGTTAAGTAGCTGTCTTGGGAACAACTGTCTTTGAGAATTATGACAAGATGAGATGTTCCGATTGCCACTGGCATACATGCGCTGTATCCTGCATGTGCCATTCGGGGGCGTCAGGTATCGTGATCGCTTGGGATCAAGCAACCACTCCTGTGTAAGTATGAGTTTGGAGAATATGTCATAGGACTCGTAACTCAATAGACCAAATAGCTTCTAGGTTGTGTGCCATTGTTCTAAACAGAAAATGTGTGAATATCACGGACTGGTCTGCTGTGACTAGTAGCATAGGTGGTGTACTTGCATTTTCACCTGTGTTTGCTTGACAACCTAAGGTCGTATGGTGGCCAGTACGCCATCAACATGATTATGTTTGTGGATTATTTTTGATCATCTGCACCAATTTAAGGTATTTTGGGGGGTTGGAAGTGCTTGGAGGCGTTTGGAGATGTTTGAAGCATGAAAGATTAGGTATAACCTATTGTATACACATCCTTTTTCAAGTTGTACCCAGGATAACGTTTTCAGCTTGTGTCTTCTGGAGTACCTGTAGTCAAGTTATCGTGATATACCTTGGCCCTAAAAGGTGCTGGCAATTACCCAAATGAGAATCTAATTAGTAGCCCGATCTGTTGAAAATTTTGAAGTTGAAACAAGCTGTTAGCATATGTGTGTAACCTTTCCTAGTCCAAGACTGTTTTTCAGTTACTTCTGGGTCGTCATTCAGGTTCAGTCATGATCAGTTCTGTCCTTATTAGCTTAATATATCTAACGAGGGAGAGTACTTGGTTAGGATGACTACATTAATGGCATGTGTGACGAAGCGATTTCCAGGCATCCAGTTCCATGTATACTTAGATCATATAGTTGATTACCTATCAGATATCCCACTACACTAGCTATAGGGTGCATATATAGTGGGGTACGGAATATAATCGAAGGTCGGAACCCTGCGGTGTACCGCGCTGAAAGCTACTCAGAAATTTAGAACCCACAAAGGTCCGGATAAACCACCCAGTCTCGCGAAAATTGGCGAATAAAAATATCCTATCTGTATTTCATTCATATTCTGCTCATATCTTACACATTGCGTTGAAAATAGCACTGTTCCAGTCTCCGTTTCTCAATGTATGTCTGATGGGGCGTTGTCATGCTCGTTATCCTGACTACTTTCGAACCCAAAAAAAAGTACCCTAGTCATCCATGTCTATGTCAGCAATTTTCGAGGTCGCTAGCGCAAGTATATCACATAATAACATAACGAACCTTGGTTGCAGATATGTACTATAGAGATAGGCGGATGCAAACTTTACGACTTATAATCACGGATAAGAGCAAAAGTTGTCACTAATTTATTTTTAAATCGGCGTTGCGGCATGTCTAAACAGGATGAAACTCGTGATCTAGGAGGAACAGGATTTGACGAGCTGGCCTGTCCGGGGCCGTGTCCGGCCAACCAGCTCCCTGCGACATGGGTCTCCGGTGAGACACGGATAGGATATCAGGTTATTCTTACACCTAGTGTGCCCATCTTAGCTGGACTATTGTTAGCCTTTCGGCTCTCAGTTTAATTAGAATATATCTTGGAATTTGGTTAAAATATACAGGCACTTGAGGGACCTGGGAAGGTGCGCAAGGAAGGAGAACGTCGAGGTTGCTTTCACCTGTGACTGTAGTGAGGCATGTATTGTTTGGTTAGACCACCGGAGATTCGAATAGCAAAAGAAAAAAGAGAAAAAGACTTATTCCGCTTTTGGAATCGGCCCCCTAGACAAATAAATATACTTTCACCATGGCAGACAATGTATTAGCACGGCAGATGCAATTTATGCATCTAAGTTGGATTGGATAGATGGAACTGCCGGAAATAGTCAAATGTAAGTTTTATTCTAGAGCCCAAGCATGCACCTTACGACATGTCTTGGCGGAATTTTAGAATCTTTACAGCCGGATTTAGGTTTCTCCTCCGTGCTTGAGTTGGCGCCCAGTTTCATAATGCTGCAACAAGGCGCGTCACCCTTCTGCGCCAATCTTCCGGACCCTCTAAGTACACAAAGGAAGGGGGGAGGGGGTTTCTCCAAACGAGCACGAGTCATGAACGCATGGGCTATGAGCAGGCTTAACACGTGGAACTATAATGTCATAACTCTAACCGAGCCAAGGTGATAGACTTTTTAAAGTCACGCTAGAAGCAGGTCTCTGCATTTGTCTGTCCCCTATATCAAGAGTGCTTACAAGGCTGGGATGCTACCATTGCAAGCAAGTGACATCGAAAGCAGTACCTAGTCTACTATATCTCTTATATGTATCTGACTATATCTTACATGATTGGGGATGCAGGCTTGGCGTTTAACTTGAGTCAGGTTTTAATTCACTATCGCGGCTACGTCCCAGAAACCGAATATCCGATCTGCGGAGCTAGCGGCAGTAGTAAGCACTGGCTCGAGCCGCGCCACAATATAAAAACTTAGAAATGCGTCGTACATCATGCGGCCTAAAATCTGTGGACTATCCGTAGTCAGACGGAATTTCAAGCTGGCCAGGATATTTATATTACAAATCTTACAAATTCAGAACCTCTCCCAAAACGACTAGCATCTGTCAAGCGGCTCAAGCATCTCTAACAGCTCTCGAACGGATCTTCAACAACGGTTTGAGATGATTGGACTACCTGAACATATCCCCCCTCCTTAGTCTGTGTTCCTAAAATGACTATATCTAGATCGACCTTTCTGGCCTTCTTTCACGACTGCACGGCTGCAAAAGCGAAGGGTGTTCGAAGATCTAGCGTTACAGGCTTCAAATGCCACTTGAGCGGGTCTTCGACTCCTTGCCAAGATTTTGATGGTGAGGGCGCAAATCTCAAGCCCGAGGATATTGCAACCGCATTGCTTAAGGCCTGCGTCCAGGGCACGGTCCGGGTATCAACGGTAATAGTAGAGAACTAACAAACCTCTCCGAAACTGACATCTAAAAGCAATCTAGCCCTTACCTTACAATACTGTCGCAGGTAGTAACCCCAGTTAAGCGGTGGCTATTGAATTAACGACCGTTTAGACATGGCCAAATAACCGTCACTAACCGCCTTGAGGAGTGACTCTGCAGATTTATTAAGTATATCCTAACGGGTTATTCCCCCGTAATGTATCTGCCGGGTCTACCGACAGCATAGGACACAACTAGTCAGACCTAAATGGGCAACCACGCAGCACTCAGATGCAAAGTACGTCATTCTGCTTCGTTTCTATGCGCCCGATATTCCCCACTTTTCTTAAACTTTTTGATGTTCTTTCTGTAGGCCATCAGTACGCATATCCGCTTTATAGACTTTCTATGTTACCCCCCCGGCCGCTCGTAGGTAAATCGCTATCTCCTTGCTATATCCGATGGCCATACCATCTTGTGCATAGATGAATCGGGTGCTATTTATCATTAGAGCCAAAGGGGGAATGCCGCGCATGTCTTAAAGCAGCATTAATAAACAACGGATTTAAAGCCAGGTTAGATGCAAGCATTGGTAGCAAGACTCATACGACTAATAGAACGTCCACCTGCGTGGTTTCCTTGGCGTCGCCGAGCTTGGGCCCGTAAACGGTGGTATAGCTTCTAGCTGGGATGGCCTGAATCGGGGCCGATGAAGGAAGAAGAAAAAAAGGTATGTACAAGCGATAATCGTAGTTCAATGAGAGGTCTACAGCACTGGGCGTTTTCGTAAAATCCTCTCCGTCTGCCTACTGTGCTGCATCTTATGGTACATATTGCTTTTCTGGGCGAGCTTCATAAATAGAACTCACCTGCATTCTTGCGCGCAGATTCGTGCATAACATGGCTATTTCACATGCGTGAACGAATATATGCACCTACCCATAAAACTACACACCCCTACCAAAACAGCTATATTACCCATCAAAAAGCTACACGGCGGAATGAAGGTTTTCTACTCAGCGCTTTTCAATAAGATCACAGGTAATACGGCTATATGTGCATATAAATAGACTTTACTAGCCGGGGTGGTGGACGTGACTAAACAGGTTATACTGCATGTGTGATTACCCATGATTCATGCGCTGAGGGACGATAGAATCGTGATTGACTTTCTATCATGTCAGCTTAGTCTATTAAACTCCAAAAAAACCAAAAATTGCGGTATATAATAAACCCATCCCTCGAGATCTAAATATAACTTCTCCTTGGTCCGTCTAACTATTACTTCGCTAACTCACCTACCAGACTATCTGCCCAGCCCAACGAACACCAATCCCGTCATGACACAGAATACGCAAGTAAAGTTTGAGGGCTCTAGCTTCAACTTCCAGGGCTCCCGCTTCAACGGTACTAAGCCCTCGAGTTACCAACCCGGTAACTCCAGCCCGCGGTCTTCCAATGCTTCAATTTTGCTTCAACAATATCCACCGAAGCAAAGTCAATACCCTTTGAACGGTTATGGAAACCCCGCTTCTAAAGCTTCGATGCGATACATGTCTGCCCAGGGAGCTGAAGTACCGGGTCCTCTTTTAGGGGCACACATTATTAATTCCTTCAACTTAGCGACCCCCTACATCTCACCCATTGAGCAATGCTTGGACACGGTTGACTACCATTGTTTACTCCACAAAAATAATCCCTCCTTAACTCCTTCAAACAACGAATCCATTATGAATCTGGTCCTCCATAACTCTAACTCATTGGCGGGATATTATTCTTTGGCAAACACCTTCTACTCTGGTAATTACAACCCCAACCATTCCGCGCCAAAAGCGGATGTTGGTGACATCCAAAATGGGCCAAACTACCAGCACACCGATACAGAGTTGAGGCATTGCTCCTTTGATGAAGCTTACTTTAACCACACTGATAATATCTCCTATCCCTTAAAGCCCGAGTATCCAACGAGTGCGACCGACCTCTACAAGCATAACCTTGTTCCGCCCACCAGAAATGGCTCTGAAAGCTACGGACTTAGCTACTCCTCTGTGTCGCCTACCTCGTCGTCGTCTTCCCCTAACCATGTTAATAATCATGTTCAGCCGTCAAAGCCGAGGTACCGTCCAAAGTCGCGCTTGAGTATTGGCGAGCTCTCTCTCATTTTGAAGAAGTCTCCAGAAGATACCGTTCTTATTGAGCACATGATTTTAAAGACTTTGGAAGAAGTAACGAACAGCAAATTCAGGCTTGGCTATTCGAATTGGGTTCGCGGTCTTTCCATTAAACAGCGTAAGGATTATCTTGATCGGCTCTACGTTATTACGAGTAAGGAGTTTCCCACCTACGACAAGAAGGTGTTGGAAATAATCGTGGGAAGGGGAAGCTACTCGTACATGCAAAAGAGGTTGAGACAAGAGAGAGAGAGCAGACGAAAGAGTGTTAATGGGATTAATCTTCGTCCGCATCCAATGGAGAGATAAGTGCACGGCAAAGGAAAAGATAAAAGGAATTTTTTTACTTCAGTTTATAAATGGTAGGCTTTTTATTTATCAGTCTAATTCGCAACGCTTCAAACATTAAGAGCGGCATGTTATAATCTACTTCGGAGTTTAAACGTCGGTTGGTACTCTAAGCCTTGTATGTTTACACGTGCCAGTGTTGCGGTACCAAAATGGCAATTTTTCCCATGGTTAGATTCGTTTACGATATGCCTGACTACCAAACGACAACATCACCCACATTTAGAACCATGTTTTAAAGAGATCCGAAGATTCCCGAAGATAATATACTCGTGAAATTCGCAATCCACTATATCAAAAGCCGTTTTAAGGTGGTTTGTCATAGTCCAATCTAGAACAAGCTCGTCTTTCCACGGTTTATGGTATAAATACGGCGTTCATTATTGCTTTTCTTGTCATTATCGTAGAGATCGGTTACCTGACTGTTCAAGTCTTTAAAACTGTGGGTAAACCGAACAATATTTCGGATATCGCGCTTCAGCTCCGTTGGCAAATGTGCATTAGGCCACCGTGCCTTCTACCACTATATAGCCTCCGGAAACTTAGACAATGCCGCAATCTCAGCCAATTCTTGGCTAGACTCTCCTGTAAGTCTAAGATTAGAGAAGAAAGTCACAGACCACAGCTGGTATACCAAAGCTTAATTATAATTCCCTCACTCGGACGCATAATGCGATTCTCCCCGTTGCGTCTAGTGGAAATACCGTTTTACAACACTGCAAGGCTGAAAGTATTTAGTCAAGCCTAAGCTAGGTATATTCACATCTCTATCAACACTGTGAACCACAAACTTGAATTAGAGTTGTGCTAACTCTTCCCTGCGAAAGGGAGGTACGGTTCCCCTGGAACAGGCTCACACGCCAAGTCACGGCCAAGGTCCCGCAAATATATAAGCCATCTGAAGGATGCTAAACTAAAGGTGATATACTATCGTTTGAAAAGCTAAAAATTAACGTTTAATATACATAGTAGTGCGCTATACTCGAGAATTCCTCCACAGAGACAGAAAGTTCAAGAGTGTAAATGCATATTCCAAAGAGCGCTTGCCACGGTCACGGTACATACCATCTACTGTATACCTCACCATTTATTGCCGAAGATATGACATAAATATCGTACGACGAACCTAATAATATTAGAATGATATTGAGGAAACGAAAATAATTGTTAGTTACAATCGTACACGGTTTTAGGCTTATGCAAATACACCATAGAGTCCGATATAGAATAGCGTCCACTCAACATGGAGGAACTTGGTCGAGTTATTATAGTAAAAGCATCGATCTAAATACGACAAAGATGACTAAGGACGTCAGCATGCTTATGACTTCCCATATATGAGTTTATTCGCATAGATACGTTTATCTTCATGGCCCATATCGAAAAAGCAGACATATTTACATGTTTTGGTTATTAAGGATGGAAGAAAAATACCACGCCCTAATGGACTTTAATGAATTTTGACAGAGGGAGGATTTTAGGGGCTGGTGAGTGTTTTGACCACTTACAGTATCCTAATAGGCTGCAGTTCACATGAAAACCGCATTAAATAGCAGAGCTTATGATTAGGAGCTCGGAAGATGGGGACGGCGGTCACTCATCTGCGACGGCCATTTTCACAATATGTTTTTGAAGGAGACAAAGCTTTAGGAAAGTTTCAAAAAATAGTGCTAAGTTTTTATTCGAAATGGTTCTTAGCTTAATCCCACTAGGCATAATTTTTTGAGCTCTATGTAACAGGGCCAACGTTAAATGTAAATTTATCTCAGCACGTCGAAATACCCTTATCCTATCACAATACGATTTTGTAATTTCACTATCCTTTAAACCCGTTCAAAATTCATAGTCTGATCCGGCTCCTGGAAAATAACTCCAAAAAAAACTACCTCAATATTCCTACCACTGTCACATGCTTTTAGCGATCAACTGCCTCTCACGTGATTATATATCCTGCGTACATAATGGCCTGACACATGGTGCAACATTTTTCGCGTTGTATACGAAGCGTCGTATATAAGTCGAGATTTACAAATCATAAACCTGTTCCCTTCCCATTCAACTTCTCTACAACACTCTTCCGCGTGTCATGCTGCCATCTAGAAACCATTATGACGTGATCGTGGTAGGCGCCGGGGTCGTAGGCCCCGCCGTTGCGACCACGCTAGCCAGACAGGGACGCCGCGTGCTCATCGTGGAGCGCGACTGGTCGGAGCCGGACCGGATTGTGGGCGAACTCATGCAGCCATCAGGGTTGCGGGCTCTCAAAGCCATGGGCATGTTGCTGGCGATCAACAATGCGAACGCCATCCACGTGGACGGGTACTACGTCGCGTACCACGATACGCAGGTGGACATCAAGTATCCCTTTAAAGCTGACGTAGCAGCTACTGAGCCTGTGCCACACTGTGTAGCCGATACACTCCACACCGATGCAACTTTAGACGCGGTGGACTGGGAGAGCTGTGAGCGGGAACGTGGTGTCGGATTCCACCACGGGCTGTTCATTCTGAACTTGCGTGCCATCGCCAAACGTGAACCGAACGTGACGGCGTTGCAGGGGACGGTAACCAAGTTAGAGGGCTCAGAAGTTGTCACTGGGATCAGGGTTAATATAGAGGATGCTAAGAACGTGTTATACACCGCTGACTTGACCGTGGCATGCGACGGGATCTACTCCAGGTTCCGCAAACTGATTTCCGCAAACAACATGCCCGTGACGGGATCCCACTTTGTGGGGATGACCTTGAAAAATGCAGTGCTTCCGGCTCCTAACCACGGCCACGTCATCTTGGGCGACCACGCCCCGATCTTGCTCTACCAAATCTCCCCCGAAGATACGCGTATCTTGTGTGCCTACCGCTCTGCGAAGCCGCCAGCCGCCAGTGACTTGCACAACTACCTCCAAGACCAGGTGTTACCCCACTTGCCAGTATTAGTCAAGCCGTCATTTAAGGCGGCGTTAGCCGCTGAAAGACCCAGAGTGATGCCTAACCAGTACTTGAGCGCGCGCCCAAACAAAGTGCCCGGCTTGTTGCTTATCGGCGACGCATTAAACATGAGACACCCGTTGACCGGTGGAGGCATGACCGTGGGGTTAAATGACGCCGCGTTGGTCGCGCGGATTTTGGCTCCCGAGCGCTGTCCGTCGCTTGCAAATCACGCGCAGGTACTTAAATGTTTGACCGAGTTCCACTCGAGAAGAAAGAGCCTCGACTCTGTGGTGAATGTCTTGAGTATCGCTTTGTACACGCTCTTTGCGGCAGACAATGCGAACTTGACCATCTTGCAGAAGGGCTGTTTCGGCTACTTCTTGCGCGGCGGCGAGTGTGTCAGCGGGCCGGCTGGGCTTTTGAGCGGTTTGTTGCCTAGCCCGTTTGCCTTGTTCTACCACTTTTTCAGCGTCGCGTTCTACGCGTTATATCTCAACTTTGGCGATAAGTGGCGCCACCAGGGCATTCTTGGGCTCTTGCTTGCGGTTCTCCAGGTCTTCACCGTGTTGTACACCGCCGTGGTTGTATTTGCCCCGTACTTATGGAATGAACTCCTTGGGTAGTTATAGAAAATAAGCTTTAATAGATATTATGTACGTCAGTGTATTGGAATTTGCTGCCGTGAAGGTAAGAACTCATATTTTTTCAAGGGACAGTGGAAGTAATAGGCTTTGGGTAAAGCTAGGGGTATTCCATTCCTCGTAGAGATACTTGTGTTGTGATCGAACAAACAAAATCGACGTCAGGCAAGTCTATAACTTTATCTCTGTTGTGTCATGGTTATTAACTCGAAATAAATGCACCTTTTAGATACGAACTTAATGGAAGACACGCTGTAACCTTCAGCATTCAAGTACAAGGCTAAAGTGTCGTTCGGCCGGTAATGCAAGAGTGCTACAGGTCTAGCTTTTGCGCCATGGTCCGTGCATACTTCACCTATATGACGTATAAAAATCTTCATTGAGGAAACTATTAAAAAAAAGCTGGTAAACTGCCTTTCAATCTTATCCCCTACACCTATTCTTCTTTCCGTTTATATATACCCCTAAATATTCCTCGAGTGGATGCACCTGGCTCTCTGTCGTGCCCTTACCGTTGCTTACATAATCTACGGTGAAAAGTCGAGACCAGATTCGGGTTTACACTGAAAAAATTGGGCCGGATGGTGACATCAGCCAGTCACTATTTCAGCCCGTTGAACGTTTCGATTAGTAAAGACTATTTCTTTCTAATCCATACTTATACCTTTACCGGAAACTCTGTCCCGTCCGCCATGTTCAGGTTTACGTCCAAGTTATTCACCCCATTCTCTAACACCGTTAGAAGATTCACATCTGTGGTAATCCCTCAACAAATCAGCATTACACAACAGTCCGCCCATGCTTTCTCTCCGATAGCCAAAGTAGTCCCAAGCTATATACCTCTGGCTACGAATGTGGTTATTCCCAAGGTCAACGCCTGCGGCAGCGTCATTTCGTTGGTTCCGGCCCCCACGGAAAATGCCTTTTACTTGGACTCCGTGAAAAGAAAGCGTAAGTTGAAGATGAAGAAGCACAAGTTGAGAAAAAGAAGAAGGGCTCAGAGAGCCTTGAAGAAGAAGTTGGAATAGAGCATGTCGGCCATTGCCATTCATATATATCCGATGAATTCTAATGTACATAGTTCTTTCAAGTATAGATATAATTGTGATGAAAAACTTTGAAACCGTGAATTACAGAGCATAATAATCAATAGGATCCGGACAATGAGGAGTATGGTGACAGTTGTATAGATCGTGTACACTGGTACACAATGGCGATTATGAGGTATGTCAACAAACCAGTAAAGCTATAATAAATTACGCATTCAAAGACTTTATGCCCATACTACGTATAATAAATTAGTTCTAGCAATAAAAATCTGGTGGACATTCTTTACTAATGACAGATGTCCCCATATATCTCTAGTGTGGCCCTAGTGCTTCAGCTACATTTTAGATCCTCGGCTAATACCGATTAAGGTCTTCATGGGGCCATATATAGGCTTCGTTATGCTACGCTTACTCAATGGTTTTCGTCGATTAAATACAAGAGGTCATACTTTAGATTACTAAAGTAGCTCTTGAACGGTTATGGTGCACTAGTCGCTCTCCTCCTCGCTCTCCTCCTCGGCGTTCTCCAACCACTCGACAAACTTCTTGACGCCGGCGGAGAGTTGTACGAGCTTGACATCGCCTTCATACGCCTTCTCGTTCTGGTGCCACCACTTCAAAATGTTCTCCTCCTCACAGATATCCATGTCGTACAATCTCTGTACAATGTTGAAGAAGAAACTAGCACCGTTCGGCTCGACATCCTCCTGCGAACACAAGATCTGGAAGATATTCAACAAATCAACCTGCTCGTCCTTCTCAAACACCTGTCTCCTGTACAACGGGCCCCACTGATCGAGCACCTTCTTGACAGCCGGTACGACGGCGAGGGTCTGAGTTGCGACAAAATGGTTGATGCGTGTTAACAAGGCGGAGGAGGTTGCGTGGCGAACCTCGTGATACGTCACGTTCATACTCATCCGTAAGGTGTTCAACTCTAGTAAGGCGGTATCGAGGTCGTGGTTGTTCTCCATAGCTCTCTCGACAGTGGCAATAGCTTCCTTTTCGAAGTTCTCCTCTTCTTCATCGTCTTCATCGAAGTCGGTCTCATACATGGTGGATGACTGTCTCCTGCTCTTCTTCTTGGACGCAGTCGCTGAGATAATCGATTCGTCGTCAGACAACTCCAAGGAGTCGAACTTCAAGTCCATGATGTGGAACTGGTGGTCAGAGTAGTCCTCGTCGTCGGAAGATGTGTCGGAGTCGGATTCCGAGTCAGACTTGTAAGCGAAGCCCACCCCTTCTTCACCCACATAGGCTTCATCACGAAGGGAATCGTCTTCTTCATCTTCATTATCGCTAAGGCCAGAATTATACTTAACGCGCTGCGCCGAGATACGGGTGTTCGGCTTCAACGTCATGTTGCGGCCCACAGTCACATTGTAGCCAACAACGGCGTCGCGATTCAAGACGGCACCACTCAAGATCTGTGCACCGTTGGCCACCACGGAATACTTTAACTGCACGTTATCACCAATCACGGCATTGTCCCACACGTACGAATTCTCAATAACGACGTTCTTCCCAATGGTGACGTTCTTGCCGATGACGGACTTCCCCACGCGCGAGCCATCACCTACACTGGAAATAGAGCCGATCATGGTGCAACCGTCAATCTTGCAGCCCTGCGCGAGTACCACATTGGAGCCCTTATAAATGTGTCTGGATTCATAGGTCATCTCGTCATCTTCGTCCACCACGGACAAGTCCGGGCATACGGGGAAGCACCAGCGGGCCATAATGTCCTGTGAGATGGCGTGGTAGGTCTGCCAGTTGCACACACGCGCGGCATAGTCCGACTCAGTGATGTAGGCGTAGATGGTCTTCTTCAACAAATCTGACGACAACACCCCCTTGAGGAAGTCCTTTCTCAAGTACTGATAGTCAAAGTTATCCTGGAAGATTTGCGGTACGTGTGGTGTGCAAATGTCCACCCGGCAGTCAATTAAGTCGTTGCGGATGGCAAACTCGTCGACGTCTTCCAACAATTCCGGGTCGATGGTAATGGCCTTGTTACCGCGCTTTTTGCGCTTGGTCTTCTTGTCATGGAGGTAGTAGTTCGGGATGTCCTGGTAATAAAGGCAGCGGTTATTGGTGGTGTCCAATATGAAGCACGCGGAGTCGTCTTTGGAGCGCGCACGGTGGAACGGCGACGCCTGAGTCAACACCATGGTGGCAATGTGGTTTCTGTCTTGCGCCTTCTTTGCCTTGTGGAACTCGAGCGCACCGTCAAACTTCATGTTTGTAACCACATCACCGGTGACCAAAATAAAGTCCCCGGTGATCAACCCACGGTTATCCACATCTCTCATCGCGTCACCCACGGATCGCGACTCCAACGACATGATGGTGGCGATCTTGAACGGCGACCCGACATCGCTCCACTTGGAGCGGTCAATGTATTCCTGAACCTGGTCCGCATGGTTGCAGCACATGAGGTAGACCTCGTTGACCCCGGCATTGGCCAAAAACTCCAACGTGTACTCGATCAATGGCACGTTGGCGAGCGGCAAGAGACACCGCGGTGTGACCGCCGTCAACGGCATGAATCGGCTCTCGAACGAGTCGGTCAAGACAATGGCCTGGAGACGTTCGTCTTGGAGAATTTCCTTCTGCTTCTTCGCTTTTGGGGGCATCGTGGTGGATGAGGTATGGTCGAGAAAGAGCCAGAGGGAAGAAAAATCGTGCAAAAAAATACGGGAAAAAGCGTGCATGTACCGGCAAAATGGGTCACAACATCGCAGAGTTCGCATTAAAGACTGGAGTCATAAGGGAAACCCAGCAATTAGCCGAGGCAATACAACTTAAGGCGGTAAACTGGATTCATCCAACTTACAAAGCACATCTTTTTTAATGCCCGAAACGAAACCGCAGCTCCCGGAGTACGAGAAGCTCAAGCAAAAGCTCCACGACACGATTCTCAAAAAGCACGAAATCGACAAGGAGCTCGCGCAGTTCGAGGAAGAAATCTATACCAAGGAGTCCGAATACTTCTCGGAGTGCCTCTATGGCAATATCATCAAGGGATTTGAAAACTTCCACAAGAGTAACCCCGCAAACGTGTCCACCTTTAAACGCAAGTTTCAGTTCACTGATGACGACCGCATCTTCTCGCTCAGCAGCGCCAGCTATATAAAGCACTTAAAGAAGACCAACGGCAGTGCCGCTGTCGCCAGTCTCGGGCTTCCCGCGAACATTGGCAAGATGGTGGACGACGACGACTTGATCGACGAGATCGACAGCGTCACGGGAACTCCGTCCTCTAACGGCCGGAAGCGCAAGAAAGAGGACTAGTAAGTATTTGGGTGTATATTAGGAAGTTTTAGCTTAACAGGTTATCGGCGGTTAAAATTTGTAAGAGTGTGGCAGGGAATGGGTTTTACCTACATGCACGAGGCGCTATGTGGGCGTCTGTCGTAAAAAGAACAGTAGCATGGCATTTGTGTATATTTAACCAAGGAATTTACAGCTATATTGTTGCTATTTTTAGTCACCTTATTGCTTTATCAATAAAGGTTCTGAAGGGGTGTATGGTGACGGTTGTCAGCCACCTTGATCATGGAGCGTCACTTGGTATAAACGAGCCACATTACTGATTTACAATAGGATCATTATCAAACAACAGGAGCTTAAGTCTTCCCACTTAGAACTTTGAGTCTCGGTGTTTCTTTCTTTTAAACGTTAGACATACGATTATATTACTTGGTTACGCTTATTCACACCTTACAAGGCGGTGATGGTTGGCGGTAGTATTGACGTGTGCGTACCAATCATGCCTCCACCGATATACAAAATAACGAGTCGCTCAGTGCTTCAGTTAAGCCAGCAATACCATACAACTACGTAAGTGCCATCTGAATTCATCCCGGCCCAGAGATACTAATCAGCCCAGTTTTATTGCCTGCTCCTTCCTGGCTAAACGTTCAGTGCTGCCTTTTTTTACGAGAGTATACGTATTATGAACCCGGATTCAGCAATGGCATCCCACCCAGCCATGGCGCTTAACGGGGCCTCGGGGATCCTACCACCAGGCTTAGCGGCCTCTACTTCGCATACAACAAACCACTCGCTCACAGGAAGCGAAAATTCTGACGAGGAAGCTGATGACGACGATGACGACGAAGACGAGTCACAATTCACTGATATCGACAGATACGGCCTCAGGGCCTTGTCCAGCGTCATTAAGATGCGGCAGACCGACCAGACACAGGTGGTCATCGGGTCCGACCTAGCTCTCTTGGGCTTGGACTTGACCCAGCCTAACCAGAAGTTGTCCAAGACCTTTGCCTCGCCGTGGGTGGAGACGTCGCGTGCAGAAGTGGAGCCTCCGTTCAAGGTCCCGGCCTCGTTTGGAATCAGTTCCTTGAATTTACCAGCGCCAGACCAAACAATTAGCACATACACCGACGAGACGTTGTTCTTCATCTTCTACACGAAGCCTAAGGACTTGTTGCAGGAGATGGCGGCGCGAGAGTTGATTGCACGCAACTGGAGATACCACAAGGACCTCCAGGTGTGGTTGACCAAGTCCAGCGACTCGGAGCCGGTGCCGATCAATGGCGGGTGCGAGCGGGGTGTGTATATTTTCTTTGATCCGCACAACTGGATGAAGATCAAAAAGGAGTTCATGTTGTTCTACCACGCGATTATGTGAGGTCTATGGGTGTTCATAGAGTGTATATTAAGAAATTTCCGCAAACGCAGTTGTAAGAATCCGACCTACCATGGGAGACGAGCCAGGCTGGTGGCGACCAAAATAACATCAGATATAGCACATAAACAATCACACTTAATAATGGCTGAATCACTCATCATCTAGCAGGATTCTTCTTGCGTAGGAATCACGAGACTTATGATTTCCAGAAACTTTCTTTAGCCTTTAAACATGATTTAGGGGAAAGTTATTGATATTACCTCCTGCATATTTGCGATGACATGAAAAAAATATCTTCACTTATCACTACAAATTTTGGCTCCAATATATTAGCTCCTCCAATATTAATCCCCATATTAATTCCCATATTAATCTTCCATATCATTCTCCCATATAAATCCTTCTCGTTAATTTTCCTTTTCAATGTCCAAAAGGCTCCTTCCAAATATCATTATCACTGGCACTCCAGTAAGTACTCCTTCCGAGATTGAAAGTACCCTACCAGAACTAACACCTCTAGGGTTGTGGCAAGACATCTCATGCTGAATATCTTGCCTCTCACAATAACCAGTTACACCACTTGAATATCTCGGAAGTGGCCAAAGAACGCAACTGCATCACTGGGCGTGATGACATGCGTGACTCTGGGATCGTCGATGAGGACAAGCTCCTTGACGCTATTGAGCCGGACATGGAGGAAGGTGGTACCATCATTGATTGGCACTGCTGTGATATCTTCCCCGAGAGATTGATTGACTTGGTGGTGGTGTTGCGCTGCGACAACTCCAAGTTGTACGAAAGAATGGTCAATAGAGGCTATAAAGACAGCAAGATCCAGGAAAATTTGGACTGTGAGATCATGGACGTGATTTCCCAAGAGGCGAGGGAAGGTTATGCGGAAGGAATTGTGATTGAATTACACAGCGAAGACGCTGAGCAAATGGAGGAAAACTGCACCAGAATCCAGGGCTGGATTGACTCCTGGTTGAAGGACCACGCCGATGGGGTCAGCAACGAGTTGGACGAAGAAGGCAGTGAAAGTGACGAAAGCGAAGAGGGGAGCTACGAAGAAGAGGTAAGTGATGAAGAAGAGGAAAGCGCCGAAGAGGATTAAAAGTAAGTTTGATGCTACAAATATTTTATACTGTGCTATCTACGTAAATTCCCTCGTCTATGATTTATTTCTGACATTTCTTTTTGAACACTCCAATTAATAAGTGAAATGGTACAAATAAAAGGGATGTAGGTATTAGTATGGAATACAAAGCTTGTAAACTTTAACCTCGTTGAGTTTCGCCAACCTTGCGCTTTGATCTTCACCCCAGTCGTTAATTACGACCCCAGACTACTCACTTACCTTTTTCTGGAAAAGCTACGTTATTGTTGGGGCACTTGGGTATTATTCTCGAAAGCTTGATATTTTTTGGCCAAGGCACCCAAGCTAAAGCAGTCTATAAAGAAATCATAATGGGAAGTTGTGGTCCATAAATGTACAAAAGTAGCTCTGAATCCTTCACTTTGCCTGTTCAAATTTGTAGATCCGAAGGTTTGAAATCACGAAATGTTCCCTGTAGTATCTTGACTAACTTCAAGGGTTATAGAAGGATTTGTCTTCGGTTCTAGTCATCGTATGCCTCACTGGTCCCCGCGTGGATGTCTGACCTTTCTGGGTCATTTTTGAAAATCAATTAGAGCATAATACCATATAAAAGATAGTCTTATTGGGAATATATCTAGTCCAGAAGAAATGTCTATACTGCAATACCGGGCTCTGCAGCCGAGATGTATATAAAATAAGATTCTATGTTGATATAGTACCCCCTACCTATAGTGTGACCTTATAGTAATGATTCCCCGGCTAAACTCTATAGATGGACCATAAACTCTCTCACTTATTGTTTTATATCTCGTATCACACCGTCGAGAGTTAGCACATGTATGTAAGTCTTATATACCACATCCTAATCTTTCTAAACTCCAAACAAGGGATCTTGTCACCAAAAAAAGTGAAAGTGGCAGTATCAGCTATGAGTATGAAACTCCAGTCCATCCGCAAAACTAACTCGAGAAATTAAAGTCTTATTTTAGCTGGAGAGCTTTTATCCATGCCCAATATGGCACACCTTATTCCCCTGCGCCGGGTGACTCCGGCATTTTCCCGCGCCGATCCGGGGTAAAATCTCTGTACAAAATTTTCCATCAGCAACCATAAAACCATGTTCTCCCGTGCCTTCTCCACATTGAACCCATCGTTTCGTCCCACCTCTAAACTAATTATGTCCAATTTGATTGAGCAAGCCAAGAAGACTGCGGCATACACCGCGGTTGACGAAAACTTCCCTGCCCACGCGAAGGTGGTCGGCATCGGTTCCGGCTCTACGGTGGTGTACGTGGCCGAACGTATCGGTCAGTTGGCAAACAAGGCCGAATTTGTGTGCATTCCTACCGGTTTCCAGTCCAAGAACTTGATTATCGATAACGGTTTGAATTTGGGCACCATCGAACAATACCCAGAGTTGGACATTGCCTTCGACGGTGCCGACGAGGTCGATACCCTGTTGAACTTGATCAAGGGCGGCGGTGCGTGTCTTTTCCAGGAAAAGTTGGTTGCGGTGGCCTCCAAAAAGTTCATCGCCGTTGCCGACTTCAGAAAAAAGTCGCCGCAGTACTTGGGCACCAACTGGACCCAGGGCGTGCCCATCGAGGTGGTTCCGTGCGCGTGGGTCAAGGTCTCCGCTGACTTGAAGAGAATGGGTGCCGAGACCGTAACCTTGAGAGAGGGGGGTAAGGCCAAGGCCGGTCCCGTTGTCACCGACAATAACAACTTCTTACTCGACGCGCACTTCGGTGAGATCAAGAACGTCTCTGCCTTGCACAGCGAGATCAAGGCCTTGGTTGGAGTCGTCGAGACCGGCTTGTTTGTCAACATGACGGACAAAGTGTACTACGGGAACGAGGACGGGTCGTTTGAGTGTGTCCAAAAGTAGGTAGATAATAAGATTATTGAATAAGAAAATGAGGAGGAGACATCGTGAGTTGTCAGTGCTGGATCTGAGCTATTGACATTAGACGGTATATCTATCCTTAAAACCCGAGATATTTAAAATTCAAGTCACCAGGCTATATCACAAACCCTAGATTGGAGTATGTACCACGAATATGGAAGTCAAAGACCTAGAGCGGTTAACTTGAGTATTATCAGCAATTCACACGTATATACACTTAGTTTGATAATCGTGTTAGCCTGGTACGTATAATGTTACTTGTGATTCGATGTTGAAATAAAGACACTCGTAAGGCACTGCTTAGCATATCAGGGTTGGTCTGCATAAATACTTGAATACAAAAATAATAATAGCATATGCGATAATTCTTAATAGCTAACCGTCGATGGATCTAGCTTGGACGCTCTTGATAATCATACATCGGTAGAAGGGTCGTCGATACAGCATATGCGTTAAGAGTATTCTGGCCTTTAGGCTCCATTGGTGTTCCCAATCGTTTTTTTTTCCTCATCTAGCGTCCATCCGGGTCAGCTGCAATAATACAGATATTAATTAAAAAATTTAGTATAAAAGTCCAGAGGAAACGAAAGAAGGATGCAAGAGAAATCAGAGGATTTCAAACCCAAAAAAGACAGACAGAAGGAAAAATGAGCCACCAGGCTATATTGGTAATTAGGAAGAAACAAGGCTATCAAAGCTCGGGTCTCACGATGGGAGTTCTGACGAAATCGACAGAAAGGGGTAAGTTGGAATCTGTGGAATTCCAGGATTGGGAAGGACTCAGACATGGAGCTTTCCTAGGGGAAGAAGTTTGAACCAGGAGCTTCAACTCCGAGAACCGGGCTTCTATTCAGAAACTTCCGGGTAATCAGAAGCTCCAAGAATGTAGGAAGAGCCCATTACACATCCTTGGAGTTGCTACTGATCCAGTTCAAACTCTCTACTAAGCCAATTCCTTGGGTGGCAACGGTAGGTACCACGTTCCAGGTGTGGTCTTTCAACTTGTTCAACTGAAAGGACTCAATCAACTCCTTCGGCTTAACCGCGCCGTCCATGTCCTGCTTATTAGCAAGAACAATCAACAAACACCCCGCCAACTCCTTGTCATTGATAACACGCATCAACTCGTTCTTGCTCTCCTCCAATCTGGCGTGGTCCGAGCAGTCGACAACGTATATCAACGCATTGGTGCCGGTGAAGTAGTGTCTCCACAACGGTCTGACACGCTGCTGTCCACCACAGTCCCAGACGGCAAAAGTGACATTCTTCTGTTTGACGGTTTCAACGTTGAACCCGACCGTAGGGACCGTAGTGGTGGTCTTGGAGCCGAGCTTCAACTTGTACAAGATAGTAGTCTTACCCGCATTGTCAAGACCCAACATCAAGATACGCATCTCGCGGCTTTTGAAAATAGAGGACTGTCTGTTAGTAATGGCATTGAGCGACTCGGAAATGGCCAAAAATGAAAAGTCCTTGCTTTAGCTTCACATACGAATAAGTTACCCATGGTTGTCTGAGTTTTGAGCTGGGAAGAATGAATCAGGAAGAATGGGCCAAGATGGATCTGAATGGCTGGCAATATATTTGCGTCACCTGTTGTTATAAACGAACGTGTTGGCCTGTACGTGTGCCTATCCGACTAATTTTATGAGATCACCCCCGCCTGGTTCTAGACGCTGGCGCTATTAAATCTGCATGGTAGAGCTTTTCGGGCGTCAGGGGCGGGTGCAAAGTGACTCAAATGGGCGACGTGTACATAAATTATTACTAAGGTAACAGTCCCCTGCAGATCACCTCTCCCTTGAGCATCGTCTGGAACTGCTGCCGCTATCAGAGTTAGATCATATTTTTAAGCAGGACCCCAACGAGTAATATCTATTTCAAAAATTTGTGGATTCTCGTAATTTCACCGAATAGATTGATCAAGTCAGATTATGCCGGAAAGGGAAGGGCCTGCCCGCGTGCATATTACACGGTCATACTTTGCCTAAGTGGGGAATAACGACTGATAGCTTCAGCCTGTATAGAGCTTATTCGACTGCCGGAGGACTACATAAACAACAAGCAATCAGGCTATACTAAGGCTGTCCCAATCCCCTGGCACTGCGTCGTCTGATCTCATTTTACTAGGAATCAAGGTTTGGTATACGGCCGCCCTTGGCCTGTACGTCCTTGGGGATGCCTTATGTACCCTATTCAGAGCCTGGTCGGTAAGTGATCTTTGTCTGATTATCTGTAAAACTTTCGTTATAGGGTACAAGCAGGCTCTGGTGCCGTAAAATATCGTAAGCATGCTCTGTTAGCTGATTTCTATAGCTAAGGCCTGGTGATATCTGTTTAAGGTATAGCCAAAGATAGGGGTGTGTGTCCCAGAGAGCAGTCTCACAAATGGACCGGGAATACCGGATTAGATCGACCCGGGATTAAAAATCTTCTAGAACAATTAAAGCTTGTACTTCTGCTTGTTCTTCGGGATTTAAAATATAGCGCGGACAAAAACGTTGGTGCTTGGTCACGATTTCCTGTTTGAATAGCCCCGCTCAAAGGTGAATCTAGCTGAGTTGAAATTGGAGTATCCTTGGTTCTATCTTTAGAGTATCCCTATCCTACTGTCGTACTCACTGAGAGGGATTCCAGGGAGCATGGAATTCAAGGGTATGGGCGTGTTTAGTAGCGCCTCGTTAGTTTTTCCATCGTCACTGATTGATTGAACTCAACGTCTTAAAGGTTTAACCCTTCGTGTGTATCGTGTTACAGATATCACTTGTTATTTGTGTACTAATAACGGGCTGATAACAATGCCTCATAGTGTGTAATTAAAGCAGATCTGTGCCCTCTCTGTTTATGGATTGGATACAAAACGTATCCAATCTCACTTAAGCAGTCTTATTATTGTTATTGGAAATACTAGTCTCTCCAAGCCTTCAGTTTCAATAGTGGTCATCTTGTTCTGCCATCTACTTCGTATACATGTACTTAATGCTTTATTAGCTAATATATTAATATTTCATTTGATTTATGGAAAAGATGCTCAAGTTTAATGTGCACAATAACTATAAGCCAGACCATAAACGGCCACCCACAAATCATTAGTTGTCCTGAGATGTGTAGTCTCTTAATGGTGAGGGCCAGATTACCCAATGACTTTCGTAGTAGTTCTAATAAAACCAGTTCCTTGTTTGAAACTATTCGATCAACTGGCTAAATTGTGGCGTTAATGTTTATGAAAGAGTCCCTTGCATATACACACTGCCACCGTCTTACCAATATTAGTATATAGACGAGCTATGCGCCCCTCTAGATCCCAGAAATGGAATTTTCGAGACAGGATCGCTGTTTTCGTATCTATCGTTGCACCTCTAAAGCTGCTACTTCAACCTTGAGACATAGTGATCAAACGAATACATCGATATGTGTCCCTCTCGCAATTTCAGAGTTATAAATCTGTTCAACTCATTCAAGCTGCGAGCTGAATAAGAATAATCCAACACATAAAAGCGGTACAACAAAAGCATACCTGAACTTATAATTAAGGCTCATTATAGTCAACATCGTACTAAGCGAGAGGATATCGGTTTGGGATGGTAGCAAAATACACGGCAGATGTGTGCTTACTTTAAACTAGTATTTGGTTCATATAAACTGAGACTTTCACTATTGTTTTCGTGATAGCGCTCATTATCTGCCACTAACCAAAACCTTAGTAAAGAATTGGCTTTGAACTCCTTGCTCAAATTTTTGTTGTTGTATTCATAACTCATCTGATCCCTGCGTTAATAAAAGCATATTTTTGAATCAGCTATCGAAAATAAACACACAAGGTCGTAAGATGTTATATTTATTTTTGCCATCGATATGTTCGCCTTGTTTTCACAGGTATGGGCCATGGTTGGGTCTATAATCATAGCTCACGTACCCTCTTACCATTTCCTCTCTGCGCAAGAAGCGAAACCAACCACTCATGATCATTATCTAATAATCACATCATTTATTACCATTTATCACATATCCCCGTCCTATTTATTTATCTTCTTCCTTCCACTCCACAACTAGTGCCTTCTCTCCCCCTCTCTGTGTCTTTACTGTATACCCCGATTACCAGCTTCCTAATCATGCTGCTCCTTCTACCACTGCCTCTTTTATCTGCATTGCTGTGTCCAGCATCTTATATTCTTACAAAATCTTACCATAGCTCGTCGGGAACAATCCCCTTTTCCCGTTCAACTCTCCCTCAGTCCAGCCGTCAACATCGCCCGTGACCAATACAAGCTTGTCACCTGCACGGACAGAAATCTCGTCATCCCCATCAGCACTGTAGTCATACAAAACCTCGATATGGGCCACCTTTTTGGCGCCCCTCCGCGGAGCAACAGCCGGGCCTTTCTTCTTTTCCTCCACAATCTCGAGGTACGACGTTGGCACCAACCCCAGCTCCCCCGACTTCCGTGAAACCTTGGTCCAGCCACCGTCGTCTGCCTCCACCACACTCACAGCCTCCCCTACTAGCATCGACACTTCATCAGCCCCTGTGGCTTCGTACGGATACAACGCCGTTCCGGTGGCAATGGCGCTGGCGCTGGACGAAACAGAGGCAGTCTTGTGGCGGAAGTGGCCGAGCAAACCGCTTGTGTGTGTGGCGCCTGAGGAAGTGGTGTTTGCCGTAGCATTGGTGTTTGCCGTAGCATTGGTGTTTGTTCGCCTCAACGAATCACTCGTGCCCGGAACAATTACCGTTTTCTTCTTCCCAAAGAGTCCAAACAGCCGCTTGGTCTTCTCCTGTACGGTGTAGGACATATCTTGGTCTCCAGCGTAGTTCTGGATCGTCTCAACTTCCACCTGGGCAATCACGCGCTTGTTATCGTCCATCACATACATGTTCAACGTATTGATGATCTTCTTGAAGATGGTTTCGTAGTCGGCCAACTTTCCCGCCGCACGCAACTCTTGCTTCTGGCGAATTAGTTCCTCCAAGCTCTGCTTTTCATTGGTCGTGAGCTCGGTGTAGCGGTCCAAGCTCAGCAAGGACTTGTTCAATACCACCCGGAGGGTCGTCAATTCTGGTTCGCGTACCACCAAGTTCTCATCATCGTGCCAGATGGGCGACGGCACGTAGGTAAAGTCCACTGGCTCCGTCCATGGCTCCATGTTGTGCTTGATATACATCGCCGTGTCCAAATGCGGCAAGTTCTGCTGTGCGACCGCGTCGATCTGCTCGAGATTGGCACTGACGCGCGTACCCGCCGCCCGCTCCAACTCGCCTGCCCGCGCAATGATCGCGTTCAATTTCATCACGCGCATCTCGTTCAAGTCCTGGTAGTTGTCTAAAATCTCTGGCAAGTCTTGATAGTAGTACTTGTCCTTCAAACGGTTCGCGACACCGATTTTCATCAAGTATTCGTTCTTGGCGATGTTCATTTCCACCTCTTTCTCATGCTCACGCTTGCGCGTCTTGTCGCTCGCGGACTTCTCCGCCTTCATTCGCGCGCTCTCCATGCTCTGGCAAACGTGGTCGTAGTTTTCCTTCGATTTTTTTAACTCGCTGTAGAACTTTTCACGCTCCTCGTGCACCACTTCATGAAGCAGCGCTAACTTTGCGCGGAGCGCCTCTGAGTTTCCCTGGAGCTGTGTCACACGCGCCGCGACTTTCGCATTCAAATCGTCGCCGAACGCCATGCGGTCGCGCGCGCTCTGCTCCGTCTGGGTCAACACCTCTGTCCACATTACCAAAGATGCGCTCTCCAACGATCCGGGCGTCACCTTTGGCATGTCCCCAACTGAAAGCAGTGTCAGGACATTGGCCTTCTTCTTGAACGACTCCGCACACAACTGCTTCAACTTTGTCGCGTACTCGCGCTCCAACTCCGCGCGTGCACGGTAGAACGCCTCCACGTCTGAGAGCCACTTGATGTTGTTGTAAGCCCAAGCATCCGTCGGCTTGAACGCATCTTTTAGTTCGTTCCCGATGCTGATGTCGGACATTATCTTGTTTGTAAGTGAATTGGTGGGTGCTGTCATCCGTGTCGTTATCGCTGGAAATATCGCGCACGATCAGTTTGCGGGTCTTCGCGAACGGCTTGTGCGGCTCCTGTGTAGATCCGTCTCCGTGGGAGGTGAGAATATTTGAAATAGTAGATTTATTAGATTAATTATGTTAATTTGAACGGAATCTTCTTGGTTAACAAATAGACTACTTTCATGTCCTGGAGAGATTTTTGGGAAGTAAAGCTCCCAGATAAACTGTACTAACTAACCGCAGAATGCTTGAATGGTATAGACCAACAATAGTAAAGTAACGCAAAAGGATAACAAGATGTGCAGATGTTATTTACGGAAAAGGAAGGGCAATATGCTATAAGAAGGGATATACGTAAGCGAGGTGATTTGTAGTTATGTCAGACTTCAAAAAAAACAAGGGATAGAGACGTAGTTTAGTGAAAGCATGCAATTATGTTGATCCTAGCCAAAGTCCAGGACAAGCATAGGGGCTATATAGCCCGTGAAATTATAGCGGTACTATTTAGGCTCGGTTTGAATATAATCAATTGTCATACCATGTAGGCGATACTCCCTTTGCAATACTCTATAGACCAAGACAAGATTGAAGACTATAATAGTTGGATGTAAACTCTCTGGCTTCTTTCCAAAATGTACCTTAAATTAAGTCTATAGCGGATAAATGTATTGATGACTTTCTACTAGCAGTTTACGGGTATTCCAAATTGTTCAGGCGGATAGTTCGTTGTTAAAATAGTAATATCAAGTTAGTAATTTTAACCTGATTATATTGGTGTCAGTGCCCAGGAAATGAGATAGCCTTCCGGGTCCTCGGATATTACCTTACCCTTTTCAGGGAGTCTATAGTACGTATACTTTGCATTGGCTTACGAATTTGGTACGTTGGTCCGCCATGTGCTAGTAGCACCGTAGATTCTAACTGCAACCACTTCCAAATGGCAATTTTAACATCCTACATCTTCTTGCACACCCAGAACTCACACTCATACACCCATTTTCCGAGCGACCTTGAATCACACCCATACGTTGTCTCAATCCCGTTCTCATGCTTGATAAACTCAAACCCCATGGACACAACCAACTCAAGCAAATCTTCGCACGAAAGCTCAAGGCCCTTATCTGTATCCTCCTCATCATCCTCGTGGTGCCAAAGGAGTGGCCCAAAGTTGACCCACGTTCCCCCAGCCCTCAAACAATAGTGAATACTCCGAACATAGTCGATAACATTGGCAGCGGTATCCAAGAAAAAGCACGTAGCCACCACGTCCCAGCTTGCCGCATTTTCCGTTCTAAAAGATGCCGCTGTGGCATCGGCGGAGTATGTCTCCGACAAAGCCAAGCCTGGAGGACCGTAGAGATCCACGAATGACCCTGCGGTCATGGACATTAAATCTCCCACGGGGATATCTGGATATGTTCGGTTGAGCTCGGAGACGTCCCCCACGCGGAAATCAGGCACCGTCACCGGCCTGAGCTGACTGTTGCGCTTGGCGGTGTGCGAGAACTTGTGCAAGAAGGGAAAGATCGAGTAGTGGTGCGCGACATAGGTATGGTTGAGAATGAAGTTGGAAGCGAGCAACATGTGATAGGAGAACTCGTTGCCCTGTGTAGTAAAGCCTTCTTTGACAAGGTCCACCACAAGTCTCCCCAAGCCTGCGCCCGGCACTAACACCTTCACCTGCTGACGGTCAGGAACCGATGGAAACGCCCCGATGAGATACTCTGTTATACGACCAAAGCTGCACTCACGTTCAGTAATGCATTCTTCGGACCATTCCCGTGTGAACTGGAGCAAAACTGACCGCACTTTGTCAAAGTCTGAGTCGGTACACCCTGCCCATTCGTCTGGGGGGGTTGCCACCTGCCAGTCTGCCGCCACAGCAGTGGCTAAGTTTTGAGTGAATTCCTGGTTCATACCAATACACGAGTCAAGATTGCGTAAATGATCAAGAAACCACGGAAGCAAGAGTTTATCTGCTGAGGACAAGGTGTCCCACTTCTTCTGTCTCGGCAGGAGAATATCGTTCCTGGCCCATTCCCCATACCGGTGGAAGGACGTGCTGAGGTGTTAGTGTCTGAGAAATATTTGCTGTGGCTAGATATGTCTAATTGGAGTACGTATTGCGTCTGGATACTCAGGATTGATATCCACCACCGGAAGCTCGAGATTGGCACATTCGTCGTAACTGAAAGCTCGCCAATCCTATTCTTGACTGCCATATGCCTGACTCTGTACTTACAGAACCGAGGTCAATGCCTTGTACTCTTGCTCCTCGTCTGTTTGTTCGTTCATAGTGATTCTAAGTGAATTCTCCGAAGGTGGGTAATATATCTACCATGCTCAAATGCAGATCAAAGATTCAGCATCATGCGATGCAACCTGGGTTTCATGCAGGTCTGAATTAGGTGCGAAGTCTGAGAGTAAAATAGGATGAAAGGGCATAAGCTTTGGGGACACTTGAGGGTATACATGGCTGTTGACATGATATACTGCAAACGAGTATGATATGTTTGCTTAAAACTGATAGATTCGACATTTTGCCCCATTAAACATTAAGCCTTATATTTGGACTTATGCATTAGTTAGCACGGATCGTGATAAAATCACTTCCTGGTGTTTGAGAAAGCTTCGACTTGTCTATCTGTAGTGACTCGCAAACATGCACGAAATATGCTGATACTAAGAATGTCGAGGATTGGAATATTATAACAAAGAATATGTATTAAATAGGATGGTTATTGTTTATAGGGCTTGGAAATTTCCAAGGAGGTACGTCCAAACTATACCACTCTCAGTCATTTCCATGGATATATAGCCAATTCTCTTGATAGATGGATGCCAGTCGAGATTCCCGCGCCCTTTAATGGTACATCACGGTAGCAAGAGGGCAAATCTGAAGCGAGGATGGTGGCTCAAACAACGAATCTCCAACCCTCAGAAGACCTAATTACACGATTATTGGCACAAATTTCGTGGATTGAAATAATTTGGGTAAGACCAATGGGGTCCCCCAAACTGAACTCTCAGGATAATCCCAAGTAATAATGAAATGGCAATTCGCCAGTGGAGAATTATCAGATAGTTACGTTCTACATACTATCTCCTGATAATTGTCGTTACTTCGTCTCGGTCAGGGTTGGAACCGCACGCAACCTACGGTTCTCCTCCACCACCTGCTGGACCAAGTCAGTCAAGGCGTCGATCTTCTCGTAAAGCTCGTACAACTCCCAGCCTACACTGGTCTTCTGCGCCTTCTCCACCGGTGGCGCCACCTTGTCGACCCGGTTGTTCCACTCGGACAAGTTGATGGAAAACTCCGGGTCCTCTCTCTCGGCATGTCTCTGCAATCTGACGCTACTTCTGATGGCGTCCTGGGTCTCCTGGATGCTTTCATTGCTCCAAAAGGCGTCTTCAAACCCGTCTGTAAGGTCCCACTCTAAGTCCACCTCATTAGCATCGTCCGGGAGGTTCTTCATCCGGTTATATTGGACACGTCTGCTCAAACGGACTTCCGAAATGGCGATGTATGTGAGTAATGGCGAGTAAACGACGAGCATCACATAATAGTTCACCTTGGAATAGATCCGCTCTTTCATCCAGAGCTCAAGTGGAATACAAAGAAAGACCATTTCCACCACGTTCAACGGCGGAACAAAGACGTTCTCGTCTGGGGCCCTGATGTAGCGGAGGGTTTTCTGCGCCACAAGTGCAAGGTATTCATCCGTGGCGTGGTCATAGATGAAACTATATGCAGAAGAGTACAACGCCACAAGAATGTTCAATAAGATGACCGAGACGATAAAACAGTATACGTGGTAGAGGATATTGGCGTACGGGGAGGCCAAATGGGACAACGCGTCAAAGTCAGCTCCACCCAACACGGTGCGCACCATCACCGTCATGATCAACGCAGTCGACTCGCGCTTCCCATCAGAGATATCGAGTCCCAAGAAACCCTGGAGGAAACCGAGCATGATGATGAACAATAAGGCAAAGAAGATGAGGGATTCCGTCATCATCCGCTTGACTACCACGATCATGGCGCCCACAAACGGCTTGGCGTCGAGGTAGAGAATCAAACGGCAGAACACAAATGGCGACGCAGTACTCAATACGCGGTACGAGATCTCACCATAGAGCAGGGCCTTCCCGGCATGATTGTGGTCCTTCTCTATGAGCATCCAGAACGCTTCATATAATGCCAGGGGGTTTTCCGAGTGCTCACGTTGATTCTCAAGCAAGGATAAGCCTCTAAAAACCATGGAAATGACAATAATCGAGTAGAGCAAGCTGTTATACGCATTCCAAAAACCAAAGTAAGCCTTCCCCACATGGAAGAACTTGACAAACTCATCCATAATGAAACCCACAACAAACACATAAAAAGTAACTTCCCCCGCGTCCAAGCCGTGGAGGTCATAGCGCGAATTGACCACCACGCTGTACAAGGCCAAAAACAAAAACGAAAACCAAATCTCCAACATGTTCTGGTACAACGGAGTTTTGATCCGGCCTGGGTCGAAGTGCACCCAGAACGAAGACTTGTCCCCGTTCTGGTACATCACATATGCATGCGGGTCTTGCGCAGACTGTACGATCCACCCGCGCCACAACCACTTTATGCATCGCTGGTAGCCCGAGGAGCCGATGACAATGGTGGAATGCATATCAACCGCTAATTCCAACGCATTCTGAGGAGCTGCATCTTCGTCGTTGAGACAGATGGTGTAGCGGCGACACAACATGGAGATGAAACAGTAGCGCTCATCCTTTTCCAGCTCGATAATCATTTTCGCGAGCTGCTGCGCCGCGGTCGCGCGGCAGGTGTACAACTCGCTATCGTGAAGCTCGGTCTGACTCTGCGTCCAGTACCAACCGCAAACCTTTAACAAGCAGAAGATGATGCACGAACGGTACTTGCGCGAGGAACTGCCGCGCGCACCATCGCCCTTACCACCTGCCGCCTGGACCGCAAGCTTCACAACGTTGTCGTTGAGCAAGCGTGAGCCCTGCTGGGTGATGAAGTCGTCGGGAACCGCAATGGGGATGACTTTATCAATAAGGTGTTTCAAGTTCAACGCGATGCGCAATGTCTGACGCGACGTGGGAGTCGTATACGACTCGAAGCGGTCCTCCGCCGTGGGAAGCACAATCGACATTTGTTGGTGAGATGATTCAGAGGAAGCGGTATAACGAGTATTGTTCAAGTAGTTTGGTACAAGAGCGTCGGCAAGGGCTGGGGGGTAGCAATCGAGCCAGCAACGCGGACGTCTTCCGTGTTTCCTTATGCATGGGGAATATGCAGGTCGATTTCAGCTTGGAGTCGGGACCACGCGCCACATGCAGCGCCCAAGCTACGACGCATCGAACCTACATCTCTTAAGGAGTGATGATTGGGTTTTTAAGGGATAGGAATTTATATAAGGCATCCAAGTGCGAATGGCCTAATTATTTATGTGTTTGTTATCGGGAAAAGAGTAATTTCGTGGTTGAGATGGGAAAGTGTTGCGCCCCGTGACGCGCATGATTAGTCTAGACACCTAACAGGAAGCATCCAAATCCCCCGCATGACTCTTGATTTGGAATACACGGCGATGTCTACGCGTTTGAAGCTTCTCCAGAATGTGTAATAGCAGTTTATAATGCCAAAAGTAGTAATTCGCGGTGTTTCTGTCGAAGTCGTTTTTTATATATCGTGCTCTTAGAGTACTGCCCTGCACCCCTGATGTCTCCTTGGATATGCGTAACCGCGATATGAGGAGCCAACTTGATATTTTACCTAATCACCACATGGATGCGAATTCCATAGAAGTCTGTATAGCGTGGGTACAGTTATCGCACCTAGAGAGGTGACGTTAGGTTAACCTGGCATATTAACAAAGCCAGTAGATAGGCATGAGAGTTTCCGAGAATGTATGACGTATCGATGTAGCATAGACCGGTGGGTAAATATCTTGAAAGCTAGATAGTGCGGCTTTCCCCAGGTCTCCGTTCCGTCTTTCTCTTACATAATGGGAGTCCCCATAAATATTTTGAACGGTGGTTTATTTTTAAGGGATCTCGGAAATAAGCTATATCTGAATGTCTAACACATTTGTTCAAGTTCAGCTAAACTTTTATGATTCTTGAAACAATACACACAATAGGAATATTTACCTCCTAATTATTTGATCTGGTCCGACTTTGGGTCCGTGGTTCCTAGGATTATTTTGCCCATAGTCCGAAGAATCCAGACACTTGTGACTGTTTTAGCCCCCTGCCAACTGAGCCTTGCGGTCAAATTCTGTATCGCAGAGTCAGCCTCAACGCTAGAACGGTGCTAACGACTTTTTTTTTTCAGTTTTTTAGTGTTTCATATATGGATCTGGTAAATCTTCTTAGTTATATCTGTATATGGTTACAGTTTCTCTAAGGTCTCCACAGACACTACGCATTAATGTAGTCATAAGCACAACACCATGCTATACAGCACCCACTAAACCATTCGGCATATATATATGTATATATATTACTGCATACTCTGTTTATAGACTTGGTATAGCTAGCTTTTATCCTTACAAGGTGTTTTATGCGCTCCGGCAGAAAACCACCGTCCACATTCAGAGTAGAAAACTCTGTCTAAATAAATTGAATTAAAGTCTCAGTGTGTATCATGGCTTTCTGGGTTAGTTTCATGAAGGCTGTTTTTTAGTAAACTGCTACATATATATAATAAACATCTTACAATTTCACTCGTACCAGCCATAAAATAACGAGCTTGCGTCTTCTTCTCCTCTACTGGGTAATTTATCCGGTCCCTGCATGTAGTATGATGTAATGCAATGTGAAACCAGAGCTCCAGTTTTTGTTAATGGTCATATTCTTGACGCTAACAAAACAGAAACTGCTACATTTAAAAGCCGTGCCTCTTTCCACGTATCAGAGACCCTCCATGAGGTCATTTATCAAATCCCACCGAAGAACTGCCTCCTCCACAAGCGAAGTTGGGGAGCCCCCCTTCAAGCCACCGCTGGTGTTTACCAACCAAAGCCCGTTAGCCTCACCCGTAGTCCCTCACATCTCCAGCTTCCAACCACCATCACCTATCCAGGGAAGTCTCTCAGTACCGTCGTCGCCCAAGCGCTTACTCCGTCCTATCCGCGACTTTTTGAGCAAGAAGCCACATGAAATGAGAGACAGAGCCCCGGGTGACTCCAGAGGCGAGGCCAGCAATGAGGTCATAGGCGAAGTCAGATGCGAAACTTTCAGTGATAACCTTGCCTCCCTCCCTCCCCAACTCCTCCTGGCCATGCCGATTCACCCCAAAGTCCGTGTCGGCAGCTTTGAGAACTTGCTGCGGTTAAACGACGGTGCCCGGCGACTTGAGACGAGACCCATGTCGGAGCCACTCCAACCGCCCGTCTCTTACAGCCCCGACGCCTCTGCCTCGGCGCTCTCCGTTCAGACGTCACAGGGGACGCTCGAACTCGCCTCTGTGGCCAAAGAGGCTGAGGATGACTCGGACTCGAGTAGCAGTTCCAAGTTTTCGTTTGAAAACGCGATCGGCGGACGCAACACGTCGGTAAAGTATTACAAAAAGCCTGAGACAGGTACCGTCGGCGAAATCCTTCGTCAGGGACTATTTCGTCGCCAGAAGAGTGTGTACATGTCGGATGTCGTCGTTGACGACGATTTGGACGACGATGTGAACGACTTTGAGGGCGAAGAGTATGACGATACCGAGGAGTTGTTTAATCGGAAGCTTTTTAGTAGCGATGAAGAGATAGAGGGGGAAGTGTATGCTGACGGGTATGCGGATGATGGAGAATCTGATGATTATGCGGAGCTAACCGAAAATGGGATTACAGAGCTAAAAGAGAGTGGGTATACCAGGCCCATCGATGCTTACTCCGACTTGGAAGATGATTATGCCGAGCTAATGTGGAATGCGAATGAACCTTCTGTAAATAGCTCTTCAGGGCTGGTCAGACTGTATATCACAGACCTGACGTCGAAACCTGGCGGCGAGGATGAGAACGGTAGTGGAAAGTTTTGGGAGGCTGACCAGCAAATCAAGGCTAATCCTGGTGATAATGCAAATGGCGCTAATAAGACAATTCCTGGTACCAATTCTGATACCTCCAGACCCCTTCCTTCTATCAATTATGGTGATCCCACGGTTTTCAAACCACTTCCCGTTATCAGTGATTTCACCAGCACAGCTAAACCCCTTCCTATTAGTAAGGATTTTCGGGTTTCCAGATCCCTATCTGCCATAAATTCTGCTAACCAGACCTCAAAAGCCTCTAGCGATATAGATAGCCAAAACAAGGCTCTTCCTCGTGCCCGTACCAGTATTCAACTCTCTAAAGCCCTTCCTGCTATTAATACAAACCTCTATTCCCTGGCCGAACTGATTCCTGCGAATAAACATCTCCAGGAATCTCTTCCAGTGGATCGTACTTTTCATAGTTCTTCTATGAGTACCACTCTTCAGAGGTCTCTTCCTATGGATAACCTCCAGTCTCTTCCTACCGCACACCCCTCATCTCCTATTCTCTCCTCGGATTTTTTTTCCAATTTCCTCCTGTCTCGTTCCAATTCCAGTGGTTCCTCCCCCGACAACCACCATCCCTTGTTCCGCCTTGCAAGCAGCCTCGATCCTTCCAGCTCAAGTTCACAGGCTCTTCAGTTGCAAGATGCGATTGCGTTCACGGAACTGGTGGCAGAACCAGTCACTCCCACCCGCAATGGGTTCTTCAAAGGGCTCTCGAACCGGTTGAACGGCCAATTTCTCGCCGTGGACGACTTCGATGTGAGCCCCGGCGATAAGTCGCCACTTATCAACGGGCTTACCTTTGGCTCAGGACGCATCCGCGGCCGCCCGCGGGAGAACTTCTCTCTAGCCGATTCCAGCCTCCAGGAGAGTTTGGATGAGTTGGCGAGAATACAGTCGGTAGAGCCGGACGTGAATATGACAACGGTCAGCTGTGCTTTTGCTGAGAACCTGATGGATCTGAATGATCTATCTATGAGTGAAACCACAGTTCGTATGACCCCCCTGGAGGAGCTCGATGCTTTGTTTCCGGTGAGTTCTGGTGTCTCGGAAAAACTAAGTACCTTATTACCTAAGATGAATTTGGTAGACATCAATACGGATTCTACTGATGGATTCTCTTTGTTACCTAAAACTCTGGTAGATAAGGAGTTCTCCCAGGAACTTGGGTTGTTTCCTAAGATGGATCCGATAACTAGAACCAGTATTCCCTCAGAAGATGCACCCCCTTCAAAAAATCACTCCGCTATTTCTGATGAGCTTAAAAACTTTCTCCCCAATCCTGTGAATACAGCTCTTTCTGAGAGATCGCACCGCCTTTCTCAGAAAACACCGGCTGCTTCTGACGAGCTCAAGGCCATACTTCCTAATCATGATATATCTTCCCGTCTCAGAGCTACGCTTCCCAAAAACCCGGATATAGCTCTTTCTAAAAGAGCCAACGCTACTCCTTCTACAAGCCTGGCTCTCTCAGAAACGTTAAATAACCTTCTTCCCAGGAATCCTGCTCTCTCCCAGTCCAGCGCCACTTCTTCGAATCCCCATACGTTACGTCCCTCTGATAACCCTATGGGCTCCGTCGACAGAATGGTTCGCTCTCGAAGCGTTAAGGTCTCCCACCTATCAGACCATTTCGATAGTGACTTGACGTTTCTCAAATCAAAGTACTCGTGGTACGATGAAGGTCCCCCCGACCTCCCTCCTGCAAACCGCAACTCCACAGGAACTTTTGACGACTCACTCCTCGATGAAATCAACCAGCTCCCGGAAGACTTTGACTTCAGCGAGCGGCTGGAACCGGAACGCCAGCCAGCACTCTACAAGTCCAAATCGTTCAGGGGGAGACCCGTAAAGGCCGTCAGTGATACTAATGTCTCATTGAACCGCATAGAAACGGGTAGCAAAACCGTCACGTTCTTCAACCTGGGCACCAAAGGCGACTCGTCGCTCTCCTTGGGATCGAAGGAGAGTCTGTTTACCGAGATTGCGGAGGAAATGTGGGGAGATGCCTTGACCCCAGTCTCTTCGCATCCCCAGCCCTGGCTCTCACCGATTACTGAAGCGGATAGTCCAGTGGTAATAAGGCACAAGCATGGTGAGTCTATCTGGCAGGGCGAAGTTTAATAAATCTATTGTAATTTTATTGCTTTCAACCTAATATTTTGGATAATAGTGGTTGTTTGACCGCTTGTTTATCATAATGGTAATTTGGACTCTGTAAAGTATAGCTAAGCTATAGAATTGTGACTTCCTCCTTTTTTAATGGCCTTCTCGTCAGATAAATCATAGCAGATTCCTTTAGAGCCAGATATGGAACCCAGATTCAACCCACATGAGCTCGAGAATTAGTTTATTTTGTTGTACACGCGGCCTTACATGTTATAAAGATACGTGATGCGATTTTTTAATCTTACAGTTAGTCTTTAAATCAAATATTTAGTCTCGGCACTCCCAACTTACCCAAACTCAACTTTGATATTTGAAATAAATTTTGGCAATCTAAATTGAAGGCTATCAATCCAATTACGTTTTAAAAGACATTACTTCCACTCTCTCACATCCTTATTTCGACCCATATCCTAGGCCTACATCTAGCCCATTTCCGTTAGGTAGTGCGCAGCACAAAGGTCGGAATTTATTTCGCAACTTCACAACATAAGAAACTCTCCACTAACAGCCTATCTAGAAGCTTCATCTATTATTTACCATCCATCCTGGGAACATCCGACCCAAGATGTTCAAGAAAGAGTAAGTATCGGCACCTTTGCTCTTCCCTACGGCTACTAACTCCTACAGCCCTGTGGAACGGACGCTCAAACTGGCAGAGCTCTATTGGTTAGCGAAGTCACCGTGGTTCCCGCTCTTCTCTGAACGCGGCGTAGCGCAAATATTCCCGGAGCTCGCGGGTTTTTTGGAGAAGCAGTTTGTAACGGAACCAGCAGAGCCAACAGAGCCCACTATTGTGCCCAGCCTTGCACCCCTCAATGCCACACGAGTGTTGCAACTCCGCGCGAACCGTGAAAGGCGCGAAGCGAAAGAACTGGCCGCTCGCGAGAGCACAAAAGAGCCAGCCTCACGCGAAAGCCCAAAGGGTTCAGATGCCGCAAATGAGAACCCTGGCACCGTGATTGAAACGCCTAACGCTGCGTGCGAACTGGTGCGCGAAGTGCAACTCCCCGGCGAGCCCTATCTCAAAAAGCGTAAGCTCGCCGAACTGCTCACAGACCCTGAATTCCTCGACCCGCACATATTGGACACGCACACGCGCGAAAACACACTCGTGTGCGTGTCGCGTGACCACGTTCCGCACCAGTTCGCGCCTCGCGATGACATCTCGCCGTTGGCCGAGTTGTATTACTTGACACAGACTTTGCCGCTCCTCAAGCTCATACCGGGGTCGCAGAAGGCCTTAACGACCGAGACCTATGAGAAGGCGCTTCTCGAGGGCAAAATTGCGGTCGTGTACTCACGCATCGAGGAACTCAAACGTATGATGCGTTGGAGCTTGCGGCAGCCGGAAAAGTTCCGCGACCCACTCGCGCGCGACGCCACGCGCGACACCCACTGGGCGGCCTTGATGCGCGAGGCCCTGTGGTTGGCCGTCGACGTGCACGAGCAACGCAAAATGCAGCTAGCCGTCTGCCACATGAAGGCCCAGGCCGTCATGGACTACTGGAGCTACGGACGCATCATGTGTGTACGGCGGAGTCCTATTAAGCACTTACCAGAAAGCAAGGATACGGTTAGTCCTGAGATCGATTCAGAGATGGTTGACGCTGACAAAATTGCTGTAATAGCTGAAACTCCTGAGACTGAGATTGACTCTGGAATCGACGTTTTCCTTCTTACGCGCCCGGACCCTATGCTGGATATAGTCCCACCAGTGCTCCCAGAAATCACCCGTGAGGATTTCCAGCGGCTTGACACCACCGTGCTCCCTTTCAAAGTGTCCGTGGGCTTTGACGAGCTCAATGGTGTGAGCCAGAAAATCGTTGACAGCTTGTCCACCTTCAATCCGTTCGATGCGCGCGGTGATGATGCATACGCGCGCATGCCGGTCGTGGCGATCTCAAAGCTCCTCTCGCCGCTCGAGGAGGCGGACGACGGCTGGTATAAGGTGTACATGCAAGAGACACGCGCGCCACGTGCGGCCGCCGCGCGCGGCCCGCAGAAGGGCCTTTTTGGGGTCTCCAACAAACGTGCGCTGGTACTCCGGCCGCCGAAGCCACCCGCGCTCAAGTACCTCGACTTGCGCACACCCACAATCTGGCTTCCGCAGGACGACAAGTACCTCATCCACTACGTGGCGGAGTACCAGTTCAACTGGGGCATTATCGCTGCAAACCTCGCTGCACGCGCAACGCATAGCTACGCAGCGAATATCGAACGACGCACTCCCTGGCAGTGCTTCGAGCGCTACATTCAGCTCAACGACAAGTTTCAGTTTGGTGACATGAAGGGCGTGCACGCGTTTTCGGCCCAACGGTGGTTGGAGGCGGCCCACAAGGCGCAGACTAACACGAAGCGGCGTATTTCACCGTTGGGCGTGGGGAATGAGTCTATCCAGCGCGGGCACCGCCGCTTGCGCTGGGCAAGTATGTTTGAGGCGATGCGTAAGTGCATGCGCAAGCGCGAAAACACACCGAAACCAAATAACACGAGTCGCAAATTGGGCGGGGATGATAAGAATAATGGCCCGGTTCCTACACCTGCGGAGCTCGCGAAGTTGAAGTACGAGCGTGATAAAGCTATCCAGGAGGCGTATTTACAACAGCAAAGCCTCCGTAACCCGCCAGTCGCACAAGCTCCTGCCGTGCAGGTGCCCGTTACACGCGTAGCAGTACCCGCACCGCGAGCTACGCCGCTTCCCGTCGCGCGGCCGCCGGCCAAGCTTCCATCGGGGCGTAACCCGAACGTTCCCACCACACCCAATGGCACGCCTTACACCGCAGAGCAGTTGCAGTACCTCATGCGCTACCAGAAACAGCGCAAGTTGCTTGCACAGCAAGGTGCGCGCGTGCCCGCGGCCAATTCGAATGTCCCAGCGGTTCCCAATGCGATCCCTAATGCGGTTCCCAATGCAAATTCCCCAGTTGGAAACTCCTCGAATGTGAATTCGCCAGTCATAAAACCGGCGGCGGTACCGGTCGCCAGTCCTGTGGCGGGTGTGGCAAATGTTGCGGGCACACGAGTGGCACCTCCGCCGCGGCTTAATCTCTCAACAGCACAAGTCTCTGCGATAGTCAGCCAGATCCAGCAGCAAAACCCGAATATGTCGAATGACCAGATCCGCAAGCTCGCGGCGCAGTACATTTCGCAAATCAACAACAATCGCATGAAGGCGTACGCCGCGAGCCAGGCGAACCAGCCATCGCAGCAACTTCAGCAGCAACAATTGCTCCAACTGCAGCAGCTTCAGCAACAGCAGTTGATCCAGCAGCAACAGCAGCTCCAGAACCAATCACAGAAACTCCTGATGCAGCAGCGCCAGCAACAGCAACAGCAGCTCAAGCCCGCGCAGCAAGCCGCCTACGAGCAGCGCAAGAAGATGATCTTCCAAAAGCAGCAGCAGGTACAACAGGCGGCCGCGGCGATTGCGAAGCTGCGCCAGGGCTCGGGGGCGTCGAGTCCGGCGTATTCGCCAGCACCGAAGGAGTAAAATGGGTGTGGAGCGTGACGTCCAACCAAGCTCTTGGTTACCTGTGTTTATAAATATGAAACTGCTCTGAATAGATTGAATACGTATAACCTTCTCGATATAGACTGAAATGTCTGATATTGAACAAGTCTCTAGTGCAGGATGGATTTAACCATGGATATGAGAGTCGATGTTAGTGCGCGTGCTGGTTTACATGGGTAACTCCACAAACAAAACCACCTGCCATCAATATCGGCACACCTATTCCGATACATGTCTGAGAATTCCAACCTCCGCTATTCTCCAGTCCTGTACCCACACTTACACACATTCAATACAAACATAACATTAACCAAATTCTTGGATCTGCTTACTCTAAAACGGTGATACCAGTTTCCTCGACGTTGGCGCCATTGAGGACGTAGCTGATCTTCCACTTAATCTTGACGGCGTCAGAAGGACTAGCGCCACCGAGGACCATGCTCTGGTTGATGACACCGCTGCCCGCATTCAAATCCGTGGCTGAAGGCGGTTGCAACTGAAGGGAGAACTTCTTCGGCGGGGCGGCCATAAACGTTACATTACCCAAGGCAACGGTGCTTTTGCTGGTCAACTGTAAGTCGTAACGAGAGCCTTGCGCCTTGGAGTAGATGACCTTTAAGTTAGCGGACTCAGACAAAACCTTTACTGGGGACGCAGCACCAAATGGATCGGCCTGAGAGACACTGGCAGGGCTGGAGGCTGGGAAAGCAAGTCTGAATGGATCCAATTGGGCAGGAGATGGTGATGCCTGGGCTGGGAATGCAAGCCCGAATGGATCAGATTGCACAAGGGCGGGGGAAGCGGTCTGGCTGGTCGGGAAAGCAAGACCAAAAGGATCAGATTGGGCAGGAACAGGAGACGCGACAGCCAGTCTGTTGTACAAGCTGTTCAAGTCAATCAGTCCACCAGTGCCAAAGTTGTTCAACGCCATGTTTGTGTTCACGTTGTTAGTGTTAGAGAACGACAACGAGGACAAGTCACTTAACAAATCATTGATTGAAGTCTCCTGGGCAGCCCCCACTGGTGGATCGTCATCAAAGTCGATCAAGTTCAAGCTCTGGGTGTTCAGACTCTGAACAGGAGCGCTATCACCCTCAGTCTTCCCGTATTTCATCATCTGGTATTTCTGCATCAACCCATTGATTGCGTCGTTCAACTCCAACAATTCCGTCACCTTTGCTGGGTCCTCGCTGTCCTCCTGCTCCTCCTCAATGATCATGGTAATTTTAGGCTTGGCAACCTTCACCGCTGAGTACAACTCGTTCAACGTGTCATCGGAATCGTCAATTTTCCCGCCCTGGGCCTCCACTGTGGTCAACATGTCGCGGAAAAGATCCACCTTGCGCTTCAACTTCTGAAGATCCTCGTGGACAATGGTCTTGTTCTGCGCAAGAACTTCGTCATCCTTGAACCCAGCCATGATTTTCATCAACTTGTTCGCCTCCTTCAAATCGTTTGGCTTGCCACGTCTGATCAACTCCTGCAACTTCGCGGAATGGGCAATTTTCTCTTCCTTCTGGATCTCCGTGACTGACTTCAAGTTTTCGCTCGGCTGCAACACAGCCAAGTCCTCACGCTTCAACTCAGGGAATACATAGCCCTTGTACGCCAACAACCGGTGCATATCCTTGATAAAGCCGAGGTCATCCTTGTACTTGGAGGAGCGGCAGATGGTTTGATACCACTCCTCGATGTACGCCAAGATCTGGCGCTGCGGGCGCAGGTAGCGTGGCGGTGGTCTTTCGGGAAACTTCTTGACAAACTCGTTCAAAAACTCCTTGCGCGAGATCTGGAGGTGGAACGGGTACCCACAGTTCTTAACAAGGTGGTCAAGCAACGCCAATGCCAACTCGGAAACCGCCGGGTCGTATCCGTTGATAAGGCGCACAATGGCGACTGCTGCATCACGTGGCGCCGAACCCTGCTTTTCGTTCACGTAGTCGCAGATCTCAAGGTTGAGCGCGAGGTCCGGTTCGTGCAACGTCGGGCGGCACGCCCGGTGTATTCTGCGGATTAACCGCGCATTTCCGCTGGAAGATGGCTGCAGCATGATACAAAAAAATAAGAACTAGGTGTGTAGAGGGTATCCAGGGATGGATGGGTGGCGTCTGTGATGAATTGGAATGGCGGTGATAAGTGGTTGAGGTTGAAAGAGAATCTGGCTACGTTGGCGTAGCGGGGCACGCACGTGACTGAGGATCTCCGATAGGCGCGATCCTTGGCGTAGTATAAAAGGAAAGGGGCAAACCTCTGTGTATAAGTCTGTTACCAATAACAATAAGTGTATTTTTTAGTGGCTATTACTAATTTAGGTAATAAAAATGGTTGGATTCCCGGTGTGTCTGGTGGGGTTCTAGTATCCCCGGCTGGTGTGAAGTTATTTCCTGTAACAAGACATAGCTTGGCAGACAACTGGTAAATGTCCCGAATTTCTTATTAATTGGAAGGACAGAACGTTTCCTCGGAGATTAAATAAGACGAATTTTGCGATGGTTTAAAAGGTACAAGGTGGGGATTTTGCCTAAATGACAGATGATTATAGCACGCGTATCAATAGTTTGGGGTCATTCAAATCTTGTCTCCAATCCTAGCTCAAGAAATATTTTTATACTCGAAGATTGTTGTCCTTAAATTATGCTTTCTTTCTAAGCCTTTTCTTTATATATGTCAAAAAATGAAACTAGCAGACCGCGTAAATAGCAGTTGAGGCTACATAGTACAGTTAGCCCGAGATTAAGGGACTTAGTTACTATTTGTTTCGTAAGATTCTATCATTTTGTATACTGCCCATAAACTCACCGCCAGGCCAATCAGACCACCTTTCTGAAATATTTATCGGACTTTCATAGAACTCTCTACCTGGTAATAGGACCAAAGTTTGTGCAATATTTACTGAACTATCAAATTTTAGCATTGAGGGATGTTAAGAGACCTGAATGTTCCTTTAATGACAATTTATATTCTCAGCCATCTACAGTCTTCGTTGAAAACTCCGTAATAAACTAGCTAAATGACACCCATTAATACAGCTAGGTCTCCTGTGATTGAGCAAACATGCGCTCAGATATCGGAGAGTACATAATCGAGTTCACAAACTTCCCATAGTACCGGTTGATACAAGCAACGGCCAACACATCGCTCTTAATGGATGTGGTGGCAAGGTGATTAAGGATAACATGACTGGGAACCTCAGTGCGTTCGTGCTTCTGGTACTGGGCGTACTTTCCCAAGTTTGTTGCCTCCTTCGGAGAGCTTGTTCTAGAAGGCGACCCTGGGTGCAGACGCAACATGTTGTGCTGACTAACGAGAGCAGCCCTGGTGTTACCTGAGCTGGTCCGAGACATGGGTGATGCCTTTGCCCCCTCGTCAGCAGCAGTCTTGGCTTTGTAGTGGAAGTGGTGATCCTGACTGTTTGTATTCACGTCGACATGTTTCTTGATTTTATCTGGGTGAAGTAACGTCTTGTGCAACAACACATGGCTTAGGTGGGGTGGGAGATGCGGAGGCTCCATTTTCTTATTCTTCTCTTTTCTCTTTGCACTCTTTGCTGTCTCCTCATCACTGCTGGGGTCATCCTCTGTGCTCTTATCGCCGTCTGTTTCAGTGTCGTTCACTTCGGCCGAAGATAGTAAGCGAGGGTATGCTTCCGGGTCCATGTATATGGCCGGTATATTTTTGGTGTACTGCACTGCGGGGACAGAAAGTGCCAGCTTGAAGATATCAACATCCGGTAAATTGGGTGTTAGCTGGACTGTCGAGACTCCCAACGGGGTGACACATCCGTGGGGGTGGGGCAGGATGGCATGACTGTCGCTCTCAGGACGAATTGCGTGGAAGTCAAGATCCTTGGGCAGGTTGTCGGCTGGGAGTGTAAACAGCATTTCATGGTGGTTGATGTAGGAGGACGAAGAGCGAGACTTAGAGTCAAGATAGTTAGGGTGTTTCGCACTGTTATTCTCCACAACTTCGAACCAGTTCACAAAATTTCCATGGTGATCGGTGGCTGTAGCGACGTTATCGCTGATGACTCTTTCCCTGTCGATCAAATAAACTAACTTGTGGACCCCCTGGGGTAATTTGACAATGAGAGAGTACTCTACCCCACTGTGTTCCTCCCGGGGCTTGCGAGTGAGAGAGAGTCTGGGGTCTAGTTTCCAGTTGGAGAAGCTTCCAATGATGTATATTTCCTTCTCTATGCCGGTTCCAACCCATTTGATTTCAATAGGCATGAGTTTAAGTCCGTCGTCTGTTATAGTTGTTGTACTCTCGTCACCCCCTCCTGGCACTAGAAACACGGGAGCAACGCCATTTGCATCGTTTACACCATCTAGCATTAGATCTCCTAAGGAGGTGGAGAGTTTTTCGTCATCGTGTAGGTCATCGTTGTAGTAATCTTCCTGCATGACGATTTCGTTCAAATCGCGCTCGCCATCAACATCGTCGTCCAGCAGGTGCCGTGGGGATTTATCCCGCCCCTGTGAGGTCGGAGAAGGCGTTTGACTAGGAATGGAGCTCGTAGAAGAGATGCTGTTTTTGCGCTTAGCTCTGCTTTGCTTCCGTTTCGGGGGGTTTGAGTCTAGTGGGGAAGTATCGCGAGGGGTTCTGGAGGTGACAAACGCCGAGGGACTGGCGGAGGAAATCAACTTTGTGGGTTTCTCCCCTTCCTCTGGGATGGTTTGTGGATTAGCTTTGTCTGAAACCGTTAGTACGGATGTCTGTATATAAGTGCGTTTCATACCATTTTTAGTCCAAAACCCTGGGCCAATGAGGACTTTTTGGTTTACGGAAGATCTCCGTGCAGGTTTGTTCTGTATCTGGCCGTCAGCGGGGGCTGAAGAGATATCTGAAGAGGTTGAGTTACCCATAACTATCCAAGGTTGATTAGGGGGAGCGTTTGGGGTCTGTAAAAGCCGGTGCTGGTAGCAATATATCCTGGTGATTGATCTGCGGTTGATAAGCAATGGTAGGAGCTTTAAGGAACAAGATTACCGTATAAATGGATCATACAGGTATTTCTGAGCTAAAAGAAAGCTGATAGGTGAGGTTTAAGAGTGTTTAATGGTTCCTTCGTCTATTGCCATCTCGTCAGGGCTTGGACCGTAACGCTTGTATAGTAACCGCCTCGGTCTCATGTACGCGAGGAAGGCATGTGATAGATTTTTGTGTGTGTGTCCTGCATATAACTCCACTAATGCGAAATATTTTCCTCGGCGGAATAATTGACATTGCTGTCTGATGAGCGAAAATAACAGTGCGCTATTTATATCCTGCGTTTAAAAAATTACTCGGAAGGATTCACGTGCAATGGTAGCTTTTCGCATATCGTATAGGTCTTGTTTGGGCAGAATGCAGGATCTCAGATCTAAGCGTCTTGGAGTTGAAATTTAAAGTCATGGCGTGTTGAGTTGTATATTAGTGGGCTATATGCAGCAAAAAGACACATTTGTAAGAAAGTCAACTTGTGTATATACGTCTTTATGGTTGAATATCTACGTACATTACTATATCTATCATACATTAATTTACTGTACCCCAAATTTCTGTGTATATCTCTTATATAGCCAAATTTAATCTAAAACCATTAATGATACGTAAATGTATATATTAGGGATATTATCCAGATGCAAGTGTGTCATAATAATAGCTGAATAACTAGTATATAAATAATACAAGGCATTTGGAATGGCTATAGAATATACACTACTTTTTTATTTATTAAATGAAGTTAAACCGTGATATATTAACCCTCTATCCATATACTCGTGGAAAATACGTATTGGAGATTCCAAAGTATGCGTTTGGTTTTTGAGTTATTTACACCATCACATGCTTTTCCTCCAGCCGCACGCATATTTTATACTTGAGATGCCCGAATTGCGAAGGTTACCCTTATACATAGGCTGTAGCTTACCGCCCTATCATGTAGACGTTGTGTCTGAATTGTTCGCCTTGGAGCCTAATTATCATCTTAATACCCAGTATATCCGGTTAGATATAATTTCATCATCGATAACTACTGGCACGCTATTGCTAAAGAGTGATCGCAATTAAATATGTTGACTTGATGCTTGATAATAGAGTTCTCGCTGGGCCCGAAATAATCGATGATAGCAGCATCTTTAACTGAGTCGCTGTTTTGTGGGGTATTTGGTATCAAGCATAATGTGAGTTTTATGATATTGTAAGTGATAGTAGATGCTGTTAGCTAGCTAAAAGAAAATGCTTTTCATCCGTAAGATATACTCGGGAAGAGGAGTCGATGACCTTATATACTGAGGAAGGTACGGTACCGAAATATCCGCCAATCAGTTGGTTGTCTAAATTATAGTCTGATCAGAGATAAGAGGATATCGGTTGATGAAGTCAACATCATTAAATAGCACTTTTAATACACCGTTGCTTGATTTTACAGTTATCTCCTCTCAGATAGATCTATTCTCAAACGCAACAGGGCAAGTGCTAACTAAGCATTCTGGGGAGTAGCTGGTATTGTTCACCTCACGCAAAGAGTAACAGACGGGGTACCAGGCCCAGACCTGTATGGAGCAAGAGGCTTACACTGTCCAATAGGACGAAACACGCCGAAGACAGCCCAATGTTTAAGCATCTGTGAAAAGTTTGTGATGCGTCTACTCCAAAGCCCGTAATACAAAGACATGACGAATAGTCACGTAATCCACACACGTGAAGTTGGCCGTGTTAAATTGTGTTGACTACGGCTCGGTCTTCAGGGATTCTTCACGCACCAGCAGTCGATCCTACATGTCCATCTGGATTGGGACCGAAAACGTACAAAAAAGAATGGCTTAGCGGGGATCATGTGGGCCTTATATGACAGTGACATAGACTGGAGCTTACAGTGGAATGCAGTGTCATTTATGTTTGGGTGCTGAAAAATCGGCAGATGGTAGTATGTTGCTGCAGTGCCGATCGTATTTATAGAATATGTATTTACTTTTCAAATTTCCTAAACGGGAGACCACCAACGCACACTACTGCAGCACTGGGAAAAATTTATGGCGCTCCGCCTTGTCTTACATAGTGATTCGCACCTACTAGCACCCGTAACCCCGGCTGCACTGCCCGCCACTCGCATTTTCCCGTGTATCCAGGTCGCTATGGAGCGGCTGTTTTTTTTTTCTTTTGTTCGGGAATTTCAGTACGGTAATTCTGCTAGGAGCTCTCTCGAACTGCCGCCGACGTACAGAAAAAGGCATTTTTCCACTCTATGCCCCCTTTCTTCCTCGCTCTCTCGAAATAATACTCAAAGGATCCTAGTTTTGCTGCTCCATTCGCTTAAAACTTGCTTGTACTATTCCATTCATCAAAATGCAATTCAAATACTTGTCCTTGGCCTCCGTTGCCGTTGGTTTGGTTTTAGCCGCTGGTATGTACCATTATAGCAAGATGTTTGTAGCTAAGCGATTGGATCAATCATCTTTCCCACCTCATTGGTATATAAATACTAACATTTAGACTCCTCCATCGACGTCACCACCACCTCTGCCACCTCTACCGCTCCAATCGCATCCGGCTGTTCGTTCACCGCCACCCAGACCGTTACCGCTGCCGCCGACTACCAGAAGTTGAACGCCTGTAACGCCATCAAGGGTTCGATTGTCTTCGAAAACGCCGGCTTGGACACCGTTATTTTCAATCCACAGTACGTCTACGGTGATGTTATCGTCCGGAATGCCACCTTGTTGACATCCTTCGTCGCCCCTAACTTGGTTGAGATCACTGGTGACTTCGTTTTGAATGGGTTGACTATCTTGTCCAACTTGAACTTGGCCGCCCTTGTTTCTGTCGGTACCTTGTCCTGGACCGCCTTGCCAGCTTTGGAAAGCACCGGTTTGACCAAGGCTGTCGGTATCTCTAAAGCCCAGTCCGTTTCCATCTCTGACACCAGTTTGATCAACTTGGATGGCTTGAACGCCGTCGACGTCGCAATCTACGACATTAACAACAATAACGCCTTGGAAAACATCGATGTGTTCTTGCAGACCGTTACCGACAACCTTTTCGTCCAGTACAACTCCAAGAACGTCGAAGTCTCCTTCCCAGACTTGAAGTGGGTTGGTAACTTGTCTGTTGCCGATGTTGGTTCTTTTGAAGCCACTAACTTGCAGACCGTTAATGGTTCCGTTTACTTCATCAATAACACCTTCGAATCTCTCGATTTGAAGAACTTGACCTCCGCTGGTGCCTTTACCGTCTCTGACAACAGTGACTTGACCGAGCTTAACTTCAATTCCTTGAAGGAAGTCACCGGTGCTTTTGTCATTGCTAACAACTCTGATTTGACCACCGTCGACAAGTTTGGTGCCTTGACCACTGTCGGTACTTTGGTCATGGATGGTGGTTTCAACAACGTCACCCTCCCAAGCTTGTCCGCTGTTAGGGGTACCTTCAACTTTGCGTCCACCGGTACCGCCGACTGTGACGCTTTCTCTGGTGTCACTGTCCGTGGTAAGACGTACTCGTGTAAGACTGCCGCCACCACCTCTTCTTTCTCTAGATCTTCCAGTTTGGGCTCTGATGCCACCACCGCTAAGAGTAAGTCCTCTGACAGTTCATCATCCTCCTCCAAGGCCGCTGCTGCACCATTCAACGCTGATAAGTTGTCTGTTGTTGCTGGTGTCATTGTTGCCGGTGCCGCTGCTTTGTTTTAAGTGAAGCCACCGTGGAGCTTGCTACATAAGTTTATACAGGCTTAGCTTTCCTCATCCATGCGTACGTCATGCCAATCTAATTCTTCTTTTTTGTATCCTTTATTTATCTTTTCAATACATCATTTAATTTAATCCTGGTGTATAGCAATATACGATGCAGTAGCTGTGAGTGCAATAGGGACGGTGACATCATCAATAACGGCTATGATATGAGTGAGACTGCGTTATATAAACAGGTGTTTGACTTATACCGGCTGGAAAAATAGGAGGGCCATAGTTTAGCATGGAGAGTCTAGTTAGAAAAGCGGCTCGGTCACAATACAGCGTCGAGGAGTCCAGGGCACGTATCGGTCGACAATTGTAGAGACAAAGTACCTAAGGACGGTTACCTGAAAGTAATTGATATAAATAAATTCTAAATGAACCGGATCCTCAACCAATGAAGAACGAAGATATCCATTCCACTTCGAATTCACATCAATCTTGGTAAAATACAAGCTTGGTTTGAGCATGTTGACATGTTCTTTTTGTGAATACATGCTTTATCAGCATCAGTTTCAGAAAGTTTATGGTTGAATTACATCATATCGAATGAAAGTAATGCCATAAATGCGGATTGAAGAAAGTTCATATCAATTGTGTAAGGGATATAATTAGTTTTAGTTATATAAACCTTAGGTTGCTCCTCTGTGGAACAATCACGTAGATGGTTGTCCTTTAATTCTCCTCGTTTAAAATTTCCAGTCTATCCATATTAGGCATGTTATTTTTTTATATTATTTCTTCTGAAGGTAGTGCTGCTGTCAACAAACTGCTACTAGCATACTCTCACCTAGGTCGCTCCGAGCCTTGGTTGCCTTATCCTGTACAACGCGAGAATCAGGAGAGCGCGGCCAAAAAGTCTTTGTGCACGCTTCGCGCCTCAGACGCAGGCGCCAGTATCAACAAGAAAATACTGTGTAAGAATGTGCCTTGAGACGTCAACACCCAGACAACGAAGTTTTATCAAAACAGCCTGACTTTGAGGTATAGCTATTTATTGATAAAATACTTGCATATTCCTGCAATCTTGCGTCAGTCGTAGCCTGTCTTTTTACATCGCCCTCGGCCTCCACTTATCGCCCAACACATGAAAACCAGACGTGAGGCCAATCGCTACAACGCGACAACATCGTTTATTGACCATTCCTCGGACGGCGAGGATGCATTTCCAACCGGAGAGGCGTGGAAATTTGACCATAATACAGGAAGAGCGGGAAATGACTCCGATAACCTTGATTCTGTGTCTACTTACTCCATTACCTCGATTCCCACGAGCGACGAGATCGATTTGGTCGAATTGGCGCGATATTTGGATGGACATGGGGACGAAAGCAAAATGGTTGCTAAGAGCTTCCAAACCCCGGTTGCTACTGGTGAACGGAGGAAAAGGCAGGACCAAGGTACCAAGGAAAATGATTGGAGCGCTAAAGCGTCCAGATCAGAGCACAACAACCGAGATGAGTATGGAACGGTTAACAAGCAGTTTATCCAAGAAGAAGAGGCACAGTTACCCTCGAACCTAGTTCACACACACGACGACTTACCCTTCGATAGCTATGCCACCCCTACGCCAAACCTCCTCAAGTCTGCAATGAAAAACCGTTTGTTTAGTCAGAGGTTAATGGGCCGAAAGTACCAACAAGAGGTTGAACTAGGACACAGTCCGAGACAATGGGAGGACAAAGATCAAAACATTCACATAAACGAAAACACTCATAGGGTGGATGATGATCGAGACAGGGTGGATCTTGACCATGACATCCATAGGGTGGAAGAAGATGGAAAAACTCGCAGAGTCCATGGTACCAAATTTGCAGACCATGAGAACCCCATGTTTGCTTCCACTCCACTCCTCAGAGGTTCAAAGAAGGAGGGGCTTAACGTACTGACGGAGCACCCGCATAAACCTCTATCGGTCACCGAAAGGAGATTTACCAGCTTGGCCCACCAGTTGCACTCCATGAGCCAAGAATTAGAGGAATCCCCCCAGTTCCAAGAGAGGGAGATACCCATGACGGAGGAACGTCCTCTGCCCGTTAAGGCTGACAGCGTAGCTCCGGCTTCGAATCCTACTCGACTGGTGGAAACAGCCAACATCCCTACTAGTTCAGTGGATATGGAGACATTTACGAAATTAATGGAAAAATTGATGGTTCCCGTGTTAGATAATTCTCACCTTCTTCAGATTATTGACAAATTGGTACTTTCCCAACAGTCCCCAAAGCTCTATGAGCAAACCAGACCTGCCATTCTGGAAATCCCAATCAAAATCCACGTTGACATCCAAAACCCTTCGGTCTTTGGCAAAAGGGATGTGGAGGTGGCTAGTAACGCCAACTTATCTGATGCCTCAACCAAGGTTGGAGAGCTGGAGATTGAGCCTGAAACCAGGGTCCACTCTAAACATGCCAAATTGCCGAACGACCAAGAAACTCTTGCAGCCCAGCCTAAAAAGTCATTTCCCGAACAAGGTCCCATTACCGAAAGCAACAGCATTGACATTGCCGAGAGCATCGCACCACAGAGCGCTCATCACACCAAAGAACGATCTTCAAAACGAGATTCCTCAAATAAAGGTGCCGAACCGCTCAAAGAAGCGGTTACGATGAACTTACTCGATAGACCAGAGTCGAATCACAAGCCGGAAAGCAGCTTTGAGCGCTCTGGGGGCTGCGATGAGTTGCGGTGCTTGAAAGCCTTTCTAAGATCTTCACTTCCTGGGGACTACATCCTAAGACAGTTTGAATCAGGCGGAGTCTTGACTGGTGATGTTCCAAAATCGGCTTACAGAGAGATGAACGAGTACAAAAGAGAGAAGGAGACCGAGGAGGAAAGGTTTGAGTTAGAACAGCGCTTGCGGGCGAGTGAGAAGGAAAAGCTTGAATTCGAAGAACACTCAATTGAAGAAAAGGTCAAGCTAGAGGAGCGTTTGAAGATAAGCGAAGACGAAAAGCATGATCTCAGAGCACGCTTGGAGACGTGTAACAGGGAAAAGTCTAACCTTGAAGGACAATTGAAGGCGGGCGAAAGAGATAAACATGGTTTTAATGAACGCATAAAGTTTGACAAAGACGAAAAGACTGAGCTTGAGGAACGTTGGGAGATGACTGAAAGGGAAAAGTCTGAAATCCTGGAACGCTTGGCGGCAAGTAAAGAGACTCATAAACACTTGAATGAGGAACTAGAAACCATGAAGCAAGAATTGTCGAGGGCTACCAGAATGGCGAATGAACGAATGAAGAGTGCAGCTACCAAGGAGGCCTCGGCTTTGGCAGAATATCGCGGGATTATGGCGGAGAAACAGCTCGCAGAGGAAGAAAGGGCTCGATATGAAACCCTATACCATGACCTCTTGAGCAACGGGGAGCGGGCGGACGAATTGGTTCACGAACTCCAAGAAACAAAGAAGCAGCTTAAGCAAACGCAAGCGCTGTTGAAGGTACAGATGTCGAACAAAGAGTCATCATCCAACACCAAGATGATCGAGTTCATTATTGCTCTTCAAACAAAATTGGAGTCTAAGTCCAGGCAGTTGAAGCGTGCACAGTATGAGTTGAACCAGCGGATTCAGAAGCACTAAGATAGAGGCTGCAGAAGTGTGGCAAGGTGGATGGTTGGCGAGAGTGTACGTATTGAGTTTAGATTATAATAGTATGTGTGCCCATTAGACGACTAGATACCAACCTGCGGTAAGACTTCATTCTGAGACACCAACAAGGTATCGATATATACGAAAAAAGCGAGGTAAACGAGGAAACACGGAACATGTTTTGAGGCGGCAGTGCAGGAATGACATAACTTTAAGGAACACTCAGGCGGTCACGGTGTCGTAGGAATGGGGCTATGCCGTACAAGAAGCTCCACCGGCCGAAAAAACTAACCATAATGGTTGAGGTGCGGGACGAATCAAGTATGAAGGAACCGGGGGGGTTCTTTATACAGGGGTGGAGAAGGCTTCTTGACTCGATATAACCGTATCTCCACTAGCCCGTTACACACAGAAGAGGCTAAGTTCTCACATATCGATAGGATAATGGTTTATAAACCAGCAGTCTCTAAATTGCACAATATTAGACAACAACGACATGGATCTAAACATAATCAGGCGACTATACCTGGCATTTCATCAGACAATCAGATAAACATAACAACGGGGAATATATCCTGAAATGCATTCATTTGATATAACATTACCGGTGGGGTGAATATGCCCTGGGAACTAGCACCACCACCTCTGTAGTAAATGCCTTAAGAAATTGTATATCCCAGTTCCCTTCCGTAGCCTGAGAGGCATATGATGTCCATCATGGTAACAATTGTCTCGCAGAAAATTTGCCAGGCATTCAATCCTCCCCATCAGTTTCCAAATCACACATTGACCGACAGTTTGGACAGAAAAACTGCGGATAACACTTGAGCAAGATCGGCCTGATACATTTGTAATGCCACAAGTGCGAGCACGGACTGATGAACACCGCCTGGCACGGCTCAATATCCAAAAGACAGATTGCGCACTCGTTCTGGTCTGCCTGCTCCTTTCCCCCCGTGAGCTGCTTCAACTTATGATGCGTCTCTAAATTAAACGCGTTCGCCTTGCGTTGCCAGCTGCGATTCAACTCCACACGCATCTTAATACAGCGGAAGATCTCTTCACTCCCCCCGCGGTAATCCATGCCGAGCTGCAAAATGTCGCCATCCTTTAACTTGTGCCCCATACTGTCCTTATTGGCCTGCGACAACCGCATGTGGTTCAAAAACGTACCCGAGGAGGAACCCAAGTCTTTGATATACCACACGCCTTGGTCGCTTGTAAAAAACTGTGCGTGGGTCCGCGAAACCACCTTTGATTTAAACACCACGGCCTCACTAGAGCCCTGCGGCGCGTGCGCCGCGGCGCGGTTTTTCTCTGTGTATCTCCCGATAGGAATGGCCTTATCCTCCTTGATTTTGCGGATTACGGGCGAGAAGTAAAGGCCCTGCTGTGAGGCGGAAAAGTCCACAAACGCCGTCAAGCGGATGGAATAGTTACCTTCTTCGTCTGGACCCTGATTAAGCGTTGTTTCCTCACGCACGATCCCAGACGCACCCACCTGCAACGATGCCAAGCGGGTTTCATTGTCCACGAGCGCCGTTTCAACCTCAACAGATTGAAGCGGGTGTTCGCTGGAGGTGGCAGACGTGGCAACCGGCGTGGCGGCTCTTTCTTCATCCGAATTGGGCCTTGGCTGAGGTGCCGGAAGGTCCACCGGGGGCGTGGGCGGGATATCGACCACGGAAGCGAAGTTTGCTATTGTAGGGCTGTTGGACATAAACTGGCTATCATGCCTGTTCATAATACCTGGGGAAGACACTACTCTGGGGTTGAGAGAAGAAGGTCCTTGATTCAGGGTGGGCCCCTGACTCGTAGGGCTGCTCTGCGTGCCTCTGCCAATGATCGAGAGGAAACTCGAGCCAAACGATCGGCGTCTGGCGATTCCATCGGCTAACGGTGCGGGCTGTTCGAAATTCAAGTTATCCTGAGCCATGTGATGTGATATGTATAGGTGAGGGGTGGAGGGAGGGAAGAAAGATGCGTTGGCAAGAGGTCGTTTTGTGAGGTAAAAACGAAAAACGCAAGGCTATAGTCGTGGCTGGGCAAGGAACGCGAGCGGCGAGACGTTCAGGAGATGTATACATAGTTTCCTAGGGAAATACTATACCTATGGTCAAGAGGAACTAAACATTGGTGTGACACCGGTCGGATATACACCATTATAGAATATCATAACATCGGATCCTAATGAGTGATTAGGGGGCTCAGGTTATATTAACGGGAGGTAGAAATCTAGAGCGATACGGTACTTGAATCCCGGTGGGTCAATAAGCCAAACTCTAAAACGCTCCCAAAAACGACTGGTTAGTGGCGTCACAATATAATAAATATAGTCCTAAGATATTTCGAGAAATTCGGCCAAAAGTAAGTCTTATACCATCTAGAGGTGGAGCAAGCTAATCTGGTTAATGCAAGGCAAGGCGCATACCCACAATAGGCACCCAGCCGTGTGACTCCGGGGGGTGGGGGGCATAGAACGGCGCAGGTGTGCCCAGTGTAGTTTTAGCATCAACACTCTGGATCGTAAACTTAGCAAGGCAATTACTACCAATGATGTACCACTAGATATTAATGTAGGTTATGGTCGATTATTACCCAACTGTAAAGTTTTTCGGTGCTCCCTCCCAAGGAGTGGTTTGCCAGTCACGTACCCCACTCCGCTAGAGGTCGTGCGCATGCGTAGCCAAAACCAATTCGGCCGGGGCCAAGGTCTGTCTTTCGACACCAATATGACGTAATAGGGCCGGATTGGGTGATACATTCGTGGTAGTTTGCACGATCGTGGTCTAAGAGCCAGTATTCCCTCTTCTAATGATTGTTTTACAGGGAATTAAAACAAGGATATAATTAAAGGCGTAAAAAACAAGAGTAAGGAATATATAGAAAGTAAAAAGCAAAATCAAGTTAGATCATGTCGTCAGAGATGTGGGAGAATCCACGGAACTGCTCTTGCATGGCTGAGGTAAGGGTCGTGTCCACCGGGGTCAAGCATGGCGTCTCGTCGGTGAACTCTCTATCAAAGTTGGAGAAATCGACACCGCCTCTAAGCTCGGGGATGAACGGTGGTGGCACACGACGGTGGAAGATATCGTCAAAGTCGATGTTGCGGAAGTATGGGTCTTCCATGATCTCTTTGGCGTCTCTGGTACCGGCCCCAAGGCGGGTTTGAGGGTTCTTATCCAAGAGCGCCTGCAAGATCAACACGGATTCACGCGACATGTTCACGTTATACACTACCTCATCGTGCACGATAGCGTTAAAGATTTCGTCCTCATCATCACCCTTGAACGGCGACTGGTTCAAGATCATCTGGTACAACAATACACCGAAGGTCCACCAATCCACGGCTCGGCCATACGGCTGTTCGGTCACCAACTCGGGCGCCATGAACTCGGGTGTACCGCAGAACGTGTTGGTGGTGTTACCGTACCACATGTTTTCTTTACACAACCCGTAGTCAGCAACCTTGATGTGACCGTCCGTAGTCAACATGATATTGTCCAACTTCAAATCTCTGTAAATCACACCGTTTTCGTGAAGGTACTTCAATGCCAACAACACCTCCGCGGCGTAGAACTGTGCCCGTCTTGGGGTGAACTTGCCCTTTTGCACATGGTACATCAAGTCACCACCGGCAATGTACTCCATAACGTAGTAGATTCTGTTTTCCGTCTGGAAACAGCAGTGTAGGTTCAAGAGGAACGGATGCTGCTCCTTATTGGCAACCAAGAACACCCGCTTCTCAGACTTGGTGCTTTCGATCTCGCTGGTTTCGATGATTACGTCCTTCTTCAACACCTTGATGGCACACAAGTACGCGGTGCGCTTCGACTGCGCCAACATGACCTTCCCGAAGTTACCCTTACCTAACACCGCAATCATCTTGAAGTCGTCAATGCCGACCTTGCGGCGGTGTTTGCGCTTAGGTTTCTGGGGAATACTCTCAGGGGCAACCACCGTCGGGCGACCGACTCTGTCCTCAACCGGCTCGAAAATCTCGGGAACCCTTGGAGCCAAGCGTTTCGGAGAGATGTGGCTCTGAACCGGAGGAGTCACACTTTCCTGCTTTTCCTCAAAGGACTGGTTGGCATCTTCCTCAGCGCCAGGAGACGAGGTGTGGGACTCCGCTCTGTCGAAAGATTCGGCGCCGGAGCGAACTTCCTTGTCCAGTACCTCAGGCAAGAGGTCCTTATCAAATACCGGTGGGAGCCTCTTGGTATGATGAGCAGGAACCGGAATTGGCGGAAGCTTTTGATGGGTCACCAGGGTAGGAAGCTTGGTGTGATCGGGATAGTCGTTGTGATGGTGTTGGATGGCATTTTGAGGGAGTTTAGGACCGGTATGCTTCGTGGACTTGATCGTCGTGAGGATTCGGTTAGCCATCTCCATCGACATCCCACAAAAATCGGGCACCAACTGGATACACAGCGCGTGACACATGACCCCGCACTCGGAGCACTTACGGATGTTCTTGCGGCCCCACGGAAGGATGTACCCACAGTGGCAACACCACTTGGTCCCACGGTTCAGGAGAGGCTCAAAGCGGTGAGGGATGCGGTGGTTCAACTTCGCCTCGTCCGGATCGAGCTCGATGCTTGACTTCGATATACATTTAGTAACCACCTTCTGATAACACTTCTTGTGGCAAAGGAACTTGCAGTCCTGGCACTGGTACCCGGAGTATCTCAAAAAGTCGCCACAGAGCGCACAGCACATGATGTTGTAGAACTGCTTCTGGACAAACTGGTGTCCGTGCTGCTCAAATACTTCCTCCTTCTTTTGGCGAATGGCACCGTGGCGGCCTAAGCCACCCATGGCATTCACGTGCTTGTTCCCGCCGACAATATTTGACTTTGTGAAGCTCGCGGTGATCAACAACTTCCCCGCTGGCTCCAACACAATCCACATGGATGTAGTGACCGGTTCATCAGTTCCGGGATCTGTTGGTTCACCAGCATGGGCTGCCACGGGAGCGTTCATGTTAAAGCCAGAGCCGTCGCCACGGGAGCTCAAGTCGCTATCATGGATCTTGGAAGCGCTGACCCACCCGGTCTTTCCCAACTCCTGACTGACCTTCTTCTTACGGAGCTCCTCGACTAAGTCCGCCAACAAGAACCATGTGACAGCGACCGGCACATTCTGCTCGGAAGACTTGTCGTACACGGAGAGTTCCACCTCGTTCCCCTTTTCAATATCGATAGTGAATTCCTCGGTCCACTTGCCGCTGCGAGAGCCGCGGGTTCTGGCCTTTTGGGCGTCGTCGACCTTCACAACCACGGCCGTCTCGGGCTTCTTGGAGAAGAGTGGTGATGCGATGTGGTCGACGTCGCGTACCAACTGGATCGCCATCTTCAATGTCCCAGACAACGGCTTCCGGCGGAACTCGTGTTCCGTCATGATCTTATTGTCGCGCGAGACGTCGTCGATGTCGATGTACATGTCTTGGTACCGCTTCAACGATTTGGACAACAACTGGATCTTCAAGTCGCTCTCGAGCTTGCCTCCTTCGGTCTCCGTCACGATGCGCTTGTCGCCGTCGCGCTCGTACAACCTGGACAACTTCTCATTCCCCTCACGATACTGCTTTTCGCGTTGCAACTTGAACTCCAACTGCTGCAACATGTACTGGATGCGGTGGCCCAATGATGGACACTCGTACTTGACGAGGTCCAAACGCAGGTACAAGGGCTCCTCGGCCGCTTCCGTGGCGGCCGTCTGCAACGTGAGCTTTGACAACGTCGCCTGGAGGTAGTTGATGTTCTGTTGCGTCTCACGAATCTGCGAGATGCATCGATCCATCACCTGCGGGTTGGTGGTGGAATTTTTCATGTGCTTGAACCCATCGATGAGCCGTTCCTCACGCTGGATCTTTGCCTTGATGTCCGAAATGACATCGCCTTTAGGTTCGGACATGGCGGTTAGCTAAGCAGGGGGGGGGGAGGCTTTTGATTTATAGCTCTTGTTACGGTGGCTTTGACTGCTTTTGTGTCCTGTCTTTTGAGCTTTAATGACTGGCGACAGGCCCCTAGTCTGGTGATGTTTTATTAATCAAAACACGTGGTGTAAGTGATACAAACCGGTCTCAGATTTGATTCAATTGGCGGTTTATTTGAGAGATATAAACTGTAGATATATCGGTGGAAAAAAGCCTGGGTATAATTGTGAAATAAACCAAAAGTGAACTTGTGGATAAAAGCGCTAAGGAGTCGTGTTTTGATTTGCAGTTCTTAGCCGCCGTTGTCGCTTTTAGATCATGGGAATCATATCGGCTCGGCATGGACATAAGCGGGCCCCACACGACCATATTGTGCCAGGGTTCCAAACCGGTGGGGCTGAGCAAACGCGTGATCCTTAAGAATAAATACACTTGTCTGAATCGAATAAGAAAATTGACATTGGGTATATCCCTTATTAGGAGGGAGTGATATAACCTTTTTTGGACGTTATACATGGCTCGTACGTGGTTATCGGTACTCCTTCATGTAGGCTAAAAACCTCTATTCTGGGTGTGACGCATGCTAGAAAATGCCTGTCAGCATGTCTTCATGATCACGGTCTAGAATACACCTATAAAAGCCTGTTTCTAGCGCCTACACAATATTTACCGGGCGTACCAAGAACTATTGTGATTAAAATACAAGGGAAACGTAGGCGAATCCTAAAGGTAGAACTTTCTTCTGTCCTTATCCATGTCGGGTCTGTGTTCCCACTCGACCTCCTCCTTGACCCCCTTCTGGATTCTTCTCAACTTCAAGGTAAACTGAGGGCCCAATTCCTGCAAACCAACCTTCTCTTCGTTACGGAACACGTATCTGTGTCTTCTGAAGAAGATGTAATCTCTCTGGTTATGCAAGGTGATGACGTTTCTCCCCTCGAACTCTGGTCTGTGAGGGAACAAGGACTGGAATAACCTGCCCACAGTCTTACCCAACCTGGTGGCAAAGTTGTTCAAGATCAACTCTGGAATGTGGTCGGTGGCTTTACCATGGCCTTTAATTCTGTTGCCTTCTACGAGCGATGAGACAGAGAAGTAGAAGGTTGGCCCTTCTGGCAAATGGATGAATGTGATACCGTTGACGTTCTTCTTGTCCTCATTGATGACGATCAAGTCGGTGTAGTCTCTGTTGTTGCAGAATTCAGCCATGTCCTTCATGGAGTACTCTCTCTTACGCTTGACAAAGGTGGCATTTGGCAAAATCTCCATCATGATGTCGGCAAATTGGTAGGCAACCTTGTTGGCGTTGGCGTTGGTGGTCAACAATATTTTTGGCTCCTTCCCGTCAAAGTATGAGTTGAAGTCATCTTCGCCTTCGAACTCCTGGCCGATAGTTTCATCGAATACTCTCTTGCTCTCAATGGTATCAGGGACGTTTTCTGCCAATCTCTTTTCCTTCAACTCAGGATTGGCTCTCTCTTCCTTGGCCCTGGTCTTTCTCTCCAGGTGGCGGGTCTTGTTTTCTTCGTGCTTTAAGGCTGCAAAGAGCTTTTGTCTTCGCATCTTATTCTTCATCTGAAGTCTTTCCTTTTCGACCGCCATTGTGTAAGTGTTATCGTGGGGTTGGGAGTAGGGTGGATGCTGTTGATCGAATTCTTTTATCTTTTGCATACTGCAGAATTGCACTCCAATTTTTTTTCCACAATTTTTTTTGAGCCGCACGACAAAGAAAAAGAAATGGCGTGCAGGGCGCCAAAGAATGAGCGGTGTCTCCATAGTATCATTGTTAGGGGTTTCCTTAACAGCTAGTTACTCTGATGTTACAAGTTTTAAGAGGTTGGAGAAATTTCCATTGCTCCACGTCTCATTTTGAGGCTGTTACTATCAACGATTGGTACAGGGACGTGAAGCCAAAGCGATGGGTGACAAAGTCGGACATCTCCAGAGATCAAGCTGATTTGTTGACCACGACTATTTCCCATTTGCTTCCGCTGACTGCCAGCACCGACTGTTTACCATATGGCTATCATTTTATCTACGCCAATTCGCACTCCCTAGAGCCAGAATTGAATGTAGATGGCTACGATTCGTACCAAGCCCCGCTCATCACTGGCAAGCAGCCCCCCTTTTTCAGACGTCGGATGTGGGTCCAAGGAGATATCCAATTCAAGAAACCAATTCGTTACAATATCCCCCTTGTGTGCGAAGAGTCCATAACAAGGGTATTCCAACTGAATGATTCTGTTTTTGTGAACATAAAACGGGATTTCATAGACCCAACAGCCGAGTCTGAGGATCGCTTACGCTTAACTGAGGCCCGCACATTGTGGTACACTGATAAGTTGTATATGGATGCTCAACGACACTCGTTAATCTCTCTCCCCACGGGGTTACCCGTGAAAACCCACGAACTCCAAATTTCACCGTCCACTTTGTTGAGGTACTCCGGTCTTACTTTCAACTCCCATAAGATCCACTACGACAAAGACTATGCCAAAGGAGAGGGATTTCCAAACGTTCTAGTCCATGGACCTTTGACCATTACCTTGCTTCTTTCTTGGCTCCAATCATCGGTGGTTGGGCCAGTCGGCATCCATTCGATCAAGTATAAAAATGTAAAACCACTTTTCGCTGGCGAAAAATGCAAACTAGTGTGCTACAACGAGTCTGACTCGCGAGAGGGGTACCGGGTCTTTCTTTTAAACGGTGAAGGCGATATTTGTGTTGAAGGGCTGGTCGTTTTAGAAATGGCCCAAGCCGGTGAAGTATAAAACTGGTGCTAATCCATCAATACCCATATAACAACGAAGGATATTTAAAGGCTAGATGGAGATATAACTGATCACGGAGCGAATAAAAGTCCAGAACCGTTGGAAGATGTATTTAGAGTCTGGATGGTGTATTTGCAATTGGTAAACTTGCTATAGGAGTTAAGTTTTATACTATATATCCGAGACTCACCACCCTTTATCTTATGTCTCAGCTCTAAATTAGCAGACCGTGTGTCCTATAAGCTGGTCCAAGTAGAGTACCTGGAAACAATCCATAGATTGTTGGTTTTCCGATAAAGCAACGTTTACCACCAGTGCTGCATACAAAAACGCGCGCCAGATCGAAAAATAAACAACCAAAGTTCCTTCAGAATCAACCATTCCTCATCACTGCAAGCTGTCATACAATGGAGAAAACATACAACTACACCAAACGATACCTCGAATCTCAAATCAACACCCTCTCCCAGCCCGTTGGAATCTCACTGAAGTTGGCACTGCTGCTCACCGATGACAAATCCCAGCTAACCACGAAACAGCTAACTGCCATCTTAAACAGGTCGAACCAGATCATCGCCATAAACCAGAAGCTAAAGTTCAATAAACAAGCGGTGGACGTAGTGTCTGAACAAATATACTACAACGAGCTTGAAGAGGTGAAACAGTCCAAGTTGCGATTGCTTCGCAGCAGCAGCAGTATCATTCTAGAGCCGATATGCCTCTTTAACAGGGATTACACGCTATCAGGTGATACAAATACCGAGCTACAGTCACTCAGGCGATCGGTCGAGGATCTCCCTGAGGGGAGGTACCTTTTTGTGAGAAACAAGCGCATTGTGGACTCGGTGGAATTCGACAATATCGTTAACGATCGCATGGACAGTGTTGTAAGTCACATGGCAGGGGAGACATCACACCACGAAGAGTACCAAGAAACAGATGACGCAGATGGTCTAGTGCAAACATACGATCGATTGAAGTCGCTTCTCATTCAGAAATTGAACCAGCTCTTGAGTTTAAAACTTAAGCAGGACAAGCTCAAGCAGCTTCAGGGTCAGCTAGCCCGTATGCTAGAGCCCGAAGAAGGAACTACTGCCTCGGTAAGTGGGATTCAGTCCAACTTGATCACAAATGCCAACTTGATTCATGATGAGATCGTCAAAGTGAAGATTTTACTAGAACGAACCGGTTATAAATTGGCAGGCATGGAAGACGCCGAGTTTCAGGAAATCATGCATAAAATTAATAGCAAATGAGTGATACACGAGTATGACACATTGATTTTAAACTCGTAGTATATATAAATCCATTAACTAGAAATATTTGGCATCAATACCGCCATGGCCAGTTGAAGAGGGGCTATTGATAGATGGGAGTCCGGCACCACCTGATAGTGCGGCCAGGGAAAGTCCCTGCCCGGCATGCAAGGCTCTTGTATTTCTAGCGAGCGGCGCTAGACAGTGATCGATATCAGATGCCTAGTTAACCAAAGACACTGGCACTTTTTCACCAATAGAACCAACTCTCAACATGATTCACTCGGTTATGATATGTAAGTATACCAGCGATACCACTTCACGTACAGGACACCACTAACACCTCAGTCAACAACGATGGGGTTCCTCGTTTGCTAAAATTCTACACCCCAGTGGATCTCCCTACACAGAAACTTCTTCTCAAACAGGTGCACTCGCTCATATCCAAACGGACAGCCGAACAGTGTTGCTTCATCACACCACCGCCGTTGTTATCCGACATGGATGAAATCAAGGTGATCTACCGTCATTACGCCACATTGTACTTTGTGTTCATCGTGGACGACCAGGAGTCCGAGTTGGGTACCTTAGATTTAATCCATGTATTTGTGGAGTGTTTAGACAAATGCTTCGAAACCGTGTGTGAGTTAGATTTGGTCTTTGGCTGGCAGGTGTTACAGGCGGTGTTGGAGGAGATCATCCAGGGCGGGATGGTCATCGACACAAACATTACGCGTATCGTGGGTGCGGTAGATGAGGCAAATAGTCAAACAGGTGGAGATGTGGTTGGGAATAGAGGGGGGATCACCAGCAGTAGTCTTTTATCGGCGATGGGGAGGGCCAGGCGTTTAGGATGGGGACGCTAAAAGAAAGTTTTTGAAGGAAGTTTACTGTGTTCAGTGTATTATAAATAATGCCATAAGGTATCGGTTATACATATGTAAAATAGCATAAAACGTTAGACTTAACGCCTGTATATAGATATAGAGGAGCTCTACAATAAAGAAGCTTCGGCTAGGAAAAATAATGTACGGTATTGACTAACCCCCCGAGCCATCTACAGATTCAGCGGCTATAAATATAATTAAAATCGGCTATATACATCAGGGCGTAATAAATAGTAAGGGTAACATAGGGTGGCTACACGAGCAGATTACCCTTTGAACCAACCCTTCTTCTCCGCAGTCTGGGCCAAGGCTTCGGTCTGCTGCAACTCCAACTTGGCCTTTTCGATTTCGGCTCTTTGCACAAGCTCGGCGGCGCTCCTCTCCTTGCGCTCTCTGTTCGCCTTCTGCTCCTCGCGCCACTCCGAGGGACTCTTGACAGATCCGGTGATCCAAATAGGATCTTTGGAAGCGGCAGTCTTTTTTACAATCTCCATCAATTCTTGCTGCTCCTTTTGCCTCAAGGCACGGTTCTCCTCATACTTGCGGCGGACCTCTGGTGAGAAGCGAGCAATCAACTCCTCGTCGGTGGGAGTGGCGTACTTGTACAAAAGAAGACCGGTACCCACAATAGCACCACCCACGGCGTAAACTCTGACCCAGCGGTACCACAAAGGACGGGTAGACATGTTGGATAGTTGTGATTTGCTGTTGAAGCTTACTCAAACCGAAAGGGAAGCTTTTTATCAGCCTGCAGATATATCCTGTCTGGTTCCGTGCGCATTATAATACAAACGCACCGTATTGTTCTCGCAGTCAAGACGAATTTACACTCAGTCACCATTAGGACATAGATATTTTTTCTACTTTGCTGTTAATCAGTTATATCTATATTTATACAGTCTTATGAATAATATAAGCGACAATGACTTTTTATTACATTGATTCATTGTCGCGCTACACCGATACTGATCAAATATTTATAGGTTATGTACAACGCCAGTGGATGAGTACAGCTGCTGCTGGCGGCCACCGCTGCTTTAAAGGTAATACTTGTCGACTAAGCTTCGACCTCGACTCTGTTCTTCTTGTCTTCCAACTTCTGCAACTTTTCTCTAACCAATGGTTGCTCATCGTGGAAGGCAATCAAGTTCTGCTTGTACGGGTGGTCGGAACCTTCGAAAACTCTCAATCTGGCCAATCTCTTGTCTCTTAATCTGTTCTTTGGCAACATCCCGCTGACCGCCTTTCTTAGGACCTCACCGAAACCCTTGTTTTGCACCATTCTCTCCATCGGAACCAACTTCAAGTTACCTGGCTTCCCACTATGGGCCCAGTAGTTTTTCTGCTTGAGCTTGTTCCCGGTCACATTCAAGTGAGCGGCATTGGAGACCACGACATAGTCTCCACAGTCGTGTGACTTATCGAACACTGGCTTGTGCTTGCCGATCAAGGTGATGGCGATGCTGGATGCCAAACGACCCAAAGTTCTCTCGTCCGCGGAGACATCGACGTGGTGCCAGATTCTGGAAAATGCCAAGCCAGTTTTACCTAATCTTTGGGACATGGTTGTGGATGGGATCTATGCCTGGTGCTGTACGTGAACTTTTAGTCTCGATATTTTTGATAGCCGCTGAAAATTGTGGATGGAGTATCAAAATGCACCGCAAGTTCGCGCGTGTTTTTTTCACGCCCAGTCTTGAACAATATGACAGTGCGATAGGGATTGATAACACCTTGTTTAAACGATACCAACCATAAAACCCCGTCGAAATATCGGGTACCTGCAGTCCATTTCATTGCCATACCCCCGTTTAATTTAGCGTTCACACATATAATGTTCTTCTTGGTAAGTACTGGCTATCGAGGTTTCAACGCCTTGGGTTTATGTTCAGACAACTAACACCTCGCAGAAAGATTTATCCCTCAATTTGACCCTCCATCCATCTTACTTCGGGCCGCAGATGGGGCAGTATTTGAAGAACAAATTGCTTACAGATGTCGAAGGTACATGCACAGGTCAATTTGGATACATTGTGTGCGTGTTAGACTCCATGGACGTTGATGTAGGCAAGGGGAAGATTCTCCCAGGCTCCGGGATGGCGGAGTTTGAAGTCAAGTACACAGCCATTGTCTGGAAGCCATTTAAGGGTGAGGTTGTGGATGGTGTCGTCACCAATGTCAACCAGTTGGGGTGTTTTGTCGATGTTGGGCCGTTGAACGTTTTCATCAGTACACATTCCATCCCGTCGGACATGAAGTATGACCCAATGTCTAATCCTCCCAGCTATGCCAGTGAGGACCAGATAATCGAGAAGGGCTCCAAGATCAGATTGAAGATCTTGGGTACCAGGACCGATGTGAATGAGATTTATGCCATTGGTAGTATCAAGGAAGATTACCTCGGTGCTCTATAAGTTTGGCTGGTTGGAGTCTGACCCGTCTGGAGATTGTTTTATATGTACATTTTATAATTTTGCATCAATATACCATTGCATAGAAGTATTGCGTAGAACAGGAAAAGTCCAATGAGGAAAGCAGGCTGTATGGTGGTCAAGATCCATGTGGGATATTTGGCGAGGCTGGGGAATATCGCCGAACGTAGCAGATAGTGAATACTGGAGGCCCAAGGCTAGTGAATCGACGTGGAGACCTAGGCCTTTACATTTCAGGTGGGATAACACCCTTCAAGGTCCCACCTAAGACATCTTGTGCCATCCCATTTCTCAAAGGATCGAAGCTATTGCGTCAGAAATGAGGAACAAGTTTAGTACGACCAGGGGATGGAAGATGGGGACGTGAGATGAGGGATATGTCATGGCTTAGGGTGGGCCTAGACCTCATTTCTGCCCCGGAGCTGCATTACTCCCATCTTTTATTCTCCACCCAGGTGATTCGAGCTGCCTACAACCAGAGCTAACGGTGAAACTAAAACATCAAAGTTTACCCCCGGCAAAAGACAGTCTGCAAATATGTGGTCATTGTCCATATCTGTTCCGTCCGCACAAGGGCCAGGCAACAGAAACGGGAAGGCTGCCGTTGGAGTCGGATTATCCTTTCCGGAAGCTTCCATATACTCCATAAAGTTAAAGTATGGGTCTGAGTGGTGCTCATTAGAATGGAATATTCCACTAGCCGTATCTGGATAAAGGAACAGGGAATTCACGGAGTCATTTACTTGTATCTTTTCTCCGTGGAAATCACGATCCTTCTCGTTTTCGTCATTTCTCATACTAGTGGGAAACACCTTTAACGACTTGGATGGTCGTTTGGCGAAATTGCTGACGGCGAGATATTGGGAATTCGGGTTGCCAGTCTGTAAAAATACCCTTTCAGATCGGGCTACGTACTGAATCTCACCTAAGATACTAGCAGCAAATGGTTTGGAGAACTTTTCAATCACCGAGTCACTCGTGGCATTAACCAAACTCTGCTGACTGAAGGTAGGGTTTCTGATAAGTGAAACAAGTAGTTGTATCCTGTTGTGCTTGTTCATGTGATCTGGCTCGATGTGATCAATTTTCGAAGGCCACCAGCCAGGCTTCCTTCGGTTCCCACCGTTGTACGGAAAGTTGGTTTGCTTTTTCGGTTCAATGGCACGAATCCAACACTTTGCTATCTCCTTGCACTGGTGCTGTTGGATTTCTGTAAAACAAGTTGTGTAATGCCGATTCACTTGATGGTTGTTACTTAAGTCTAGTACCATTTGAAATCCAGGATCCAGGTAGGCAGGTTTTAAAACAAGCCCAACAGAAGGTGCAATATCTGGTTCTTCCCCCAATACCCGACCGTCACTAAGCTTGAGACTGTTCTTAATCCGTTGGGCCGTAGAGGACAAATGCGGCGATGATATCAACTCGATGTTGTTTAAAGGACCCACTACCACCAACACAAAACCGGTACCCTTTTCTTGGCTAGTTAACCTTAATAATTCATCCACTGCAGCCGTTACGTACTGACTGTATTTTAAATCGGGATTTTGCATTAAGCTGGATTTTGGTAAACCAAGCGAACCAACAATACACCAGAAACGGTGGATTTTCGCACAAGATATTATATTGATTGGATAAGTTAAAAAAAGCCACGGTCACTCAGTTGGGGCTCTCAAACAGTAGGCCCAAGCCTTTCTATGACTGACAGCTGGTACAAAGGTGAAGAGAACCAATTAGAACGCTGCTAGTGCAGCACAAACTATCAAAATGTTCTCACCATGCAACCAAAGTGTCAACAAGTTGTAAAATTGGTGTAAGAGTTATTTGGCTGAGTTTCTTTTGGAACCACAGTGTAGCATGGAAACAGATTTTACAATGGGAAGAGCCATTGTGTGAAGGGTGTTTCATGTCTGCCCAAATTCACCCACTCTGACAATGACAACTAAAAAGTAGCTTGAAGCACTAGATGACGTTAAAATAAAATAATCATACATATTCAAGGAAGCATATGTTTTTTTAAACACATAACATAGTGATACGTTCCACCAATTGACCTCCGGTCAATCAGCCCCCATCATAGTTTACAGATGCCTAACATAAATGCGCGGGTCACGTGATAAACACCTATGGCAAGGGGAGTTTCCTTAATAACAGATTATAAACACCAAAAATCCTTAAACAATCTCCTTGACATACCCAATTTAGGCGTTATCAGTGTAATCGGCTTTTTCATATCTAAATATTCGTACTGGCGGCGTTTTGCCATTGTGGCCCTTTGTCTTAATTGCTTCGGCCGGTTTTCGTTTTTCCTCCCGTGGCTACAAAACGATTTGATAACAAATCTGTACAACCATGTCACGACCGCCACACGTCACTCATACAATGCCGAACTCTCTTGCCCGGGTCTCGGAGCTTCTCAAGACTGAGGATGACTTGGCCAAAGTGGCCACCATTAAAGAACAATTTGCCAAAGAAAAGGCGTCCATCGACGTGAAGTTGAACGCAGCGCTCCAACAGCAAATCGAGACCATCATGCGCAACATCCGCAACCTCAACAGCTCATCGGCTAAGATCGCAACCGTCAAGACGAACTTACTGACAATCGATGCGATTTACCGCGATTCCAAGACGTCGATTGCGCGCTACGATGTGATCCAGGAGTTCACGCGTATGCACGCGTACATCCAGGAAACGGGCGAGTTGTACACCAACATGTCGCACTTCCATGTACACATGAAGGAGGTGGAGGCACTTATTGACTCAGAACTCTCACAGGGAATTCAGATTGACTCGCTGGTACCGCAGCTTTTGCGAATCCACTACAATCTCAACGCGGCGGCCAACTTCCGCGACCGCTTGGAGCGGTACGCGGCGACGACTAACTCCGACTTCCGCTCGATCGTGGCGCGCATCGTAGCGCCGCTTGTGCCCGCCGAAGAGAAGTTCCGTGGCATGTTGCACGACATTATCACGGGCTTGGTGGAGTCGCTAAAAGACGGAAATGTCGCCTTAGTGTTGAAGGTATTCCGCGTGGTTGAGTACGAAGAGCGCGAGGACTTGAAGTTGGCGTTGGCCGAAAAGTTGGGCCTGGAAGCTGGGCTGAGTCTCACGAGCCAGCGGTCAAAGCCACGCGAATACTTTGCCTTTTTTTTGAAATCGATCGAGGACTCGATCAACGAGACGTTCCAAAATTGCGAGGATGCATTCGAGAACAAGATTGACGTGTTAGACAACTTGGACTGGATTTTCAATGACCTCCTCATGGTGAAAAATGAGCTTATGAAGTACGCACCCGCGCGCTGGTGCTTGTTCGACCGCTACTACACGTTCTACCACGCGCGGATGCATGCGTTTATTAACGAGACTGTCGCACGCGACCCCAGCTCCGAAGAGATTCTCCGCATCCTCAGCTTCGATAAGCTCTACACGGATGTGGCGGTGAACGAGCTTCAGATTGCTAAGAAAGATATCAAGCCGTTGTTCAAGGATAAGGAAGAGTTTTTGGACAACTATCTTACGTTGATGACGGACAAGGTGACGGAGTGGATGGGCAACTTGGAGGTGCGTGAACAAGAGGAGTTCAAGGCACGCACGCACCTGCCGGAGTCCGCGGACGACCTCTATACATTGCAGGCGATCACAACGATTTTCCAGATCTTCAACCAGCAGATTAATATTGCAGCAGATTCTGGCTACGGAAAGATCGTTAATGGGGTTGTTGCAAGCTTCTGTGCTATTTTGAACCGCCGCACTACGCACTGGAACGCGTTGTTGCGTGCTGAGGTCGACGCCACGCTCAACAGCACGAGAAACAACGTACGCGCCACAATTGGTAGCAACGCCGAGGAAGTCAGCCCAGGGCTCCTTGAATACACAATTGCGCTCGCAAATGACCAGATCAAGTCCGTGCACTACTGCGAGACGATCTTGGACAGCTATAGCGGCATGTTGTCGCGCAAATACCAGGATGAGGTGTCCGCCAGCTTGAACCAGGTCATGGATGGCTTTGTGGATTTGGGGAACAACTGTATTCACAGTTTGGTAGTTATCATGTTCAACGACTTAATCCCTAACTTTGACTTGATCCTCTCTAGCCAGTGGTACAAGCAGAAGTCGCCTGACAAAATCGTGCAGCCGATCGCGGAAACGTTGATGGACTATTTGACTGACTTTGAGAGCTCGCTCAATGGCGTCCTTCTCGACTTGTTGGTGGATTCTACTGTGGACTACACCATCTTGTACTACTTTAAGGCGATGCGGTTTAAGCATAAGTTCAAGAACGACAAGCTCTTCGGTTTGGTGACCCGCGACGTGGAGCTGCTTTTCCCTGTTTTTGCGCCGTTCTACAACTCACCGGACGAAGTGCGCACCGTGGAAGTGTTACAACGCAAGTTCCGTGTGTTTGAGTTGTTCATGGACCTCGTGAGCATCGAACGTGATCAGATCCCCGGCACCTGGAATGAGATCTTGGACGAGTTCAGCGACTTTTCGTTGGAGTTTATCGAGGGGGTCTTGTCATGCCGTAAGGACATTGATAGTGCCCACGCCGCGTTGCTTCTTTCCGAGTTGAAGGGCTTGAGCGAGGCATTCAAATACAAAAGCCATGCCGTTCCGTTGGTTGCAACGTTCATGAAGAAGTTCAGGTTGGAAGGGGACATCCTTTAGTTTTGGTGGCAGTAACGTTCAATTTAAATACATGTACAGAATTAGGATGCAGGGAAAAGCGAGGAGGTTTGGTGGGATCCCCTATGTACTCGGATATTTCATGTTAACCCAGAGTTAGACTGGTTTCCTGTCAAGCAAAGCCCAGAGTGATTACTCTATGGGAGATTGAAGCCTTTAAGTACAAGAGGTGTGAGCGCCATGAGAAAAATCTAAATTAAAGGAGAAGTGCCAAATCGAGTGAAGTAGGCCAGAAGCTGGGGCCATGAGTAAAAATGAAACGGGCCGAGCAGGGAATTGAACCCTGGGCCACTCACACCCAAAGCGAGTATCATACCACTAGACCACACGGCCGTAACAATTGAAGGTGTCAGGGTTCCAGCGCCTGTTGGTATTCCAGTCGGGGGGTTGTAATCAGTCATTGATTCACAAGTTACTTATCGTGATCTTCCACAAAAATAAAGATAATATTAAAACCAAGATCATTCTTAGATCTGGAAAACTACTTCCTTATATAGCTTTCTTCGGTGCCTCATTTGCTTTATGCGACAGGATTAGTTTCAGATACTCATTATCAAACAATCCTAGTAGCCTCAACTGGAACCTCATAAGGTTCCTGAAACAACTCTCTAACTCTGACAGAAGGAGCTGATCTCTAGTAAAACCAGTGTTAATTTTTACATGTTCTAATATCTTCTACAATTAACCTCAATTGACATTATTACATTATGAAGGCATAAAGACCAAAGGACCCTTGGGTCTCAACATACTCCGCATGGCCAGCGTGCATGACCGCATGCGGCAGATTGAAAGCCAAAAATCCTGCACGTGCCCAAGGGGCAACAGATATTCATTTTTAGTCCCATCCCTCAGATACCCAATAAAACCAACTATTGGATTAATCATGTCCGAACTGGCCTCTAGTTCTGTTCTGTCCGGAAACTTGAAAGTTCCCTGGAGTGGCCCGGGGCTCCGGCCCTCTGTGAGTCACCACAGCTTAACCAACATCCTTATGCCCTCGTCGTCTCTCCAGTTCACGCACCAGAACCAGGCATACTCTGGGGGCGAGGTTTCGGTATCTAAGAACCCGATCGTCGCAATGTTTCTTGTGAAATTCGATGTGCACACTGGCTACAGCTTGGAATGGTTTGAAAAGATTGATGTCAAGGGCCCGGAGCAATACTCGTTGGATAACATTGAATTCAAAGCGTTGCCGTCTGGATTACATACCAAGGGCTCTGATGTCATCTACTTTGTCCATAGCAAGCCGGGACAGGAATCCAAAATCGATGGCGTTGACATCTTGTACGGTGTGTCGGTGTACAGTCACAACATCCATGACGCGATCCACTCTAGAGAGGATGTCAAAATGTATTCCTTGGGGGTTTTGGTGGATCCTGGACTCAACAATATGCTCAGCAACAACTCCTCCTTGCCGTCGAATGTCTTTTCAGACCACTACTTATCGGCCTGGAAGCCAACTAACTACACGTTGGGTTTTGACTACATTAGTAAGTTGGGTTTCTGGTTGGCAAAGTTCATGGAGGGAAAGGGAGAGGCTCTCCTTGATTACAGTGCATTCCATGAGTTCTACGAGTCACACCGCGTGGATATTGACAAGAAATCCAAGGCCAAGCGCAGAAGCTCGTTCCACTCGGCTACCAACCCGTTCCTGGAGCTGTTGTCCGAACACGATGGCCCCAGAAAGGAGCATATGATCAGTTCGTTGGTACCGTTGATCCAGGGCTTAGGGCCATCTATTTTTACCGTCTGGAAGTATGCCCTCCTCCGCAAGAGGATTTTATTGTATTCTCCTGCGACGTCAATCGAGGAGAACTGCGATTTTTCTTATTGTCTCTCCATTCTCTCTACGGTTCCGAAGGAGGTGCTACCAGTGTTGAAGAACAGTGGCTGCAGATCAGACTTACTCGACTTCTTGAGGTACTACCAACCGTTGTATAATATCGGAATCAACGATATCGATCATATTGAGAGCATAGACTTGGTCTTCAAGAGCGATGACGGAAGGGCGAAGAGGCAAGGTTTCGTTGCTACCACTACCGATGAAATTATCCTCTACAAGAGCCAATTGTACGACATATCCGTCACACTTGGCTCCTCCGGACATAGCGATCACCAGAGTATCATAAGCTCGGCTGTGGTGTCACCTGAGCTACCGAAGGTGATCCGCTCTAGCTACTATATCGACAAAAACCAAAACCACATCCTAAAGGCTACTCAACGGGATTTGCGTAAGTTGAAGGTTCTTTACGACCATTACGATCTCTCCATCTCCCATGCTTGCGCTCAAACCGCTTGCAGAGAGGATGACACGGACAATTACGACGAGGACGAAAGCTATGAATCCTTGCAGAGATGGTGGGCCAAGGTCTCAGAGCCCGTTACTTGGAGCGAATTCGCGTGGTCTGGGTTCTTGTGGTGGGCGTCTGCAGGAGAGGCGAACATCGTGGCTAACGAAATGGACAGAGAGTATCTTTCAACCCTAGACCACTCCACCAGCGTAAGTAACCGATCGAATCCCTTGGGTGGCCCTCTTTCATCCGGCCTCGTCGACTCTTTGAATATTGTGGGCTACTTCCAGAATATGACTATCAGGATCTTCTCTATTATCACCGAGTTAGTGATGAACGAGCTTTCTGGGGACGAGCCTGGCTACCAGGATGATGAGGACGAGACTCTGCCTCCGTCGAGTGCCCCTGATATAGCCCTTTACATTGAATCCAACGATATTTACGAAATGGGCTTGGATCCTTACTCAATTGGGGATCACGAGTTTATTCTGGAGTTGGTGATGTTGTATTGGAGCCGCGAGGTCAAGTTCGGTGGCCGTATCTGTAACGTCCTTTGCTAGCGTTTTTAGGATTTATATAGGACCCCTGAAAGGATCGTTCGCATGGCATGGCCCGATTGATATCGCATTATTATTTTTTTCGAAATAAGTAAGTTTAACCACGATCGCCGGAATGCTCTATCCTAGTACTTACAATACAGAGTTCGAGGTCTGCCAATATTAGCATCCGTTTTCAGAAACATGATTCTCAAATTTACATTGAAACGGTGCCAGGTCAGTGTGTTATGATATTGTGCCACATATTTCACCACTTGGCGCTCGGAATCTTGGGGTCACGTCACTCAAATCCCGTTTAAAATGTGGAGCTGTATCCTTGTTTGTGGAGTGTCCCAGAGTACCCCCAATAATGCCGCAGGCACTCCTCGCTTTCATCCGAGAACCAACACCCCCTAGCAGAGCCAGTACTCATCCAGAGAGGCTTCCTGCCATCACATTTGGATGGTGCCGTAGAGCGATAACCTGGAAGTGCGGATTTTCGTGTTGTGGGGTGAGTACGTGCTTAATTCAGGATGATTATGCATGTTCCTCCGTGTGATTATGTCAAGTTATGCACCATCTAGCCACTTCATGGGAAAACCCGGGTAAAGTATGTCCAATCGTGCGTACAACACCGTTTGAACGGAAGTAACACTAAACATCTGCAAACTCTTCTAAAGGACTGGTACTGAACGTCGTGACCCCCCTCCAGCGTTACCCACACCGAAATATGACGATCAAACCGCCGTACATTGCGCATCTGGCTGCACGTTTTCAGTTTGCCGTACAAGCGGCTTTTGCATTCATACCCACGGGCAAACCAGCTACTATAAACCTCGAAGCACGGGCTATAGAAGACACCAGGCACATATAGCCTTCTCGGAGCAGGAAGCTGCATGCGCCCGCCTTCTTGTCGGCCCGTTGAAAGTAGGTACATGCGTCTAACCTACGGCGGCGTGTCCGAGGAGTTTCCTACGGCGCTTCGTGTTGTCTTGCTCACGGAAGGCCCGCCCAGTACTTAAAGGCAGCGGAGGATTCGTCTACTTTCCTATTGAAGTATGTGAAGGCGGGGATGGTGATACGCTTTATGCAAGCATTTCTGGTGGGGATGTACGTCTTCTTTATCACCTATACCTATCTGTGGGCAGCATTATAGCTACCAAATTCTTGTAGCGATAATTGAATGGCGTGTACTGAGCTAAGATATTTGTGGTTGATTAAAGCCTAAACTTTAAGTTATAACTCTATTGATTGGCACATACTAGGCCCTGACAGTGACGGAAAGTGTTCAAGTTATCGCTTTCCCATATGCCCGTGTATACATAACCAGCTCATTGATAGCTTGCATGCATGGATGTTCCCGGCATTCCTCATGCACATTGTCTTAGTATTCGGATAATTGATTCTTGAAATGGTCCGTTATGTAGGATGATGCTTTCTATTTAGGGGTAAAGTCTGTTCAAACCAATCCAGGCCACGGTATATAGGTCGCATATGGAGAGTAAGAAGTGTCTCTTCTTTGTATATACGGCGGGGTAGCAGAGCCAACTGGGTGGATACCAGGATGAAGTGGTACGCATGACGGACTAAAGTACACCATTAACATACCTTGTTTAACGATCCCGATCCAGTCCGATGAAAGCTTACATGTTGAAGATCACGACATCTTCAGAGAAATGAAAGCCCACATACCGTCTCTGTGAGTCTAGCTAGGTCCTTATCTCCTATATTAATGGATGGCACATGGAGATGCCTGTCAGTCGAAGAAATGCCGTTGTGTGACTCTTAGAGGTCACCTTTGAGGAATGCCAAGTAGAAGGGAAATAAAAAGAAACAAGAAAGGATATAACGCCGTAGTCCTGTATATTACATTAGGCGTATACACGTCAAGTTTACGACACTCTTGGCACAGCACCCTGGTCACTACGCTGGATGCTACCCTTCTCGAACCCTGCTTTTTTTGGCTGACAAAGTTAAAGCGTCAATATTAACAACAACTGAAAATTACATAGTATGCTCTTCAGTCTGCGGTTTTAATCTCGATTGACTTATTGTGTACTGTCAGCGCAACTATAAGAGACGAATAATGTTCTTCCAAGTAAGCGCTTATCTACTCGAGCCAACGAAGAACTTAGCAGTGCAGAAAAACTGCTGTACATTCTAGCAAAATGCTTGGCAAAGATTATTCGGATGCACTATTTTTTATAGTTTTGCTCCGATAGCAGCTAGTGCAGTATCATTAAATCATTGCTTGGCTCCCCACAATTTGGTTATCTACGAATCCTTGGTATCTATCACCGTCTCCTCATTCTGTTCGGATGATGTAGGATCTGAGGCCAGGAAGTAGGCTTTTATCAGGTTATGCCTTTGCTAAAACGCCTTAGCTCTATATTCCCCCGCCGTTGGCTAGCTTTGCAAGCCCGCATACCTAGAGTCATGCGTTTCCTACCGACGCCGGAATTATCCGAGAATTTTTCTGTTGATTTCATTTATGACGTTCAGATTCATGGCTTTCTAAAGATATAGTGTGGGCTATTCCATTTGAGTTCGACTCTGTACTGTTGGTATGATGTATACATGCACACTGCGTTTAGCTCCGGGTGACATACATGTTCGGGGTCTTTGGATCCGGTACCTATCAGACACGGCCGCCGTAGGTCTGCGGCATTATGCAAGCGCCTTGTTTTTTCTGCATGCTGTCTCAATTACCATGTATAGATGCCTATTTTAATTTTTTCTGTTACGTTAGAATGCCTCGCGTAATCTGACTTATCGTGGAATAAGCCCGAGAAAGGGGAAGGTGACCCCTCTTAAAGGCTGATTGTTGAGTCTTGAAATATTGTATCTCGGTGATGCTTACTGAGACCACCCCATAAAGATTATGCACTCAAATGCATCCAGTGGCCGTAGCTACAGAACCATGGAGAGGGTCTCAGAGATATCTGTATACGAGCTGTGGTTATAAGTGGAAATATACGCGTTCGGCCATATTCCTGGTTACAAGGTGCCTAACCCGGCTGGCTGACCTTGGAATAAAAAAGACTGCCTGCATGTGGCTAATCTCCACTCGTCCCCACTTTCACCATGCATTTCTGTCGCCCTATTCTCTTTATTTCATTTGCCGTGCATAAAAAAATATGCAACACATTCTATATTTTGCTCTTACACTCCCAGTTCTGATTAGCCTCATCTGGATATAAATACCCCGGGATCAGTCCCTTTACTGTAAAACTTCACCTCTTTTATACCATCCTGTGTCTTCTTCATACTCCCCTCATATACCTTCGGGAAAGACTATTAGACTTTATCCATACGCAACCTCATCGGCTTGTCCTTACCTTTTTAATATCCCACTTCTGATTTCTTCTCTCTATTCCACACAATGAAGGACCTCGAAAAAAGTGCGAGTTATCCAACTTCCGAAAGAGATGCCCTTTCCATCAGAACCCAAGAATACAACTTGGACTTGTCCCGCTCCACACCTGTGGCCATTTCTGATAGCCACAGATTGAAGAAGGATTTGAAGGCTAGACACATTACCATGATTGCCATCGGTGGTGCTTTGGGTACCGGTTTGATTATTGGTACCGGTGCCGCATTGGCCAAGGCTGGCCCTGCTTCCATCTTCATTGCCTACTCGTTTGTCGGTTTTATTGTGTACTGTGTGATGTGTTCCATTGGTGAAATGGCCACTTACATTCCTTTGCCATCTGGATTTTCTGGTTATGCTGAAAGATATTGTGATCCTGCCTTGGGGTTCGGTGTTGGTTACGCTTACTTGTGTAAGTTTTTGATTATTTGCCCTAACCAGTTGACTGCCGGTGCTTTAGTTATCCAGTACTGGATTCCTCGTGAAAAGGTTAACCCGGGTGTTTGGATCACCATAATTTTCTTACTCATCATCGCTATCAACTTTTTCGGTGTTAAGTTCTTTGGTGAATTCGAGTTCTGGTTGTCCTCGTTCAAGATTGTCACCATTATCGGCTTAATGCTCTTATTGTTTATCTTAATGTTGGGTGGGGGCCCAACTCATGATCGTTTGGGATTCAGATACTGGAAGGACCCTGGTGCTTTTAAGGAGTACAGCGGTGATGGTGTTCATATCACTGGTAACACCGGTAAGTTTGTTGCCTGGGCCGCTGTCTTGGTTACCGCTGTTTTTGCTTACTTATCCACTGAGCTTGTCGGTGTCACCGTCGGTGAAGCTGAAAACCCAAGAAGAAATGTCCCAAGAGCCATCAAGATGACTTTCTACCGTATCGTCTTCTTCTACTGTATCTCTGTCTTGTTATTGGGTTGTTGTGTCGCTTATGATGACCCAGAATTGCTCTCCGCTAATAAGGCTTCTACCTCTGCCTCTGCGTCTCCATTTGTCGTTGCTATTGCTAATGCGCGTATCCCATATTTGCCTCACATCATCAACGCCGCTATCTTGTTGTTCATTATTTCCGCTTCCAACTCTGATTTGTACATTAGTTCCAGAACCTTGTACGGTTTGTCTTTGAACAATCAAGCACCGGAGATTTTCTCTCGTACCAACAAGCGTGGTGTTCCAGTTTACTCCATGCTCTTCTGCTCCCTCTTCTGTGCCTTAGCCTACATGAACTGCGCCTCCTCATCCGCCACTATTTTCATCTATTTCGTTAACGTTGTGTCGATTTTCGGTTTGTTAACGTGGATTTCCATCTTGGTCACCCATATCTTTTTCATGAGGGCATTGAAGGCCCAGGGTATTGACCGTCACCGCGATTTGGTCTACAGAGCTCCTTTCGCACCATACTCCACCTACTTTGCCCTTACTTGTTGCATCGTGGTTGCCCTTATCAAGAACTTTACCGTTTTTATTGGTGAGTTCGACTACAAGACCTTTATCACTGGTTATATTGGCATTCCCGTCTACCTCGGCTGTATCTTTGGTTACAAGATCTTTACCAGATGTAAGAGAGTGAAGGCAGAAGAGGCTGATTTATTTACCTTCAAGGATATTGTTGACGCTGAAGAAGAGGAATTCCTCCAGAAGCAAGCCGAATACAAGTTGGACAGAGCCGGTAAGAGAGACCTTGAATGGTATTATGAAAACTCCATCGGGTTGTTGTTCTAAGCGGAAGGTGTAGCACGTTTGCTCTTCCACTTATTGTTCTTGTTTCTTATCTCTTTATCTGTCTCTGGGTATTATACAGGGGCGTAACGTGTACCTCGTTTTGTTTATTAATAGGTTCTATTCGCTGCGCAATTTTAAATAATTCAATCAAATAGTCTGCAATGAAATCACAGTATCTTGGATCCTAACCGTCCCAATCACTGCCATAGGAAGTCTTGGGGTGCCATGGCAACACACTTGTTTGATTGACGGTGGGGAGTTTCGGTGGAAAAAAACCACTGTATACCCGGATTGCAAAAGCTCATATCAAGCAGCTGATAATTAGGAACCTTTAGCCAAAAAGTAGTGCCATCGGAGTGAAGATTAAAACAGCGTAATGGATTACCTGCCGTCAAGTCTAGTATTGGGTGTCATCTCGTAGAACACAAAACGTAGTTAGTCATAGTAACTTCTCTTCACGGCACGGTACCTAGAGAGAAAGTACAACGCTTCTAGTTCTGTCACCAAATATTAGTAGATGATCGTTATAGAACATTGGGTGAAAAATAAACACATACCTTTGATGACATATTCCCCCCTATGCAAAGCCCTTATAATGTCCAGTTCGTGTTGAAGATGAGATTGGCTCATGAATGCCCGGTGCAACTTGGTTCGAAAGTATTTAATTCCTTGCCTGCGAGACTTGGTTCCCCAAGGAGATTAGTACAATCTTCGTAATAGTATATTATCACCCAGGGAGAGTATAGTTGAGGGACGGGAATAGTAAGGTCGCTACATACGGATAGTCTCTACCCATCCACAAAAGGCTTTTGTATAATTGGCGAACTCGAGGATCCATGCTTGAACCTCTCTCAACGATTAGAGGAATCCAAGACCCTGGGCGATAGATAGCATCGAGCTGAACTACAGTGTTTACTTGAATACACCAGGGGTGCTACGAAAGACTTGATGTGTTCAGACAGGGATGGTCAATTTATATGTCACGTGATTAAAATTGACCTGTATAAAAAGGGCTACTTACTATTGGTGGTGTCTTAAGCTGCACAAGTTGTAAAAAAGCGTAGTGTCTAGATGGTAAGCTTACAGTTAGCAAAAGCCATATAGCTCGGTTTCTGTGTATATCTTGTGTGTGAACTAGCTCCATAGTACCACAATTCATAGCAAGAAAAAAAAAGTTCCAGAGTGGTTAAAGTAGATAACCTTACCTCTTTACTCGACTATGATGTAGTTATGTATCAAAAGGGATCGATTTTACTTCCTGATGCTATTTCATGGTGCAATGTTTGCGTCTGCATACGGAGTAATGGAAACACCAGCTCATCTACGTGCATCCTGGGGCTGAGTGGGTTAAGCCAATTCGAACTAGCAATAAAATGTACTGATCGCTAGTAGCCGCGTCTCGGCAGTATCGAAGTAACATACTTGCAGTAAAAAAATATGTGGTATCATGCAAGGCTATGGTGAAGGAAAAGGAGCTGTAAGCCTGCGTTACGCACCTGACTCAGGTTAAGGTGGCGCGGAACTTGCCGGTGAGGTGATTTTACGACCGTGTTATGTACCCTGCTCCTAAAGTTTTGGCCTGCGCCACCAATTTCACATGGAAGCATCGGGCCGATCGGCTTGGAGCAGCAAACCAGCCGTCCCAATCCAATGATTTCAAGTCTCGAAATTATCCAACGGTAGACTTATTCCGTATCGCTAGTGAAACGTAAGGATGGGCCCGTTCGTAGCCGATCAGCCATGTAGTTGCGGGCGCAGCCTCAGCACAGTCACCAAGGTTCTAATTTTCCCTAGATACTTCTCCGTGAAAATTTGCGGTGAGTTAGGCAAACTCTAAACTCGAGCTCTGGGGGGAGTAAAGCCCTTCAAGCAAGTTCAAGCTACACTGCTGGCATTTTACGGGAACCCGCATACACACCTCTGTGAATTGTGACCAAGAGAACATTTCTAGGTAAGTCCCTCGCCTATAACGGGGTAGATTAAACACGCCTAGTTAAAGCAAGACTTCTGGGAATAAAGGCTTCACAAATCACGTGCGACCTATTATTAGACTTTTAGGCACCCCCACAAATATATCAGCGCCTAGTCTAAGTGTTCCCCAGGTCCCAGACTATCCATTGGGGATATTCCATTTTCCGTGCACGTTTCACACTGGCTAAACCTCAGCCAACAGGTCAAAAATTACCACATGCTGACGCATAGTACGAGCGAATGCACACCTAGAACCAAAAGACCGGTGTTTCCTGTACGGGAAACCCTAAACGAGCTGAATTCAAGAATATTTCAAATCCGCACAGTAATCGTCGGTTACCGAGCAATGACTAGCGTATCTACAGTGCCGAAGGAGGCGAAATATTATGCACGGCACATCGTACTATCATTGCTACCAGGGGCTTTCGTGTTGGCTTACACATGCAGACAATTCGTGTCGACAGTACCAATAGCCCTCACTCTCACTATTTGGGCTTTCTTCCCTCTACCGATTGAATTATTTGTCTCTGTTTGACTGCTACGTCTACATTGTACCTATTGATAGTAAATTGTGCCATTTTTGAAGGGATTATTTCTCCCTCGCATGGTGTGCACAATCTTGCTTTTTGTTCGGTGTGCATGGATACCTGCATCCCCATGTGCAAACTATACCAGACATGCATAAAGTCTCTAAGAGGCTCGAAAAGGGTGAGGGATTAGCCATCTTGAACTTCCATCTATATACCTGCCGTTTCTTTTTCCCCCTTTCTCCCTATATTTACCCCCCCAAACATCGGTAATTACTCTTTTCGGAACTGTGCATGCATAAGTGGGGAAGGACGAAGACTCTGGGACTCTCGTCGGCCCCCCAAGGGAATTCTTCATCTCCACAGTAATAATATAAAAGGCTCGTTAGCCAGTTTCTATTCTTCTGCGCCTCCATTTTTCCGTTTTCTGTTCTCAATTCCTACACTACATATCTAAAATGAAGTACTCTACCGTTTCCGCCACTGCCTTATTGGTTGCCGTTGCCGCTGTCCAAGCCGACGAAACCCCAAATGTCTGTTACATCACCGCTTTGGTCAACGATATTAAGGCAAACCTCAACGAATACTTGCCTTTCGCTGCCAGTATTCCAACAGGTTTGTTGAACTTGGCTTTGGCGGCCCAGACCTACACCGACGATTCTTACACCACCTTGCTCACCCCAGGCTTCCCATACGCTTCCGTTGAAAACATCGTCACTGGTCTTCCTTTCTACTCCAGCAGATTGTCCGCCGAAGTCAACTCCGCCCAGTCTAATTGTCCAGGTGCCGCTGGTGGCTCTGGTTCCGCCACTGCCTCTGACTCCGCTACTGCCTCTGGCTCTGCCGCTGCCGCTTCCGGTTCCTCTGCTGCTTCCTCCGCTGCTGCTTCTGGTTCCGCTGCTGCTTCCTCCGCTGCTGCTTCTGGTTCCGCTGCTGCTTCCTCCGCTGCTGCTTCTGGTTCCGCTGCTGCTTCCTCCGCCGCCGCTTCTGGTTCCGCTGCTGCTTCCTCCGCCGCCGCTTCTGCTTCCTCTGTCTCTTCCTCCGCCGCCGCTTCTGCTGCTTCTGCTGGTTCCGGCTCTGCTAGCAGCGCTGCGTCTTCTAAGGCGTCCTCTGCTGCTTCCGCTGCGTCTTCTAAGGCGTCCTCTGCTGCTTCCGGTGCTTCTTCTAAGGCGTCCTCTGCTGCTTCCGCTGCTTCTTCTAAGGCATCCTCTGCTGCTTCTGGTGCTTCTTCCGCGGTTTCCTCTGCCACCTCTAAGGCCGGTGCCAACATGGTTGGCGCTGGTTCTGCCGCTTTCGCCGGTTTGGCCGGTTTGTTGTTGTTGTAAGGGCTTTTCTCTTTAACCGCATTCCGGGTTTGATACCCCTTTAATGTATAAAACTGATACATGTATCTTTCTAATTTAATAATTTAACTAGGTTCAGTGCGTAGAGTGGGTGAATAGTTTTCGATACCCCAGCAGCGCCTCTCCGCTTTGAGCACCACCCCGTTGGGAGATAAAAGGACTCCGTTTTGTTTGAGTCAAAAGTGTATTTTACGCGGACTCCGGTAATGCATATAATTGACCGCCCTGGCTTACAGAAATGGTATCTTGGTGTTGAATTGTTCTAATGCACAGATAGAGGCTTAGTCCAACCAGGGATATCTGGGATCTCCGCACTATTCATCAGTAAATGCCCACACCCTCTCGAATACATTAATCGGCTCAAGTATTTCGCAGACTTACGGAGATTTTTTTTCCTTTTTTTTTTATTTTTATTTGATTGTTCCTTGACCTATATTCAATCTTCAGCTCCCATCTATGGGGCCGATACGCGATTCTTCTACGTCTGTCGTTGAGTAATAAGAAACAGTAACCAGATGAACAAGCTCTAACACCTTAGCTAGCCATAAACGACGTAAAATCATACTTTTCACCCCTGTAGTTATAGTAACTGTCTGACGACAACTTTTCCCGCAAAATATCCTCTGTCTTCTTTTGGGAGGGTTGTCTCTTGACCTGCAACCTGTTTCTAACTGGAGAGCCAGAATCACATGCTGCGGTCTGATAAACTTTGGGCCTTTCCTTTGCTTGACTCGCTTCCTTTCCCAAGCGTACCTTAACGCGTGTGGGAGAGACCACACTCGAAGACACGACTTGTGGGATACACGTACGAAGCCTGACAGGAGTCGCACACCCTACCTCCAGACAGGTTCCATCAGATGAATCTTCTGCATTCTGGCTGGTTTCTTCAGCTTTGCCTTCCATCGTCTGCAGTATGGCATGCACCTGTGCACGTTCCTTAGAGCCACCCAAGGCATTCTTAACCAGCGACGTACGGTTCAAACTAAAGGAATTCTCACAGATTCTCCCAGAAGTATATGGGGCAAAGTTAGAGCTCTTGCCTTTGCTAAACTTCTGGATCTGGGTCGTTGGTGGAGAATTCTTAGGATATCGTTGGGTGTAGTTCGGCATAGCCAGGTTGCTATCAACATATTTGTTATATATGCTTTCCAAATCTGAGAAACTTGACAACATAGAAGAGACTCGTTGGGGCTGTGGATTGCTCGCAGATCCCCAAGTCTCGTCGTCGTCCACCAACACCACTTCCACCACTCTGCCTCCCTTCGTTTTTTCGTACGAACTCTTATAGGAAGTGATAGTGTTCGATCTCTTGTTTCCGATTACCGTGACATCTACCGTGTCGTCCGTCAAGTCCATCAACACAATGCTGTCTGCAACAGACGAGGCGTACGTAGAGTTGGACACTTTCGAGCTGCCCGAACTCGAGTACGAGGAAACAGATGAGCATGCCTGGGATGCTACTACCACATGAGGGTCCTTGGAAGCCGTGTAAACCTCTTCGAACGCACCCCTTTGATAAACAATGTTCTGGGTCTGAGAACGTTGGGGCTCATTTGTGGTCACCAGACGGTGGAATGAGGCCAACGGTTTAGTGGGAGTGAAGCTACGGTCGGGCATCATAGCTGGAACGCTCGCAGTCTTCAGATGCCTAGACAAGCGGCTTTCTTCAAGAGGTGTATCATATACAATCTCGTCGTCTATGGCAGGTGGAGCGAAAATGTGTTCAATTTCGAGGTCGAGTTGGTTCTGGAGAACACTAACCAGAGATTTTGATCGGATATGACTTCTCCGAGAAAGCCCTGAAGCTGATGATGTAGAAACTTGTGGTACTAGCCCTTCTAAATCGATATTGAACATTGATTTCGACCGCGAATGGCGAGATCTTGCAGTGGAAATTGGTTTCACAATCGGCTCCACCTGTTTCTCCTTTTCGTACCCAAACCTGCGTTCCAATCTTGCAGATATGCCAGCGGCAGTGTTGAGGGAGTAGGCCTTGTCAGATTCGTCACTGGAAGACTCTGGATCAGACCCTCTGAGAGTCGTTGACGAATTCATTTGTGTCGAGAAATACGGGATGTCAGCGGGTTGCTCGATCTCGGGAATCTCGATTTTACCGTCCAGGGTAAGGTAGGACACGCGATTTCCAACTTTCTGGAGTTCCTCGGCCGGAGTGTTATCTCGTGGGGCGTCGATTGGTGGGAACTTATAAGAGGTAGACAAAGCCACGGATGATCTGCTCACCACACCCTTGTTATCATTTTCAAAGTCTGTGAAACCTGTGCTTTTGTCTTGAAATTCAAGATGGCGTATCTTTGTTTCGAGCTCTTTGGGCCCCGTTGCAAGCGTTTCCCACAGTCCAATGGAGGAATTTCTGTGAGAGTTATCATTAGAATGGTACTTAATGCTGCTCTGTATACTGTTAGACGATGCATATGACGAAGAAGATGCTAGTCTAAGATTTATGACCATACTTGAAGACGATGACTCTTCGAGCACTTTTGGGGCTGTTTCGATAGTTGGTATCGGATCTGGTGGTCTCACTGGGTACTGAAATACCTGCCAGTCTTCAGTATTACCCAACTCATCATCTGACAGTCTTGTCAAGTTGTAGTACGAATCGTCTACGGTGCTCTTTGCGTTCGCGTCTGCCCCCAGAGTCACCGCCGAGGTGGAAACTGTCTTACTCCCAGTACAACCCACATTTGGCACAGAACTCATCCCAAGACCGTGCAACTTAGAAGTTATGTCATATACCTGCATGTTGTTACTCACCTGCCTGGAAGATTCCCCACTCATCGCTTCATTTATGACACTCATCGCTTGAGCAGCCCCTGAATGGTTTACTGGAAGCTTGTTCGCACTTTTAACCAATTTTTCAAAGAGGTTCACTGGTTTGTACTCATTTCCGTCAAATATAAAACTCTGTGGATTGGGGTTCTTCTTGGAGTTAGGGCTCAACTTGGGAGGGTACTGGATACGGAACGGTACTGGGATCTGATAGCTGGAGAGAGTTGAGTCGGGTCTCACTTGATAGTTACTAGGCAGAGAGAAAAATCCTGGGTCAACCTGACGGTTGTGGAAATTAGACATGGTTTTCCTTCGGTTTCTTGGCTTGGTACTCAAGGCCTCTCTCGGTGCTGGGGGTAATTCAGGGATATAGGAGTACGTCATATTTGCGTTTGGGGGTAGATGAAGGCACCGGTTAGAGAAGGGTCTTTATGTATTTTTTTAACCTGGTCTGCCTTTCACGTATTTGATGCTACTACTCTTTAAAAGCTCAGGTCACGTAATTTAGCCGTTTTGCACTTTTTGCGCTCTTTCTTCCCTGTTTCCACTAACATCGAATGATTCTGTTTACTTTTATCCGTATTCGGTAATTTTCAACGGAGCTGCAGGGAAACATGGCTCCTATTACATAAGTGGATACAGGAGCATCTACCTTGCATATAAACGTTCGAAAGGAGACATATCTATTGCCAAAGGTCGAAAATTGTTCGACCACTAATGATAGCTTGCTGGGAATAATGAAGATTGACGTGGAATGAACCTAGGTGGTTATACCTGCCCGAACAGCTGAGTGGATAGCAGGTTGGGCTAGTGTTGGGTGTTAATATTGGCACATACACTTTCAACGAAATCTAGCAAGGTGACTGAGTGAACTAAGTTGTAGAATTAAACCTGGATATCTATAAGTAATAAATATATAATATGAATGAGAAAGAGAAAAGTGATTTAGTTGAAACAAGCCTAAGACCGATACATGATAAAAGCAATGGAAAAATGAAACCAAGCGGGATGTGCGAAACCCCACGAAAAGGGTATAAAGTGCTTAAAGAACAACATTCTTGGAAAGCTTCTTCTTGTAGTCAAGGATGGTACCCTCCCATAAGGTAGCGGTCTTGTTCTCAATGACGTAAATGTCCTTGGCAATCTTGTCCAAAAGACGGAAATCGTGAGAAACAACACAGACACCACCGTTGAAAGCTTTAATGGCATCAGCCAAAGAATCAATGGTTGGGATATCCAAACCGTTAGTAGGTTCATCCAACAACAAAATGTTTGGAGCTTCTAACGCCAACAAAGCAAAGACAACACGGGATCTCTGACCTTCAGACAAGGTAGCCATCTGGGAGGTCTGGCCCTCACCGGTCAAACCGTATCTACCCAACTGAGATCTCCAGTACTGGAAATCCTGCGAAATGTGAGAGAACTTGTCACGGACGAATTCCAATGGGGTTTTGGACAAATCCAACTGATCAGCAGAGTGCTGGGAGTAGACACCCATCTTGATGTGGGAGTGCTTGGAGACACGACCATTCTGAGCCTGTAAGTGACCAGTCATGATCTTCAACAAAGTGGACTTACCCACACCGTTTGGCCCGACCAAGGCGACACGGGAGTCCATATCGATACCGAAGGACAAGTGCTCGTACAAGTTGTTTTCTGGCTTACCGTCGTAAGAGAAGGAGATGTCGTCAAAAGACAACACTGGGGGTGGCAACTTTTCAACCTCAGCGAAGTTGAAGGAAAAGACTCTGTCTGGAACAACCGGCTGGATCAAACCATCGGCCTCCATCTTGTCCAAAATCTTTTGTCTGGACTTGGCTTGACGGACCAAGTTGGCGTAGGTACCAGCGGAAGCAATAAACTTCTTGATGTGGACAATTTCTTCTTGCTGCTTTTGGTAGGCCTTTGTTTGGTTGGTTTCCAATTCGATTCTTGTCTTAACGTAAGAATCGTAGTTACCACCGAACATCATGATCTTCTGCATTCTCAAGTCGATCATGTTGCTGCATACACCGTTCAAGAAATCCTGGGAATGGGAAACCAAGATCAAGATACGATCGAATCTACTCAAGTATTCTTCCAACCAAACACAGGCTTCCAAGTCCAAATGGGCAGTTGGATCATCCAACAACAACAACGTTGGCTTGACGAACAAGGCCTTAGCCAAGGCAACTCTCATTTTCCAACCACCGGACATGTCCTTGGTCTTCTTCTTGATGGTAGTACCATTGAAACCTAAACCAGTAAGGATGATGGCAGCTCTGGATTCGAAAGTAGATGGATCCATAGAATCGATCTTTTCGTACAAACCGTCCAAGACTGGGGATTCAGGCCCATCTTGGACGATAATGTCTTCGACTTGGTCTTCCAATCTCTTTAATTCGATTTCGGCTTCACGCACAACATACTCCAAGGCAGAGTACTCAGATGCCTCAGCTGGCTCGTTCAACAAGTAGATGTCAAAGTGTGCTGGAATTGGGAATTCTCTGGCTGCGATAGATCTCAATAACGTAGACTTACCACAACCGTTTTCACCCAACAAACCATAACGACGCCCGTAATTCAATTCCAAGGTGGAGTCCTGAATCAACACCTTACCGTGGAACAACAAGGAGACAGAAGACAACTTAATATCTCTTGAAGTCCCTAAGGAGTCCAAGACACCGGTGGTGACACGGTCGGAAATCCCAAACTCATCTTCCTGCAACTTCATCTTAGCGATGGCAGCGGCGGCTTCTTCTTCGGCAGTGACGGCAGCCTTCTTTGGCTTCTTACCGGCTGCAATTCTCTTGGCTTCTCTCTTGGCTTTGGAGGCGGAGACAGACATTTTGAATGATGGTTTACTTAAAAAGAGACTTCAATGCAAGACGGTTTAGTGCTGCTTGTATAGATGTGATATACCTGTAATAATTTTCCACTCGCAGTGCGCTGGAAAAAAAAAAAAAAAAAAAAGAAACAGAATGCTTAGGAAAAGAAAGAAACGCGAAAATGGCCATTACCCGGCTGTAATGAGCGGCACGCGCGCGTCATTATACATACTAGGGTGCGGGAAGTGGTCCAAGAGACACACAATGGTTGTATCGAGGTATGCAATATATTTATCATATGATTAGCATTGCTTGCTATGACAAAAGAAATTTATTACTTTATTTTAAAATTGGAAATCAATGTTTATATGAGACTGGGCTGAAGCCTGTATAAAACTCAACACAAATGTGTCCGCATATAGAAAATAGAGGGAGAACTAAGAAACAGAAAGCAGGATCACTACGGATGAAAAACGGAAGCAGGGGCAATTGGCAAGATACCGGAGGTCCATACCTGATTTATACCTACTTAAGTCAAGCGTAAATCTACTTCGGCTTTCTCTGCTGCCTTTTTGTGAAGCGCCTTCCAGAGCGGTATCAACTTGAACATGCCAGCGATGATTCTTTCGACTACCCATCTTGGGACCCACCTCATAAGGAAAGGCAAGATAGTAGACATGCTACCTCTATGGATATTAAGCTTGTTGCTGCCAGACTCAATGTGGTTGACCACTTTCTTGGCGTAAACCACTGCTGGCATTGGCCGGTTATCGTTAACCATTCGTCTCGTGACGACAAGCGCCGCTTCGAGTTCTGGACAATTGTATACTGAAGTGGCAGGGAAAGGCCTATTGTCTTCGATATTAGTTTTCACACCACCCGTAACCACATTAATGACTCTGACGCCAAAAGGTTTCATTTCCAAGTGCAAAACGGCCGCAAATTGGTGAATCGCAGCCTTGGTGGAACCGTAAATGGAGGTCCACGGAAAAGGTGTTAACGCTGCGATAGAACCAGTAAAAACAACAGTCCCTTTGGCCTTGATCAAAAGCCGAGAGAATTCACGAGTCATCCTAATTGGCCCAAAGACATTGACCTGGTAGCATTGCATCGCCTGCTCGTCGGTAGCATCAATGGCAGAGACGTTGCAGGCATTATGATTGTTAGTAAACTGTTTCAGTATATAATCAGACATTAATACTGGTCATTATTGGCCATTTATACTTACCTTGACCCGCATTGTTGTATAAAATATCAAGGGCGCCGTTCGTTTCCTCTTCAATGTACGCTCTAGCTTCCAAGACGCTTTGCAAGTCGCTGACATCACACCTGAATGTCTTGACCCCATACTTTTTCAACTCTTCCATTGGTTCTAATCTTCTAGCACAAGCGTAGACTTGGTAACCCCTCTTGGCCATCTCTATGGAAAGAGCGTACCCGATACCAGATGAGGCGCCAGTGATGACAGCAGTCTTTTGTGAGTTCATTTAACTGTTTTGAGAGGGTACAGGGTGTAAGGTTAAAACGAAGATGAAGAGATTGGACTTAAAAGTGGCCCGCAATCTGGAGATTTTTACTGGGCTAAATCAAGTGCGTAACTATATACTTTCCGCAAGACTACAAAATGACCGGATTAAAGTTTGGGGGCAGCGCCGAGTTCTGATGAGCACAACCACTTAATAAGAAACGTACTCCTTGCTTCTATCTGACGACTCTTTGCTCAGTTGACCGCGGTTATTCCACACAGAGAAACTACGGTGGGTAATAATGTTTGAATCTTTTATGGTCGCGCTTGTAGGGCTACCCATTCGATAGATTGAATGCTCTTTGGGCGTTTGAAAGATCGGGTTTGAGGGGTGAATATACGTGAAATGTAGGAGTAACCTCATCTTGGTGATTTCACCCTTCCTCCTTGCTCTTTACTCTTCCGATTATGCCTCTACATAGATGACTCTAGATGTAAGCTATGAGGTTAAATTATGCACGGCTCACAATGCGGCCCATGTATACAAGTGCTTGTCGTTCCGCTGCCTTTTTAAGGGGCTTCGAGGTATAGTGGTACGGGTCATTTATTGCACCGTAGAAAACAGCTGTCAGAATAAAGATTAAGCCAGAGAGGGCCAGAAATGCAATTACAACTTCGACGATAGGGGTAGAAACTAATCAACCTAAACTCTAGTTGTAACCAAGCTTCACTGTGCGTTGCGAACTGAGAGATCGCGGAATTAAATTTAAACCCCGCTATGGAAATGCTGATCTTTTTTTAGCTATCCTAATATATCATCCAAAAAGTCGTCTGAAGGAGCTTCCCGGCGGCGCTGCGTGTTTGAAGGTTCCAACACCGCTTCTCTTATTACTGGTTGGACAGAATTTCTGTGAGACCCGCTGGTGACAGGGATAATAAACGACTGGGTAGGAGTCGCCTCATCCTGGAGTGAGATTTTGGAGCCCAAGAGCAATTCCAAGTCGCTCGTTAAGGATTGCAGGTTCGTTGAAGTATTGTTGCGCGACATCAATAGCTTGGTCTCGATGGAAGCCGAATGGTCAGCATTTCCAATGTCCAAGGTCTTGGTAGTTCCTTTTTGGTTATCGCGGATACGGCCTCCAAACTTATCTTGGATATTATGATGGATTCGAAGCCTTTCTGATCTCTCTTGCATTTCAAGGAAATCTGTCTTCTCTTTCTCTGTTAACTGTCTGATATGATTGGAGGGTTTTCCAGAAAGTGATTCATTGTTCATCTGTGGATTGGATTCCCCTAGAACAAAGCCAGTGAGATCGGAAGTCCTAATCTTGTTGAAACTCTTAGGCGCTTTAGCTTCCAAGGTGAACTGCTTCACCGTTTTATGATCAATCTCGCTGAGGTCTTGCTCGTCTTCTAGCGCTGGGATAAGGTCATTAAACCTCCATGCGTTAGAGCCTAACTTCTTCCTTCTCCATCTCGATGTATACCCACCGGTCCCATCATCCTCACTGATTTCCTCACTGTCACCTTCACCAGTTTCCGACGTTTCTCCCACTTTTGGAGATTCAGTACACCCACTTTTGTCTTCCTTTGGTTGTGATTGGCCCGTAGTTTCGCCCGTTCTCCGCTCCGAATCAGATGAATCTGTATCAGAAGCCTCCAACACTGGTCTGGCATGGTTGGGTTTGATACCGTGCTTTACCTGGTATTTGCGCGTGGCCTTTCGGTCCCATTTGGAATTATGTAGCACCATGGTGTGTAATGGACGAGAGAAATGTAGATAATGTTGCACCTTTGGCGTCTCTACCTTCCCTCGAGTGATATACTGGCTTATGTTTAAAGAGGAGAAGTAATCCTGTATCTAACTCCATCTTCAAGACTTCAACCTCCGATTATGCCCCCGGACTTCGAGTCTACATAGATTTGAGGAACAAGTAAGCATATACCATTAATGAAAAGGCCTCGTGGTCAACATCAAAAAAAAAAAAGAAAAAAAGGACAAAAGATCAAAGATTATAGATCAAAAAAAAAAAAAAAAAATAGTAAAAGAGAGCAAAAAAGGGTAAAAAAAAAGTAAAAAAAGAGTAAAATAGAGTAAAAAATGAATAAAAGAGTGAGAAAAAGACATAATAAAAGTAGAGTTGATAAAAAAAATGAAAACAAGACCTATTGTGGTCTTGCGAGGTAGCGTATAAAAATAGGCCGATCAAAGAAAACAGTACCGATCGGTCAAAGACAAAAGCAATCAAAAAGTAAAACAGAAAAAACACAGAAAAGAAACAACGAGATCAAACCCGATCAAATCTGAAAATCGCAAGTGGTAGAACAGAAACAGAACAAGTTCACAGTAGAGAACAAAAAGTCATGAAAAAAGCGTCCCATAAGTAAAAGGAAAAAACACCAAAGGATATCACACAACCAATAAAATGTAATAAAAACAAAGAAAATTCCATCAAACATATGATGTGGAAAAACAGAATGTCATGATATCATTTTGTAGACTGCAGGTCTATGCTGCAGGTTTGGACTTGACCAATTTGCCGGTTTAGTGTCTGCTGTTACTCGAACTAGCAATAAGATCGTTAAAGGACATTTTTTGGCCCGTAGGATGCTGCGCGTGCGGGATGTTCTGATACGGAGAATGCGGTGGCACTGGCGCAAAGTGCTGGTAACCGTACGGAGGAACCACCGGGTAAGCCTGGACAGGCATCATTGGAGGTGGTGCGTAAGGAGTGTAATTGGCATAGGCCGGGTGCATATGTAATGGCATGTTGGCGTACGCCATTGGGGAAGAGACTACCCCAGGGTGTACTGAATGTGGGAGGTTTTGTGGAGCGTTCCCGCTGGATAAAAGAGCGGCAACGGGGCTGGCGTCGCTACCGGAAACCTTCTTAAACGAGGGCTTCGGTAAATCAAGGGCTGCAGGAGACACGTGGAAGGATGACCCGGCATACTTCCCCATGTCTTCAACAGCAACGGCCACCAGGGGTTTAGAATTTCCCTTGGACTTTGCCAGAATCTTCTCAGAAGGACCGTTGTTTCCGAAATCAACCTTCTGGCCGTTTGGCAATAACTGGGTCTCAACTCTCTTTGGACTGTTTCCGCCCTGGTTCTTAGGAAAGGTGGCGCGGTTCTTCAACTCCTTCTTGGTCGTGCTAGCGACGTTTGGTTTCTCGCTGTTAAGCAAGACGGCATCAGAGATGACATTAGGGTTAGTCGACATACGTTTAGGCTTTGTTGTGGCGCCTGAGCCTCCAAAGTTAGGAGCGCTCCCATCTGGCAAAGTCTGCTCTTGGGCCTTGTATGCTTTTGGGGGGTTAGCGGACGAATCTTTCTGGCTGCTCTTGGCGGCTCTATCCTTGGAGGATCTTGACGTCTTTTTGGAAGATTGAGACCCGGGGGCCTTCTCCTTGGGAGATGAAGTTTGACCACTCACCACCTTCTCTCTTGTACTCACGGCTACCTTATTGCTTCTTTGTATAGCAGTCTTGGACTGTTTACCGTTGGTGTCCGGTGCCGGAGAGGACTTCTTCGAGGATCGGTTCGATCTCGGTGACGTATTGTTCTTTGGCTGGGGGGTTTCGGACATGGCAAAGCAGTATATAAGTTATTGAGGAAGGCAATTATTGTAGACAGCAAAAATAAAGGTATTCCGGGGGGTATCAATAAATGGCTAAGGTAACAAGATATTGGCCTCTGTTCAGGTAAAGTTTATAAGAACTGACGGGTATATTTGGTTCGGTTGTAGATAAGTAAGGGACGTTATGTTTAGTAGGCGACACCAGGTAATGTTCGTTTCTTTTGTGTTGGAGGTAGATGTCAGAGGCGCAGATAGGCTCGTTTTTCAAGAGACAATTACCCGGACATGCTTAGGTAATCTATACTATCGAGACACCTGTGGAGGTCGAATACGCTATCACTATGCAGGCTCATAAAAATTCTGTGCGTTTGCTGCTCTTGCCTATCTGATCCAAGCTAAAGCATAATAGACTTGGGCTAAAACGTGGTGCCTCAAATAGCCAATACTGTAATTTGGTGGTTAGCAGTGAAAGGTCTAAACTCCCTTCTACATGTAAGCTATGGCAATCAATCTATTATATAATACCGATTGGACTAGAAGACCACACTTTAACAGCATTCGGTAAAAAGAAACCAAAAGGAGAAAACGAAAAAATTGATCTCGGCTTAATATGAAATAGGAAATCTGCATGGCTAAACAGACACGACTTCTTGGGCCCTCAAGTTCTTGAATCTCTTCTTGCTGCCGGAATGAGCAGAAAACTTCTTGTAGACTCTTGCAAGCTGTTTGTATAAGTAGGCATCGCAGAACAACATCACCCCCAAATTACCGACCCAGGTGACGGTGACCAAAAGCTTGAACGAATGCGAGATCGAGGTCAAATCTAATAGTTGGCCCAACCACGATTCCGGATCAAGCAACATAATCATCGTAGATATGAGGATTGCCACAATAACGTTCAAAATGAAGGGGATGTTCTTGGAGACTGGTTGGCGGTATGGCGGACCCGTAGTCAACACCAACGCCACCAAAATATACTGGTAGTTAGAAAAGTCGAACAAAACGGTGTTGTCAGAAGACTGAACGGCGTCGTCGTCGCCGGGAATTGGGTGAATGTACCAAGGCTGCTTCTGTACGTATCTCCAGAGCGAAATCTGGAAAACTAGAATCACGACAATGTTGCACAACATTGGAATCAAAATCTTTGGCGACACCAAGTTAGCCGTCGGTCTCTTGACACATAGCCTTGGGAATGGCTTGGACCAAGCCATAAAGATGGCAATCGGTAAGATCAAAAACAAGTCAATGTACAAAAACTGGAAATCACCAAGGTTGGATCCTCGCATGTAGAGAATCGTAATGGTCATGAACTGAATGGCAGAATACAACGACATGTACTGGAAGCACGAAAAAGATGTGACCAAAGCTGACCTACCCTCCTTGATAACATCCAACACACAAGAGATTTCAAACACACGAGAGGTAAACGGCGCGGCGATAGAAGCTTCAGCCTCGGATAATGAGATACCAACATCGGCTGCCTTCAACGCACCACAATCGTTAGCACCGTCACCGCAGAACCCGACAGTATAGTCAAGCTTCTGCAACCTTTCAACCAACTCATGCTTTTCGTCAGGCGACATTCTGGCAAAAATGTTACTCTTCATAAGCATGCCTTCAGAAACACCCTGTTCATTCAACTCGGTCAAGATGTAACGGAAAACATCGCCAGTGACGGCAAGCTTGTAGTCCTTAACTGGTTGCAAAGGAGTCAAGGTGATGGGGTCAAGATGAGCGTCTGCATCGTCCACGTCTTCCCATACGAGATTGGTGCGATTTTCAGATTGCACCCAGGAAGGAACAAACACCTTCACGTCGGGTGGAACTAAGCCACATTCACGTCCAACGCTGATGGCCGTCAAAATGTTGTCACCGGTGCACATGACGGTTCTCAACTGCGCCTGTCTCAATTCCGCCAACGTGCCCTTGGTCGAAGCTTTCAACTTGTTTTCAAACACAATAAACCCCAAGAAATCCAACTGGGATTCAGCGTCATCTCTGTCGACTGAAACCTGCTTGACCAGCTTACCAGCACAGGCAATCACTCTGTAACCGTTGTGGGTATAGAAGCGCAACAATTCCTGGAAATTTGATGGAAGCGTCTCGGGGTTACAGATATCTACCATAACCTCAGGGGCGCCCTTCACATACACCAGCATCTCGCCAGAGGCGACTGACTGCACCACAACAGACATCCTTCTCAACTGAGACACAAACTCGAATGACTTCACCGTGACGAACCCCTGGGACTTCTGGAGCATTGGGTACGCAATCGGGAAATCCTGGGGCCCGGCGTCCGGAAGCTGGTAGTCCTCGTCGTAAGACCACTCGGTGAAGTCAAACATCTTGTAATCCAACGGATCCCCGACCAACTCCTCGTCGATAACTCGCAAGGTGTGGCAGGTGGCCATACAAGCTAAGAGCTTGGACCCATTGTTCGAGTCGTGGATGGAGTCTCTCTCCAATGGCAACACACCGACTGTACAAACCAACTCGTTGAAAATATACTCCCTTCTGTCCTTCGCATTGGTGGCCAAATGGACCCCCAACACATCCAAGCCGTCCTCAGTCAACGTCCCGGTCTTGTCAAAGCAGAGAACGTCAACTTTCCCGCCGATGTTCACCCTGGTGGGGGCGATGCAGTAGATCTGGGCCTTCTTCAATCTTGCCAAGGCAAAAGAAGTTCCAATGGTGAGTGTGGCTGGCAACGCCGGTGGAACGACAATGGTTATGATGTCAAGGGCACGTAAGATCATAGTTCGATAGGACACGCCCAATCTGATAAAGTTAATCGTGGAAATCACAAACCCAATGGCAGCGATGCAGGACATAAAGCCGATGTACTTGAACGAGTCCCGGTAAAATTTGAACCCAGTTGGCTTTGGGAACAACATGGATCTGATCAAAGATCCCTTGGTGGTGCTGAACCCGGTTTTCACCACCAAAGCGGTGACCGGCTCATCGTTCATTCTCTTGATCTTCAAGATCTTGGTTCCGTTGAAAAGGAAGGATCTCAGCAAAGCGTTGGAGCTGAAGTTCTCAGACAACTGCGATAAGGACTCCTCCGTCGCGTAAAATTTGGACACCGGGGCAGATTCACCGGTCAACATGGATTCGTTCACCACGCAATCACCGCTGAGCAAGACGGAGTCGCAGGGCAAGGTAGCCAAGGAGGGATCTATTTCGTAGACGTCGCCCGGAACCAAGTCGGTAGACTCAATCTGCTTCCAGAAATCGTTTCTTCTAACCCTGATTTCGCATATGTTTTTGGACATGGTCTGCATCTTCTTCATCGACGACTTGGTTTCAACTAGCGTCTGGACAACAGACACCATAGAAATAATGAAGATACAGGATGCATAGTAGTAGTAGTTGTCCATGAGCCACAAGAAGATGGAGAACACCTGGAACATGTAGAAGGGGTGCAACACCTCGTCCACCAACAACTGGAGAGAGGACTTCTCCCTGATGTTAATGTTGTTTCCGCTAAAGATCTCCAACCGTTCGCGATGGGTCTCCTTGGACAACCCTACCTTCAACGCCTCAAAATCCATCCAGCTGGGGTCGTGCCACGTGGAATTGGTCTTGAAGATGTCCTCCATAGGCGAGTAGAAGAACTTGAGGTATCTGTACTCGAAAGTGAGTAAAAACGGAACAACGGGGTCCTTCTCGCTCTCAAGCTGCGGAGAAGTCTCATCGTCGGCCCTTTCGTTGGATAACGGCAAGAAACTGGACAACCGCTTGTCGTACCATGCCTTTTCAACGTCCAACACGCTCAATTCCCCAAACTCGTTCTCGATCACCACCCAGTCAGCGTTCCCAAGCGGAACCCGCACACCCTTCATGTTGATTCGTGAGCGGGGAAACCATCGCAAAACAAGGTAGCCTAAGCCGAAGGTGAGCCAGCACACCAAATAGTAGACAGCGGTCTTCTGCCATGTGGTTCGGTAGCCGGCGATCCCAATCACCAAGTCCTCCTCGGCGATGTAGTACCGCTGGTGGTGTAATGTTGCCTTCTGGTACCCCTGGAATACGTGCAGGGAATCCTTTCTGTAGCGGTTGCGGACGTTGGAGCTGCTCTCGTCGCTCAAGTAGGACTTGTCCGACGCATTGTCAGCGCTGCCACTGACACCCATAAGGCGGATGTCGTCCGATAAGTTAGAGGCAGATCTCTCTCTATAGCCCATCCGCGGGGAGTTATCTGTCAGCCCGTAGTTAAACTCTTCCACGACCGAGTGGGCGTCGCCGCGATCATTTGAGTATTCCCAGTTAGTGTCGTAGTCAATAGGGTTTTCGGGGTCTTCGAGGGTGGACCCGAACCCTGGCGCGTTTTCAATCTCATCTACGGTAAAGAACTTGAAGCCAGCCTTGTCTTGGGAGTGAGCAGTCCCGTTAGTAGTGACGCGGCGGAGCAAGGAGCGTTCGTCGTCGTCTTCGGGGTAGGGCTCAACCGATTCTATGGAGCTGCGGCGGAGATTGTGGGCTTGGTGAAACGAAGAGATGGAGGAGGGAATGACTTCAGACGCTGCCCCGGAAAACATTTCGTAATTGTTTTCATCGAGCAAGTTGGAGATCGACGTATCTACAGAGGCCATGGAGTTTCTGTGTCTCAAGGACAGACTGCCCCTGCCATCCATCGACGGGCGGTTGCTCACAGTGGAATGTTTGCGTGACGATGGCATGATGAGCTGATGGCCAAGAAGAAGGTACGCTACGGAAGGAGGGTGAAAAAAAGTACAAGCATTAGTAGAAAAATATTCGCAATAGACGCGCGAAAGATAAGCCTCTGCGGAAATGCACGCAAGGTTATCACCAAGTTATAGATAACGATACAAGCTGATACATAAACAGCTTGTGATAGATCCAGTTGGATCTATATGTGTGCGTATAAAGTAAACCGTATACATAATCTATAAACTAAGCTTCTCGTCTATGCCAGCGCTTTTTCTTTTGGTTTAAGTGCGTATATATTTAGCACGTATACAACTTAGATTAAAGCCCTGAAAATTAGTACATTTTATATATCTATGTAGTATTACCTTTGGTGCTGTATAGCTAATGTATACACATGTTATTAATCGACCCTAGCTGCAAAGCCTTCGACTTCGTGATAGCATTTATTATAATTTCTAATTGTAACACGAAAAGTGGGTGCATATAGTGCCGACTGCAGCTGCAATCCACAGACTGAATCAGTCGCTTCCGAGTATCCCAACTTGAGCTTGAAGAATTATTTAAATCTTCTTTGGTCTGGTGCTTCTGACGTAGTCAATCCCCCTCAAAATCCTGACACTACCCTGATACAACTCTTCCTTGAAGTAGAACAAAAAGGCGGCACTCAAAATGGACTGGGTCAACTTCACTCGGATACCGTTGTAGAATCCGGAGACACCTTCATTCTTCACGATATCTTTCACCATGGCCGAGATGCTCGTCAGCTTCTGGACCTCACCGGCTTCGGTGGTGCTCTTGGTGGCAAGATGCATTCTCGCCTTTAAGGTGATGTATGGGTAAGTTACAGACGTGGCAACCAACTTCCCCAAAGCACCGATGAAGAAGGCATTCAAAGGCGTGATGCTTTTCTTTTTGGATCTCTTCAAGAGGAAGTTCTTTAACTGCTCAAAGATGGTGTACTGGATGATTGGATTCAACACGAGCACGAGGGCTGGCAACACACCATTGAACAAGGCCCCAACACCGTCGGTCTTGACGATGTTGATGAGCGTTTTGATGGTGCCGTTCTGGGTCTTGGATACGGTCATACGGGTGTTGGCTACCCAGATCGGGTTTGTCGAGACCGAAGTGATGCTCCCGGCAATCGCCCCAGCAAGCATGGACTGAGCTGTACTCAACCCACGCGACGCCCTATCCTTCTCCAAGTTTGACTTCACGAAGCTCTTGGACGTGTACTCATAGAAGTAATAGTAGATGAAGTTGGTCAAGGCGATACCGTAAATGGCGCTCTCCAACCCGGCGTACAAGCCAGTGACCCCTTCTTGCTTCAAGGTCTTGACCACATTCTGGAAGAAACTGGTCTTGGCAAGCTTGGACAACTGTTGCTGGTACTCCTCCTTGGTGAGCTTCTGTGCCTCGGTGTCGTTGGTCTTCTTGGTGGCCGTGGTCTGGGCCTTTGTGGACAATGTGACTAACGGATAGGTCACGATCATAGACAAGGCACCACCACCGGCGCCGGCAAGGGCGTGAGCGACATTATCGTTGGAAGACATCTTTTGTATGAGCGTGTGTAAACGGGCGTTAATCTGGGGTAATAGCAGAAATAAAGATATTATATGGGGAAGTGGGATTCGCTTTTCACGTTTTGTTTCGGTTGTGACAGTGTTTTGTTAGTGGCCCAGTCTATTTGGGCGGCTAATCTTAAGGTTTATCCGCCACGGACTTGCCGTACTAAAGCACGAAGCATCTCCTCCCGCATGCGCTCTGGGGGAAGGGACATGTGACGAGAAAACGCACGAAAGAGGGGGTAAGCTATCCACGCCGCGGGACGCGGCTGACATCCCCACGGATTTTGGTGGCACCCTACATCTAGTCCCGCCTGTCCGAAACACGCTCCTGGTGTCGGGTGTAATTCGGGTAGGCGGGAGCATCTAACGGTGTCATCCGCCACTATTTCAATAAGGCGCCGTGCATAATAGGCAGTGTCACTGGGAAATCTCTACTAAGCGCGGTGCGGGCCCTCGGCAGTCCGCAACAAACCTACGTGTATGAGTGTTCGCAATTGAGATTCAGGTTGGTTCATATTCCAACGTAGTTTTTGGATATTCTTTAGAAGGAAGGTGAGATGAATTTCTCTCCAAAGATTCAACTAGTTAAACCAGCAGTACTGGGCAATGGGTTCCTGAAAAGTCGTTCTTATACCATTGTGGAAAACATGATTGCGTTATCAGTCCAATCGTAGAACTCCTTAGAGATCCAAAAGTATATCCGAAAACTGAGAAGGAAAAAAAAAAAACGATAACCTATGTTACCCGTTTTCTATGATTGAATCCCTGAAAATTTATACCAATCGTTGACGAAAAGGTTAGACACAACTGGCTTGCGAATAACCCCGCACCATGCCAGACTCTGCAACCCAGGAGATCATCCTCGGGTCCTTCGCCGGCTCTTTGGGGAAGCTCATCGAATACCCGTTTGATACCATTAAAGTCAAATTGCAATCTAAGCAATACTCCAATACGCTATTATGCTTCAAACTTACATGGAAACTGGAGGGCCTCATCGGTTTCTACCGAGGCTTAACGCCGCCATTGTTGGGAGCTTCGTTGGAGAATGCATGTTTGTTCTACGTATACAATGCTGTGCAAGACGCGTTGAAAAAACATATATATGTCATGAATCCTTCCGTTGATTTTCAGGACCAGGAACAGTATGAGGTCCCCCTCCTGGGAAAAATGGTCGCTGGTGCCACATCAGGCGTGTGTGCCTCTTTCATTTTAACGCCTGTGGAATTGATCAAATGCAATATGCAAGTATTGGTTTCCCTGCTGACCGCGGCTTCCCAGTACAAACCTAATATTTTCAAGGTGATCAAGGATGTGTATAGGCGCGAGGGTATCGCTGGCTATTGGAGGGGACAGTTCCCCACCCTTTTAAGAGAAATGGGGGGAACTGCGATCTGGTTCGGATCATATGAGATGGTGTCCGGAAGCTTTCGGAGGTATCGTAGCCAACAAGTAGAGAGAACTTCTTCTTCTACGCCTGTCTTCGATTTGCTTGTCAGTGGGGCATCCGCTGGTGTGGGTTACAACGTATGTTTATACCCGGTTGACACGATCAAGTCTAACATGCAAATCAATAAGGGTGACAAGGGCAATGCGACCATGAAAGGTACAATTAGACAAATTTACCAAGAGTCTGGGGTTCGAGGTTTCTACAGAGGTTTGGGTATCACCGTCGTTAGGTGCATACCAGCCAATGCGGTGATCTTCTTCACATACAATAAGTGCAAGGAAGCGTGGTTTGGCCGTTCATGAAATCCAGAGCACAGATAAGGGCTCCCCCTTTGGTTGGGATTTCTCGCATAGGCTTGGTGATATTGAAGCTAATGGATATAATAGATTTTTTGATAGAGTGGATACTTAGTAGCAGTGTCATGTGCATCCAAGCCGGCATTTAATAGATATCCCCCAAGGTGCATGCGTCATGTCGTAGCAAATTCATTCATTGAAGGTTGGGAGCAGGGTAAAATCGAAGAGAAAATATTCATATATACAAGAATCTCATGGAAATGGAGCATCTCTTCCGATTCTGCCGGGGCTTATTCATCCTTGTCCTCATAAGTCTTACCGAACCAAGAATTGGTCAATCTGTCACCTCTCTTTCGACTCATGTAGCTAATACCGCTGCCTTCGTAGGCAGACTTTCTATCATACTGGTCAGATGGAAGAGGAAAGCCTGGCTTAACCTTGGAAGAATCAAAGGCAGGCTCAGTCTGGGCCTCCTCGCCATTTTCGTCTAAACGAAGCTGCTGAGGCTTGTAGTTAGCCACTCGACGATCCTTGACAACGGACTTAGTAAACGCGATGGAACCAATAAAGCAAACAACGATGAAACCAAAAAGTTTTCTAAAAAAGACGTTAGTTTTGCGCTGGGCAACGGGGTTCGCTATTAGCCGTGGTCAAGGCTCCGATACGTACAATTGCTTTGGACCAACATCAGATGGGAGCATGCCCAAACCGGACTTTCTGTAACCATGGTTACCAGACATAATGTATAAGTATTCGCTGAATAAAGGATAAGTTGGTGAACACAGAGATAAGCCTCGGGCAAAGCGACGATAAATGCTTCGGTGAAAGCACTGGTCTGAGGATGTTCACGCCACTAAGGAAATTATCCTGTGTATTGATACCAAAAATCTTAAAACGAGCAAATACTCAGGGCCAACCTAAGCACAGATGCACGCTAATGGGAATAGACCTCGCCTGGTGGGTAGTGCCAAGTAGGCTTACAGTTACTGAAAGGCTTACCAAATGAGTACTAAGTAGACTTACAATGAACATAAGACTCGCCAAGTTGAACCATTAAAATACATTATATTAAAGATACATAATGAGCATCAGAATGAAACCATATACCAAACAGAACTCAGCCTTTATTTAAAAAGACGAGCCGTTAGCCCATTCGGTATACGCTTAGATTAGGAATTTGGAGCGTTTTGAAAATAAGGATATGTTCGGATTAAGTAGAAATATGGATTGGAAAATTCATACTAATACGTTTAATCGAACAAACCGAACCCCATGTCGTCATCAGATTCTTCCTTGGCTTCTTCAACAACTTCCTCGGCGGCGGCGGCACCAGAAGAGGCAGCGGCGGAACCAGAAGAGGCGGCAGCAGCACCACCGGTTGGGACAGAGGCCAACTTGGAGTTACCCTGGGCAATCAACTCAGCGACGGACTTACCTTCGATTTCCTTCAACAACAAAGCCAATCTGGATTCTTCAACTTCGGAACCGACAGTTTCCAACAAGGCCTTGATGTCGGCGGCAGATGGAGAGGCGTTACCACCCTGTTGCAATAATAAGTAAGCGGCTAAGTACTTCATTTTGTTTAATGTATAGAATAATCACGTTTAAGCTGGGGTAATATAGAAAAAGATTTCTTTTTGTATATATTGAGCAGACTATCCTTTGGTAAGAGACTACAAGCAGAATGTTTGGTGGTTACACCAAAAGGAGGTTGGGCACGAGTTTGTATAGGGAAGTGAAAAGCCTGCAAGGTTTCGCCGGCGTAATCCCATACTGGAAAGAATTTCGTCGTGTCGCTAGTGGAAACACTGTATACTACACCTCATCAGATCTTGCAGAAGTGAAAAACTCTGTTAGCATGAAGCAGAAGACAGTCACAAGCCTCCTGCTTGGTAAAATCCCAAAGTGGAAGGTGGCCCAAGCGAAAAACGAGAAAATGGAAATGGAGCCACTGAGGGCGGTATCTCCTGCATCCAGGCCGCTCATAAGAAGACTACGAACGGCGAAAATTTTCACAGTAATATTCTCAGATAGGGTGAGCCGCGCGAGACACACATTCTGTGCGAAAGCGTACAGTTAGGGTAGAGGTAGTATGGCCACCAGAATCATGGGGCCTGCCGACCGGCCCTCCACTATGGCAGAGGTTCGGTGTAGTGAGCGTGGGTACAGAGTGCGGTATCACCAATACTGGCAGACAGGGCGGGCTCAGAGAGACGAAAAAAAAAAAGAACCTACTTGAAATCTAGGCGTAGGCAGATTATACACCCTTCTCGAACATCATCATTAGTATAGCCAATATGTCTGACGCTGCTAGTATGTAATGACACTGTTACAGAATTTATGATGACGACAATTTCAAGAGTTTCAACACCTGAAAACCGAAGCCAGCGCTGAAAATTTTCATCCAACACAGGCCCCTCACGGGAGTGTGGGATGTCCGGTTCACCCCCAAAACTACCCAAAATATCAAGGAGTGGCCGAGTCCGCTAAGAATCGAGTTCAGCGCGCCGATTCAGCGCTGTGTTCCAAAGAAAACATACTCTTGAAATCATCAATCATTATTCATACATTACCAGTTGAATGGATTTACTAACATCTTATAGCCGAATCCAGAAAGAAGAGAATCTTTAAGTCCTTCTCCTTCAGAGGTGTTGACTTGAAGGAATTGGTCACCTTGGAAACCGAGGAATTCACCAAGTTGACCCACGCTAGAGTCAGAAGAAGATTCGGCCGTGGTTTGAACCACAAGCCAATGATCTTGATCAGAAAGTTGAGAGCCGCTAAGTTGGCCCAGCAGCCAAACGAGAAGCCAGCCCTCGTCAAGACCCACTTGAGAAACATGGTTGTTGTTCCAGAGATGATCGGTTCCGTCATCGGTGTTTACAACGGTAAGTCTTTCAACCAGGTTGACATCAGACCAGAGATGGTTGGTCACTACTTGGGTGAATTCTCCATCACTTACACTCCAGTTAGACACGGTAAGGCCGGTAACAACGCTTCCAGATTCATGCCATTGCGTTAAGTTGCGTGATCTAGTTGAAACATGACTTTGGCGACGGTTGCCTGTGCTTCGTCTCCGTTTCATTTCTTGCTGATTAACCCTTAACTCTCAGTGTACGTTTGTGTAATCTATAGTTTCTTTTCCACATCTGCTGATAATAAAACCCCCCCCTTTTATGTACCTTCTCTAGTAATATGCCACATGTAGCTATGATCGGGTGAGGAAATCGGCTCGTGAGCCTCACTGGCCTGAGATTATTGGCTTACTGTGACGACTGTCTTCATACATGAACCCTAGTGTAAGTGGTGATTAACTCCCTAGCAACCACGCTCGCCTTGTTGCCTTTAGATTTTACTGTTGACGGGGTCTTATCACCAATCCTATATATATCTGGTAATACTGAATCATCCGACTATACGAAGGTCTGTCATGTATCGCGCACTATGGCACTTCAACTGTAGCCAATGAGCTACAGAGATGTAAACGTCTAACCCGTTGAGTGCTGCTTCACCTACATGGGCATAATATGAGAAAAGTCTTCAATCACGTCAGATATTCCTCTAGTGTTATATCTGCAGTGGTTGGATATCACAAAGTAAAGAAAATTTACGGAGAAATACAGTATCCGAGGGCCCTATGTCAGAAGGCACTTGGTGAATACTTGCTCAAGCCATATATGCGAACCTCTGATACACGAAAAGCATATCCAAGCTTATGCTTACAGTTACAATTACAGTTAAAATAAGTTTTAAATCAGGATGTGTGATATACCCATATACCATATAAGAAAAGAATATTACATTAAAAAGAAATTTATTCGTCCTTGAACAAAGCATCTCTCTTTTCAGCAACTCTGATGGCTCTTCTTTCTCTGGCAGCCTTGTTTCTCAATCTTCTGGCGTCAGATTCGTCCTTAAGGGCCTTTTCACGGGCAGCCTCGGCCTTGGCCTGGATGATGTGTTCAACCAAAGCACGCTTGTGCTTGAAGGCGTTACCCTTGGCAGACTTGTACAAGTTGTGGTACAAGTGAGAGTCGATCTTACCGGCGGCTCTGTACTTGACCAACAACTTTCTCAAGACACGCAATCTTCTCATCCAAATGACCTGAGCGGACATACGGGCGTCTCTGGTACCCTTTCTCTTACCGAAACCGGTGTGGCGACCAGCACGCTTGGACTCAGCCAAAGCTCTGGCGTGAGATCTAGAGTGGACGGTAACTGGCTTCTTGACGATGGTACCGTTTCTGTACAATCTTCTGATGGCAGCACGGGAGTTAGCCTGGGCCAATTCAGTGGTCTCGTTAGGATCCAACCAGATCTTTCTCTTACCAACACCAACGACAGAGGCGGCGAGTCTTTTTTGAGTACGGAGATTAGCCCTATCTATGTTAGTAAGCTGGTTTTTAACTAGAAACCATTGCCATATATGAAATCCAAGAGAGAGAATAGGATAGAGTACGATTGGAAGGGGCAGAGGGCTTCCATCAAAGATCCTCCTCGGCCCATTGGAGGATCCTGTAGGTTGAAGGTTCGAGTACAGTCAAGCTGTTCCATCTTCCATGTCCTGTTGAGTCGGGTTGTCGATCAGTCGCTCTCGCTGTGCTACTTCGATGGGTGATGGAATTTTCTTCCGGGCAGTCTTGGTATCGTTTCTCCTATTCTCTTCATCGTGGATTTCAATAATGTAATGTCGTGGGTGTGGTGGTTACATACATTTTGAATTTGTTAGTATACCTATCAATTTAACAGAAACCTAGAGAGAGCTTCTCTTTTTTACTAACTTTTTTTTGTTTTAACGACATTCACCTCTCGCAAGCACCGTACCAAAAGGGCAGGATGCCTCGCCCGCCCTACAGTGAGAATCTTTGTCAGAATCTTCGCCCTCCACAGTGCGGTATGGCACACTACCCTTTGCTCCCCTAACAAAGTTAGTACTATGTCCTGCCTATACTAACCTACTGGGCTGGTCGAGCCAGGGCTCCTAGGCGCTGTCGGTGGAAAAAGAGAAAATTTTTCGTATCGCTGTGACTGTTTATCCCTCGCCCGCGAAAATTAGAGTGAAATCTTCCCAACAGTAAGGCGAAAGGGGAAGTCGAGAAAAATGAAAAGCAAATAACTTACATACGTAGGCATCACGTGGTATATCTAGCCCTACTGATATTCACGTGATTATTTCACGTGAATTTCACACGTGACAGAGCTTATATATTTTGACGTCTCTATGGAGTCGGTAATGGGTTGACGTTAGAGAAACTAGGTAGACCAGGTATCCATGTTGTATTAGTTTGTATTTATTGTGGGTTATAGAGAACTACCAGCTTGGACGAGACACCTTCATTCTGCAGTTCGTAGCTGAAGGAATTTTGCTCCCCGTTATTACCCCCCTTCCCACTGAAAGAAATACAAGCGAGAAGAGCATACGACCACTTAATATGGGCCCCTGTGTGGTTATATCTATCTCGAGTCCGTCATCTGTAGCATATTTGAATGAAAGATGCTAGAGTAGTCGATAGCCGGGAAAAATTGACGGTAACCTTTCATACATCTGAGTTACGCAGATGTAGAACTCCAAGAAATGGTTTGCTCCATCCGATGTACATAGCATGGTAATATACAAGGCCTATACCAGCTGTGGAGATAAAACAGTGCACGTTTCTAGCGTAGATGGTTGAATTTCTACCTTGTTGATATTGCGTTAAATGGCTTCTCCACGTTTAGCTGAATGCCCTGATATGGTTTTAGCCCTTAAGGCTCCAACGACCTGCGGCAATATGCAAGTATGTGCGGCTTTTTATTTTTTTCCGCATCAAAGTTTCTTTTTGTATGAAAGATTTTTTTTCCCAATTTTTTCCCCTAGTGAGGGTCGCAGTCAGATAACAGATCCGTATAACAGAGATATAATTAAGCATACACGTTTTAGGCCAGTTTTCCTTACAACCATCACCAACACCTTGCATCCGAAATGGCCAAGTCTTTGAGATCCAAATCCAAGTTGAGAGCGAAGTCTGTCAAGAGAAAGGGCGAATTCCAAGCCGCTGTCGATGACAGACAGAAGAGAATTGTTGCCAGATGTGAAGCCGACTTGAAGAAGCAAAACGAAGAAACTGAAAAGAAAAAGGACGAAGACAAGGACGAAGACAATGTTAAAGATGTCATGGCTGTTGACGAGACCCCAAAGAGCGACAAGCCTGTCTCCACCTCCGGTTGGAGAAAGACCAGACACACTGCGTACAAGCAGAGAAACAACACCAAGAGTAAGAAACACATGAAGTTTGGTAAGGTTAACTACTAAACAGCTCGGATTTCGTTGTTTCCTCTTTCTCTCGATTGGGTATACCCCAACTGCTTGACGTTAATGGCGCACCGGTTGAAGTTAAGTGCCAAAGCGATGCCTTTGCCCCCGCCTGTTATCGTCTTTCTGTACATTATGATATCAGCTCATGCATTTATGTCTGCTGTGACATCGCATTGCGTTTTCCACTGCTCTCATATATCTCTATACTTTCCTGTTGGCCTCTAGTTTTTCTTTGTTATTTCATCTCCATGGGTATTTTTTTTTTATTCTATTCTTCTTTGGTCAAGGCAGTTTTTTCTTCTCCCTTACATTCTCGTTATCTGTGACATTTAAAAAATATTTGCATCATATCTTAGCTGAATTGGTAATTGTATACGGTAATAGGTTTTATAAAACCTAAAGACTTCTGCGCGAAACGCTAAAAGTTTACGTCCAAATTGCTGTCTAGTAGTGGTTCTTGTGATGGATTTATGGTATGAGAAGAATAAGGAAAAGTGATATAGACTTGTACCTTATTTTACTTCTTTGTGTTAGGAATCGCTCAACATTGTACAGGAGTTCGATCAGTCTAGACTCACGGTATGTACTTCCAACTTGGATTCTTCGTACAATACTTGTAAATCAGGGTGAATCAGTTTATTTTACGCAAGGCCTGCAAACTTGAATAAAAAAACATAAACGAGACTCAGGTATACTCGATTCATATATACTGATAAGATTATATGGCAAATACCTGTATCTTGTGAAACATGGTCAAACGGATCAAGTACTGCTAATACTAGCTTATCAAATTCTTAGGTCAGAAAGCCAACGAAGTAATTACTTTTCTTGCTATGTTACTTCATGAAGATTGACTGAAGTCAAAATATATTTGTAAAACTGTCGTAAATTACTTCTCTAGACCAGGAAAATTGGAATGATGCAACTCACATTTCAAACTCCTGGTTAAAATGCGGGGTTGTACTGGAATGAGGAATGTTTTGGAAAATGTAAGCAGGGTTGTTGTATACGATGGGGCCACCATTGAAATGAACGTGGGTAGAGTTGTTAAATGGGTATCCCATGTTATTCTCAAGTCCTAGCCCTATAGATTCGCACTTTGGATACGGTCTGACAAAATGCAGTTTGTCTTGGTGTTGGAGTTGTTCGGATGAGATATACCTCTTATTTGCTTCGCTTTGTAACGGATTCAAAAATTGAGACTGAGAGATACTCCTTCTATGGGTATGCAGAGAGTGGCTTTGGGGGACCTGGCGATAGATACTGTGCGTGTTGTGTGTGCACGACAAGTCCAGAAAATCGGTCAAGGGTCTAGTGAGCTTCCTTATAGAAGAATCACCAGGTAGAACAATCTTTCTACTCAAAGTTTCGGAGTCGGCAGCTCTGGAACATCTCATAAATTCCCACAACATGACAGACCTAATGTTATCCGCGGTTATCGTGCTAGACCGCTCCGTTCTCTCGGTGTCTACGTTGGTGCGGTTTGTGCCAATATTTTGAGAAAGTCCTGAGACCAGACCAAACGAGGAAGACTCTTCAAGCTTAACAGCGGCAGTGGTAGCACTAGTTCTCTGTTCGTGGATTTTTGGTGTTGGGTTGTCTGAGTATATGACCTGTTGGATTGTTATACCCTTAATTGCACAAGTCTTTTTCGAATCATCTTTTTGGCTATCTGGTCCGTTAACTGCATCTAAGAATGATCTCCAGAACTTTTTAGCGAGATACGTTTCAAATTTTGCCAATTTTGAAGTCCCTGACGGGCTCGGTGTGCAATCAAAGGGACTCAATGTCTCGTTGAATCGGCTCACTTCAACTCCATACGAATAGATTATTGTCAAGGAAGACCAACTAATGTCGCTTGATGGAAGATCGTGTAAAGTGAACTTTAGCCGGGAATCGTACTCACCCTGATCGGTATTGGGATTGAAGCTGTCGATAGGTACGTGTAAGTGGACCATATTGTGAATAACTGGGGTCTTGTCTTCATCTATGAGGCAGGAAATCTCAGATAGTTTTGGGAAGCGGTGTTCAAAGCTAGCACCATATTTAATCTTCAATGTTGGATTTACCGGGTAGGAATTCAACTTTGATAAGACATGAGAGCTGGACGGTGAGATGAAGGTTATTTTGAAAAAGGTCACATCCAAGGAAATGGACTCCATTTGTACGGGGTGGTTTAATATCGGTTCCAGTTTGGTGGTGGGGGACTTTCTCCGTAAGTTTTGGTTGTGGAAAACAGTTTGGCCTAAGGATTTTTGGAAGTTGATGGTGGAGAAGATCTCTTCAAATTTTTCGTTATTTTTTGCCAAATCTTGTGGTCTGGGTCCCTTTTCGATCAACTCGATGATTTCGGTATCTTTGTCCATGTTCTTGATCACCTGGATATGGGAAGACACTTGCTTCCGGGTCCTCAACTTTCCAGTTTTCAAAACAATGTAGTCGGAAATCAATTCATTTCTACCACATGACTTCCCCCCGGATACCTTGATCTTGTTTAATCCATTCTTAGGAATAATCTCCAACGCTTCCTCGAAAGCCTTCTCCACCTCACTACCCCAGACCTCCTCTTCCTCTTCTTCGGCAGCATCCTTTTCAAACTTCTCGGTGTTTCTTTTAGGTTTATTTCTGAGTCCTTTTGTCCCAGTAGGAGAATCGTCCATGTCTGGCGCATTTCCGCCCGCCTGCTCTGTCTCGTTGAATTCCTGCGACGTGGGTCTAGAGTGGAAGTAACGATTTCTGGATGAAGTGGTTGGAGAGATGGCTCCCAAGACATGACGAGTGGGCGTCTTTGTATAACCATGTAAACCTAATGCATCGTAATCGAAAATAGGTATCAGATCTCTGGAATAGCTACCAATGATGGGCATCGACTTGCGAACTCGCTTATTGGTGTTGTGAACTTGGTACACCTGTTTCCCGTTACTATCAATTGCGATATCGACAATCACCGGTAAACGCCTCTTAGACGTCGGTGGGTGTATGTCCAACAAAGGGGGTGACGTTGTCTCCACGGATGTATACACCGTAGTAGAGGTTTTTGTAGACATACTTTCTGGACAAGAAATTATGGGGAGGTAAGCGAAGCAGTGTGACGGATCACAGATATAGGGTACAGAAGAGTGGTATCCCTACGGCTATACCCGATGATAAAAAAATGATGGAATATGTTCTAATTTATGTGAAAATGATCAAATAGAGTGCATTGTGTTACAATACGCGTCAAGAAACAGAGCAAACACGTACAGATCTGGAGAACTCACACAAAGTCTATCCTTCTAAGTATTTACGTAAGCGCTTTATCTCTGAAATAGAAACGTACAGTGCGTGGCATATACATGTGTAGCGCAACCTTGGTTATTGTTTAAACCATAGAAATGCCAGGCACTCGATACCTCTAAGCCCAGGCGTGGCTAAACTATAGGCCTTGCTCGCTTCTTGCATATGGGCGTCTTCTAGAAAGGGTATGCAGTCAGTCATTCCCTGCAGCCAGCACCCGTCTACATACAAAAGATTCTCGGTTCACGAGTCGGGTTATAGTGTCAGTGACCGCACTTCGGTACCACGGGAAAGGGAGTTAGACCTAAAAGAAGTGACACTCAGAGTTGAATTTTTCGGAATAAAAAGTATTCCCCGGTGGATGATTGAGAGTACGTCTCAGTTCTTGTTGGGCGGATGGTAGGCTGCTCGAGAGCTCTCACAGACGATTAAAACTCTTCTTAGTAACCGTCGTTTTAATTTATTTATTTATTTGGTATTGGATAGTTGGTTGCGATATAATTCGAAGATCGGGTCAATGCAGCGTGCATCGCGATGCATGCATGTGTCGTAAATTTTAACGCTAGTAACTTAGTATAATAAATAGGCATCCTCTGAATCAGAACGCTTAGAGAGAGTTTGGATCGGAAGCCTAGAACTCGGTTTATAACTCCTGTTTCATGATCGTCGCAGATGCATTACGTCTCCGCCTCAGAACTACCATACATACTCTCCCTTCATGGCTCAGTCTACCAGTTTAAATCTGATTGTTCGTGAACGTAGTATCACTAAAATAAGAATTATTCTTTTTGCCAACGACACAAGCTTCTAACCCGAAATCTTCAATCATATTTTTGCAACGAGCTAGCCCCAACTTCTGGAAGAACTCTAGACAAGTGTTCGAGTAAGGGTCATTGAGTCATGGATTCCATGTCAGGGGCCTTGATTAGTCCACGGGCCAGAACGGTACTAGACACATGACCCATCCTACATAAAACTATTTATACATTTAATGGCAAATGGTACCTTGCAGAAAAACTGACACGATCTGGAGAATCGTTCTATTGAGGGATATACCTACTCCTATAGAGCTGAAACGCTCTCACAATAGGAGCCATCGTCTGTAGTTGGGTGGGCCCCATGCACCTTCATGCAGGTTCATATGTATGCATCACTCTAGTTCCTACTTAGTTACCTATTCCTCTAAAATTATCACTTACACGGGGTGTGATAGTATCCTACGTATAAAAACCACAGCCTGTGTCTTTTAGTACTACTCATCAAGTTTAGTAGCTACGCCACATCGGTGCGGAAACCCTGTTTAGCCACTTGCTCTATCTGTATGGCCGCTAGCATTGACTGGAAGAGAAGGTGGCTTATTTTTGTATGTGAATCATCATAGCATTTTTATATCCTTTCTCTCTCTTTTTGTTATTCTCTAGCCTTATTTTTACGTATTTAATCTGGTTTGCCTGTTGTGGTTATCATCAGGTCAAACCCCCCGTCTAATTTTCATTTTAAGTTAGAGCTCAGGAATGACGACACACATTTCACCAGGGCCGTCGTCCCAGAGCCTTGTCCGTATGACGACGAAACTGGCTAAAACATATAAACCGTATTATCTACGACGATTGTTTAAGTGTGAGGTGAGACATGATTCTAGCAGGATCGTGTGTACCATCGGGACCAACCGCTTTTAAAGCGGACCTAGGTTTTAAAAATCCTACATGGTAAAACCGATGTAGTAAGGTTGAAGCCTCTTGTTCATACATAATCACGTCTCATATTTATAGGTAATACAGTAGACAAGCTCAATACTTGAATAAATTATGATGAGCAAAGTAATTTCACCCTCATGCGATAACGGTCGGTAATATGCCTCTTGCCTGTTTAACGCTGAAATGCATGCATGCTAAACGCCCGGCTTGCCTCCCTGGCACCTGCCTCAATTTTGACGTGCTCTCATCGGCTAAAAACTAGCTGCACTGCACCAAAAATTTTAGGTGTACATACAATGTATTGAATTGTCGGTGTACTTATGTATATTCTAATCAATAAAATTAATGAAAGTTTACAGAAATATACATATATTCTGATATTTATCAGAATTAGAATATATATTCTAAGACATAAATTGTTCTTCAGTCCTAGAAAGATATATCTATATATTTTAGCTTTGCGGATATATATTTCTACATATTTCCATATATTTCAGTCAAATGTATTTCATTTAGCTTTTCCTAGTTAATTAATTTTTAGAGAAAATATTTTTTCCTTACATCTACGCATATGTAAATACACATCTTCATAATGTAGCCAATGTATATTAAATATATATAAATAAACCCTAGATTTATCCAGTTCTGTTATTGTATAAGACCGCACTTATTAATGATTTATACAGTACAAATATAGAATCCGTCATCAAGAATATGGTTAACACGCGCGCTTTGACGCCAAGGGTTTCGCACTGACACTTTCGGTAGAGGTTTCAGCGATGTATGCGCAGTATCGCCTGAAGCCGCACGTTTCGATGCATTCTGTGTACCCATAATGCATCTCCCTTTCATATTGGCGGCGGGAAATTCATATTTGAATCAATACACATATCGGATATATCAGCTTTTATTCTTATAGGAAGTGGATCATGGCGGAAATTCAAACTGATAGCACCGAAACAAGATACACTTCTGAGTATTTGTCGAGACGTGAGCGCATCTGCGTTCTTCCAAGTATTATATTTTGATCGTTTCGCATCTTTCACGCGTGACCGAATAGAGACTGAAACCAATACCGAAAAACGAAATTGGGTGAATATTTAAGCTCATACGCGAATGATACACATGTATGATTAAACTGTGTAGCGTAGGCCTCTCACAGATAATATTTTATATTGTCCAGCACATCTAGCACAGCTCTGTAAGAACAATGGAAATTTAAGTAACAAATCTATCGCATCTGTCTTTCTTTACTTCATTTTATATTATGGCAATACAAAACATAATATACACATGCAAGTTTGTCTTCACAACGCTCATCGTCCTCAACTCGGACTCATCTCGTCTGGTTTAGCTGAAATCCTCATCCTCAGAGTCCAAGTATTGGGCATAATCATCAGCAGACACAAAGGTAGGAAGAACCACCTTTTTCTTCTTCTTCTTCTCCCCATCGTCGTCTTCTCTAGAACGCTTGCCCGATGCCTCATCCTCAGATGCTTCGTCTGAGAGCACATTGAGGTCGAACTCGTCGCTATCCACCTCATCGTCAGAGTCACCCTTGAACATGGCCGCTTCTTCGTTATCTGATTCAGCATCTTCAGCACTTTCAGCCCCAACTTCCACTTCCTCATCACTGCCAGAGAAGTCTGCAGCATCAAGGTCATCGGAAAAGTCGTCAAATCCATCGTCGTCACCTTCCTCCTGCTCAACATCCGGATGGGATTTGACCAAGGCTTTCCAGACCTGGTCTTCGTCCAAATCTTCCTCGTCCTCGTCATCGGACTCCTTGGCAACCTTCTTCTTGACCATCTTCTCTTGCTTTGATGTAAAGTACTGGTGGAAGAACTGTTCGTCCGGTCTGACGTCCGCCACCTTCTTGCTCAACCAGTCCTCGGTGTTTGCCGGGACGCTGACGTGGGCCATGTTGGACGACTTGACCAACAAGGAGCCAGTCTGGGTACCACCTAAAGGCTGCATGATGGACGAACCTCTGGTGGACTGCTTTGCCTTGGCATTTCTGTAAACGAACCTGTCCAAAAAGTGAGTCAATGTGAAGAGTCCCAAGTCCGGCTTCGCTTGCTCGGTCTTGTCGAGGATGGACTGCGCGTACAAGGCGACAGACGGATGGTAATGGTTCAAAAACTCAGTGATTTCCCACAACGCAGACTTGCCCGCGTTGGCAAACTTTGGGTCACGTTTGCGTCCGTCATACTCTTCGACCTTAGCCTCAATATTTTCCTTAGTTTGCTCTTCATCCTCCGACTCATCACCCTTGTCAACAATAACCTCGTCAAAATTTGCGTTGATGATCAAGTTTCTAATCTCCGGAACGGTGCTCTCCAACTGCATTAATAAGTACAACATCCCGGTGATTGGCCCAATGTTCAACCAGTGCGAACACACCTGTAAGATACGCTTGACAAAGGCCAAAACTCTGTTCTTATCAGTATCCTGACGCAAAGACTTGAACAAGAGGTTGAGGAAGATCCCCTGTTTGGAAGAATTGACCAATCTGGAATCCAAAAGAGACTCGTAGAGAGTGCGGTAGTATCTGTCTACCATGATCTTCTCGGAAGCGGTGATCTGGTGGATCAACACCAACGCCTGTACGGAGGTATTGTAGTTGGTGGAGTGGGTGATTTTATAGAGGGTCTCCAAGTGTCTCTGGAAGACGTCAGTAGAGAGGTCGGAGAAGGGAAAGGCACGATTCAAACCAGTGAGAATAGCGGAGTACAACTTTGAGTTTTTTTCTTCCACCACCTCCGCCTCGGTCTTGTCGTGCTTGATGGACTTCCCACCCTTCTTACCTTTCTTGAATCTCTTTTTCTTGTCATTTCTACCCTTCGCAGCCGCCGCCTTCTTGCTTCCCTCCTTGTTATCGTCATCAGTTTCGATCAAAACCTTTTCGAATAATGAGAAGTACGTCTTGGTCAAGCTGTTGGCCAATTCTACCTCGCGTCTTGTTAAAATCGTCTGGTTCAACGCCAAGATCGCGTAGTATCTAGCGTGATAATCACTCCCGCTCTTGAAAACGATATCCACAACGGCGTCCGTCACAATCTTCTTCATCGCTGGATGGGTCTGTTCCAATTGCAAGATCTGGAAAGCGGTCTTGGCCCCGACTTTGTTGTCAATATCACCCAACTTGTTAACCCCTAAGCGCAACAAGTTCGCCTCCTGTTCTGGCTTCGATCTCAATAAGTCGAAGATGTGATTCACAACGTTCATTCTTACGTGTACAATCGGGTCATGCGACAAAACTTCCAATACGGAGATCAACTTGAAGTACGCCTTCTTGAGGTGGTCTTCGAAGTAGAAGAGCGCGAGTTGCTGCGGAGTAAGCACGTTGCTGATTGGTTGGTTCTTGAAGTAGCGCAACTTGCGGTTAGGCAAGATCCCGTTTACTAACAAATCCTTCAACGCGTTGATACCCTGCAAGGCAGCGGTACGTGATTTCTTCTCGCAGAAGCCCACAAGCGTATCCAACGCCTTGACGTTGTGCAATGGTGCCTCCTGGATGAGCAAGGTGAGAGCGGAGATTTTATCGTTCAACGTACCATCTGAGAGAATTTGCGACAAGAATCGCTTCTGTGCATTAGACTTGGAGAATTCCTCGGCGTAGGTCTTGTTATCAGCATCCACAACTTCTTTTGCCTTCAGATGCAAGCGTTCAATCAATGTCGGCGAGAGGGTCTCGACTGGAATATTGGCTGCGTCATTTGGAATGTTGTACCAGTCGGTACGTGCCTGGATGACTAAGTTGTCAGTAACAACGTTGGCGACATTGGTGATCTTGGCGCTCTTGGCTTTCTTCAAAGACCTGGTATCGAGTTCCTGCTGAACTACCCGGGTTTCTTCCTCTTCAGATTCTTCTTCTTCAATTTCTTCCTCTTCTTCCTCTTCTTCCTCTTCTTCTTCCTCCTCGCTTTCGCTCTGCGCAATAAGCTCTTCAATCTCGTCCATGAGCTCTTCTTCAGAAATTTCTTCGTCGTCAATGACAACTGGACCGTTCACACCCAAGCCAATAGTCTTCATGAAGTTGCTCAAATCATCACCGAAAGACTTGTCAAGCTTATGCGAAGGTGCGTCGAACTCCTGCTCGCTTTCTTCGCCAGCAGTAACATCCTCAAGCATCTTCAAGTCCTCTTCGGTGGCGCCAAGAGCTAATGCTTCGCGGCGAATGACGTCCTCTTCGGACTCTGGAACTTCTTGCTTGGTAATGTTTTCCCTAGGGGCCTTTTCTTTCTTGAAGGGGGTATTTGCTGCGGCCTTGGATGGGACCTTGGCTGAAGCCTTCTTGGTATCCTTTGGGACGTTCTTCGCCTTCTTTTCGGGCTTAGTGTTGGATTTACCCAATTTACTGGAGATTTTATCCCTCAATGATGAGAGATTCAAGGTAGTGGCATCCATTTTGGTTGGCTGTGGAAACCAAGGAAGTAAAGACTGGCAATTTTTATTTTTCATGTAGTGAAAAAAAATTTCCGGCGGGTAACCTCATCTCCGTGCGGCGTGAGCGTTGACGGAGCACGGGTTGAGGGAGCTTAGATGAGGAATAAATAGCTGGGGTAGCGAAAATCGGTGGACAAAATGCCGTCAAGTTAAAGTTTATACGATCAAATAAAAACAATTTCGAATGCTTGAATGGGGAATTAGATTTATGTTGGTAAATATTACGCAGGATATGATTGATTTTTAAGACCCAGACCGAATCATTCTTCGAGTTGGCTATGTGCGTGGGATGCCCTAAAAACCCATTATGGTTAAAATGGAGTTATCGTATATATAAAATTACCTGGGCGACGAATAGTATATTTAAATGAAGTCTGGATGATGAATAAACTGGGAGGGAATTCGATTCCGCTGTTTTGAGAATGTTCCGGTTGGTCTAACTTTGCGACATGTATTCATGCTGAACCAGTGGGATGGACGCAGCACCAAGCCATGAGAGCTTGGGGTCTCCCCTCCTTTAGCACCTGTCTGTCAGAATATACCGGGGAAACCTCACTGAGAAATCCCCAGGCCGTATACAAGGAATTATAAGTAATAATGATATATAAACCAGATAAAAAACTGATACGAGTGAACCGTGCTCTTTAATTAGCTAATCCAGGGCTTCATTATCTCGCCATATGCCTTGACGGTCAATACCCCTCACTCCTTCAAAACTGTATCTCTCCTATATATCCCCACCAAATGAAGAATCGATATCCAAAGATATCCCAAATTTCCCCACTGATTAAACGACATACGTATACCTTGCAATAATAATTGTTCAACGCAGTCCGTGTGCCTCCACCAGAGCGCGGAAAAAAAAACCTGAGCTCACGTGGAGGACAATTGGCGTGAGATTATGACATGACACGGGCACTAGTTACGAATCAGACGTCAACCATTAACTACTAGAATTGACAGCGTCTATCAGCTATTCACAAAATATAACCAGGTTAACCCAGAACAACCAAGTTACGTATAACGGAACCTGAGCCACCTATACGAAACCGGTGACTGAAATTCAAGTGAAGACTGAACTTTGAACCCACAGTCAATTCATCCTGAAGCTTTGACTAACTCTATCCCAAACTGTGGGTAATTTTTATTCATACGACCAATTCAATTTGACACTATCATAGAATTCACAGATGAACTCCGTCAGCCCCAAGGACCAAACTCCCATTGAAACTACGGGCCAGCATACTTCCACGGACGGTCCAGAAGACCTCTCGGAGCTTGACATTGCGGACAACTTGGTCGATGACGTGCATTTCGACTACGCGAAGAAGCCCAAAAAGAAAAAGAAAAAGAAGAAAGAGCACAACTACGGCACCGCGCACGTGGACATCCACAACCCATCAGAAGAGTACCCCGAGGAGCGCGTGATCTACGCAGACAAGTCCGGGAGTGTGGTGGTGGAGCACATGAAGAAGCCGCGTGCGCGCACGTTACCGACACCCGCAAAGAAGCAAGCGCTTGACCAGAATGCGGTGCGGCAGTTCTGGTTTGCGCTCGCGCCGTCGCAGAAGCGTGTGATTCTTCGGGTCGAGAAGGGCACCATCCTCCAGAGCATGCGTGCAGCTGAGAAGTATAACTGCAACTGTGCCGCATGTGGACGCAAGCGTGACGTGGTGGAGACCGAGTTGGAACGCATCTTCAACTTGTACTACCCGGCTTTCGCGGTGTCAGATGCGCACTTGGAGACGTTTTTTCCGTTTGAAACGTCGCTCACGCCACCCGATATGAGCGATGCCGCGTGCACAGACGTACGCCCCCAGACGCTCTACGACACACCCCTCTCGCCCAGCAACGACGGCATTATGACTGTTGCCGACGACTTGCTCAAGAATAACGGTGAGAAGTTTATCGGCATGATGGAGCGCCTCGCGGAGACACGCATGGCGCGCGATGCGGACCCCGTGGCGAGCGACGAAGAGTATGAGGAGTACGACGACGACTACTGCGATGAATACGAAGAAGACGAGTACGATGAGCGCGAGCGTATCGAGCAGGGCCTCCGGATGATCCAGTTGTACACCGACCGCATGATCTATAAGCGCATCGTTGAGGCTTACCGCAATCACCAGGCAGACCTCGAGGCAAACGCATTGATCGACGACCTCGCGCGCGAGGAGAAGCGCCGCGAGGAGGCCAAGGAAAAGAAGAAAAAAAAAGAGGAGGAAAAGAAGGTTAAGCGCAAGGCCGAGCGCGAGGCGAAGGAGCAGGAGCGTGCGCGCAAGGAGCAGGAGATTGCCGAGAAAGCGCGCGCGAAGGAAGAGGAGGGGCGCCGCAAGACGGAGGAGGCGCGCCAGCGGCGCGAAGAAGCCAAGCGCGCCAAGGCCGAGGAGGACCGGCTACGCATCGAGAAGCGATTGGACGAGGTCCGGCGTAAGGAGGAGGTCCGGTTGCAGGAGGAGGCACGGAAGCGTGAAGAGCAGTGGGCCGCAGAGACAGAGGCGAAGGCAGCTGCAGCGGTAGAGGCAGAGACCAGGCGAGTGGCAGAGGTGGAGGCCAGGCGAGTGGTAGAGGTGGAGGCCAGGCGAGTGGCAGAGGTGGAGTCTAGGCGAGCAATCGAAGCGCAGAGTGCTCGTGATGAGGAACTCCGAATCAAGGAAACCGTCCGCGAGGGTCTCGGTAGAGCTGATCCGTTTCAGGACATTTCTGCCTTTTCCGAGCAATTACCAGGTAACTGGCAACAGCTGCAACAGCCGCAACAGTTTGCCGGCAATTCATTGTGGAGCAGTGCCCCGGGAACTCAACCTAGTCCGTTCCCAAATACTAGTTACGCCAGTAACTCAAGTTTTACTCAGAATACGGGAACCTCTGGCTTCACACAGAGTGCAGGCTACACGACCGCTGCGTACCCCCAGGGCTCAACTTCTTTCTCCACTCTTCCTTTCCCCGGTTACAACTATGCCTCCGGATCCGAGCTTAGCTCCTTTTCCGCGTACGACTTGCCCAACCATAGCGCGGGATCCGAAAACGTGTCCAGCAAGCTCGGCTCGTTGTCGCTTGGAGCTAGACAACGTAGCTCTGTAGCGTCACTGGGTATCTTTGAGTTGAACTCGCTGATGGCCGCCAGCGGGAACTTGTACAACAGCAATATCTGGGGCCTGTCGTTTGCACAGCCGCCTACCCTTGCCCAATCATCCACGCTCTCCCAACTGCAAGCGTTCGCGCAAACGCCAGCGTTTTCGCAGCCGCAGACTTTCACACAACCGCCGGAAAGGTTCTACCGCGAGGAAGACTTTGCCCAGGCGGTGCGCTTGGAGGCTACTCAGGCGTTTTCTGCGTTTGGCTCGGGTGCCGTCAAGGCCACCGCGCTTTACAACGCTGTGACAGCTACACAAAACCCTCGTGTCCACGGGTTGGACTTGAACAGCTTCATAAAGATCATGATGGGCAGTGATGGCTTTGATATCAACTACGACGCGGAGGGCTGTGGGGTTGTCACCTTGGCCGGAAATTGGTCGGCACAGTCCACCGGTGTGCCTACAAATGCGATGTACGAAAGGGGGTATAACGGCACATGGTAAAGTGTAACCAGGGCCTAGACTTGTGCTACTGTGTAAGTTATCATTACAGATAATGTAATACGTAAATCTTATAAATGTGTAACATTGATACTTGTGGCGTGGTTCGCCGGAATCTCCACCTTGGGAGAACAAGGCTTTCAACCCGTTCGTAGATGTCACTTTACGTTACTCTTTGAGCCAACCTGTTTATAATTTGATAGGAATATTAATGTACCAGCCCATCCGTATACGTTCGAAGGAATCTCATGTGACGTCACTTTGGTATATTCAATTATCCACCTAGTGATACAATTAAAATATCCGAATTCCAAAGGAAAGTTCTACACATACGATAGCTCATGTTTTATTAATATTGCATGGTATGAATGATAAAATGCCATTAATATCGGCGTGTTTCCTTGAAAATGCTCGTTCAAAGGTTCAGGGGCTAGCTATAGTGGTTAATTTGTAGTGAGATTAGACTTAACTTGGGTTCTAACAGAACTAATGGATGGAAAGAATCAAACACAACTCCATAAGCACTATCTATAGACGTTCTCCAGGTGCTTTCGTGCTAAGCCTGTTTCACCATATTTTTCAGGTTGTGGAACGTGTACGACACGCGGGGTGGTAATTAAGATTTGATTTTTGAAAATCCCGTCTCGGAGTAACAATCTACTTAACCCACTTGCCGAGGTTATGAAGGTTCAAAGGTAAAGTCAGAATTCAAAGCTAATAATCCCTGTACGCGTTTAGTAGAAGCAAAAACATCGCCCAGATCCCGGATGAAATCGATGTACTTAGGTTGGTATTTATTCCAAAATTAAGCACTGCTTGATCCATTATGAGAGGGACTGCAACAATTTTATATCCAGCTCGTTACTTTTCGGATTTTGGTATATGGTAATGCGTAAATCGTAACCAGACTTAGTATTATTCATGCGGTAACCGGTGTGCAACGTTCAGCCTTAACCTTATACATTCCGAAAAACAGCCAATGTTTTGCTAGAATATATGTGCCCATCTGAGAGATATGAGACATGTTATACGCGCCCAACCTTTCTCTGGTCTATCCATCATGGTTTTAACAGTCCAACTACGACTTCTAAAGGTATGAACCTGTCATCAGATTTTCCTACCCCTGTATGCACCTTCCCGATTGGGTACATATGTGTGCCAGGGCTCCTGGCGCTTACCCGGCTCGCGTTCTGAAAAGGCCACTGCGACCGTCCACCGAAATTCCACTCAACTCCAAAATTCGCGTGGCGGTATATTTAGACGCTGCCTGCCACTTCACCGTAAAGCACTTTTCTACTTTCTCCCTTAACCCCCTTAACACTCAAACTTGCACACACACAAAAATGGCCTCCACCTTAGACAGATCCTTGGACGAAATTATCTCCTCCTCCAAGCCAAAGAGAGACACCAGAGCCGCCAAGAAGCCAGCTAACAAAGTTGCTAAGGTTGCCAAGGCCACCCCAACCAACAACAAAAAGCCTGCTGCTAAGAAGGCCAACGCCAGAGCCCAGAACACCAGAGCCCCTGCCGTTATAGAACCAACCGCTTACGCCAACAAGGTGGTCGTCCACGGGTTGCCAAAGGACATCAAGAATGACGCTGTCAAGGTATGTTTTTCATAGAGCGCCAGCGCGAACGAAATGAAAACGCAAGTAGCCCAGTACTTGCCCGTATATATGTTTGAAAGCACCAGCCGGCTGTTCTCAGGGAAAGTGATTGCAGTGCCTTCCTGTCATTTCCAGAACGCATTTTATTACGAGTTTCAGGATATGTGCCTCAAATCTCGTACCGTGTCTTTGCGAGCCCAAACCGTGTCTTCCCATGCCTATGTATCTTCACGAGCTATCAAGATGAATTTATCTTTGGCGTGTGAATACCCAGGTTCCTGCTATTGAATGTGTGGAGCGAGACTTGTTTGCCATAATTGCTGGTCGATTCTGGCAACGAGACGGGTAGCGAGTCTAGAGAAGAAGAGGAGTACGAAACGAATGCGCCCCAAGGGCCGTGTCCTACGTGAATAGCTGAGCCTCGCATAACACTAAGGGGGTTATTGTGCTCGAAAAGCTTTGGGTGGCCGACAGTCACGATAACTCGTGGCGGCTACCTGTGCGTACAATTGGGGTTTCAGAGCTTTTGCTCTTGAATTCTGAGACAGGACATTGATTAACAGAGCTCTTCATTGACTACTCTGATATCTAATATTCGTTGGAGGGATCGTTCTTCTGCTGCTTCTTCTGGCTTAGACTATACCCATTTCTACTCTTGATACAGCTCTTAGCAGGCATGGAACTAGTAAGACAGGCCAGGATTCATGAATGCTTGCCAAGGCATACTGAGAAGAAAGCCGCTGAAAACACTGTGCTGACATGTGTCAGGAAGGAAGTTGCAGTAATGGAACGAAGACGCCCTGAGACGCTGCGATAACAACTCGTTCTTGTATAAATGCTGCCTGCGTGGTTTTTTTTCCATCGGATAACAAACTAACAAAATTTAGGATTTCTTTGCCTCCCAGGTCGGTGGCGTTGTGAGCGTTTCTTTGTCTTACAACGAAAAAGGTCAGTCCAAGGGGATTGCCACCATCATCTTCAAGAAGCCAGAAATGGCTGCCAAGGCCTTTGAAAAGTACAACGGTGCCCCAATTGACGGTGGTTCCACCAAGTTGAAATTGGAGATGGTTGTTGACCCAAACAGAAAGCCATTGATTGCTAGAATCCAGCCAAATCAGATTGCCAAGACTGTCGCTGCCGCTAAGAAGCAGCAAAATGGTAGAAACACCAACAACAACGCCAAGAAGGCGCAAACTAAGCAAGCTCCAGCCAAGAAGGCGCAAGCTGCCTCCAAGAAGGCTCCGAAGAGAGGCAAGAAGACTGTTGAAGAATTAGACCAAGAAATGGCTGATTACTTTGAGACCAAGTAAGGGGCATGTCGTCTCTTCACGGCAACGGTTTGTTATCGGCCATAGCTTCCCACTTGTAGTTTTTTGGTATTATCTTCCGATTCTCTTTTTGTATTTTAATTATCTTTTCAATTCCTATCAAAAAATTACACTATTAAAATCTTCGTGGCCAGCCAGACACTAACGCCATAGACATGGAGGAAGGTAATTTAAGGAAGTTACATCTACTCCTGAAAGGACCTATGTTATAGACGAGAGCCTTGAAGACCGCCCGGAAACCGCAGGGTAGAATACAGATATCTTAATTGGGAAATCGTGTTTTTAGCAAAAATACACTGGTATAAATATAAATACAAACCACCATAGAGGTATGAGAGAGGTGGGAATAGAGACGGATGAGGTTGTAAAGTCGAGAGTTACACAACAAAACCCACATGCATCCATATTTTTATCAAACGCATTGCCCCAAGATAGACGAATCAAAGAAACACGGGGTGTATGGAGAAGAGAAAGCAGCACGAACCAAAAAAAGGGGAGCAGAAAAACCATGGTATCAACAAATTCTTCGTGGGTTAGAAAGTAGTCCACCTAGAAGTGGGGGGGGGGAGAAAGATATATAAAGGGAGTTGTAAAAAGGGTATGAGTGGATGATAAAAGCCTTCTAGAGGGAGGAGAAGACAAATTGGGCCTTACCAGAGGTAACACCGACGGTACAACCGTCAGTACCGTCGCCGTTAAACTTACCATTGGCGTAGACACATTGTCCGGTGACAGTGGAAGAGTCGTCGAGGGCGATGATTTCAACCTGGAAGTTGGCAGGTTCAACGTTGTTTGGGTTCATGATCAAGGATAAGTAAGCGATACCGTTGTCAGAACCGGCACCCATAACCAATGGGGCCCAGTTACCAATAGTAGTGCCATAATCACCCCAGACACAGCCATCCTCCCAAGAGATACCGGCGTTGTTAACGTAGTACTGGGCAGAGGTCTTACCACCTCTCCAGGTATAGTAGGTTTCTTGGTTGACGGTGGTCAATGGCAACTTAGAGCCGCCTTCAACGTTGGTTGGGATAACCATGTTCTCGGTACCTGGGTAGTCGGTTCTGCAAATAGCGACGTTAGAAGACATCTTGTTAACGGCATAAGCAACGTCAACACCCCATTCACACAAGTAGTCGGAGTCCAGGTTGGTCTTGTACAAGAGACCGTTCTTACACAACAAACCACCAACTGAGACACCATTGCCTGGTTGGTTGCTTGGCCATTGAGTCTTGGACATACCAGGCTGGCAGGCATAAGAACAATAAGAACCTTCCTTACAGGAACCGCCAGTGGAGGTGTCGGTGTTGTAAATACCAGAGTAACCGCCGAAACCCAAGTGGTCCAAAGCAATCACACCCTGACCGGATGGGAAAGAGGAACAAGAGTAAACACCATCTTCGAAGGCAACGGATGGGTTTTCGTACCAGGACAAGTCACCGGAGATACCGTTGGAGCTAGAACCGGCAGAAGAAGACTGGGCAGCAGCGGTGGATTGCGCAGCAGCGGTGGATTGCGCAACAGCGGTGGATTGCGTAGCAGGGGTGACTGGACTGGAGGAGGCAACAACAGCTTGCACAGCCGAAGAGGAGGATGTCACAACAGCACCCTTGTTGAGTATGGTGGTAGTAGAAGCGGCGCTTGGAGTAGCGATGGAGGTCTGCACAGTCTGAGCTGAGGTGACAGTATGTCCAGCAGCATCGACAGTGACAGTGACGTAGACGTAGTCATACGCAATGGCTCTCTTCGCGTGCTTGTGGCCGTGGTAGACATTCTTGGCCATAGGAATGGCCTCAGTGACGTAAGAGGCGCCGGCGATAAAAGCTAAAACAGTGGCTTGGGAGAACTTCATTATCTATAGCAATTGTTAGTCAGGGTTCCCAGAAAGATTGATTCCGACAACCAGTTATTCCAATATTGACAGAACGAGGCAAATACGCGAGTCCAAGAAAACTCGGCGGAGTGGTACCAGTGTTGTTGTTATGAAACAGCAGACGCTATCTCCTGTATGCGAGATCCTGGTTAGCGCGGTATGCGCTCGTGTAAACAAAGGCGGTGCATGAGCCGCACAAGGGGGCATACTCCCAAGCTAAAATACTCGGCGCACGCGTTCGCCGCGAGGAAAAGGCGTGCAGAAACCCCAAAAGCTCCCAATCGGAACGACTGTGAAACTCTAGTGCATGGATCTGTAAGGATATTTTACCTTGCTTGGCGATGCCACATGACGTGGAAGTAATGGCGTTTCAAGCACGCTGCAAAAAAATATCGGGCAATATCAGAAACATGACGTTTGCGAGTTTGGTCGATGGATAACTAGCCACGAGAAGAGGTGACAAATATACGTACAATGAGGGTTTCAAAGGAGTGTAAATTTTCAAGGTACTGAAGAATGAGAAAAGCCTCTGGGTAAAGGAGCGTGTATATCTTGTTAGGGATAGAGTAGGATTTTCTGTTTTCTGTAACTTATAGGTTCGAGAATTAAGGATGTAAATAGTGACGGGAGCTCGGAAAAAACGACAAAGAAACTGCGACCTCGTAAGAATATATACTCGATCCAGGAAACAGAGAATAGAGTGGCAGGAAGTTGGCGCTCTACTGGGAGTGGCATAGAGCTGATACCTTCTCATGCACGTGGTACAGGACTTATGTCTCCTCTGTACATCTTGTGCATATGACCAGACAATAATTAGGCGGCTGTGCATACATCGTGCTTCGCGCTTTCGCGAATTGCGTATGGTAATTGTTTGGCTGGTCACGAAGATGATTGGTGCCAGGCGCCCCTGCAACATTTTGCTAGCGTCAGATAGAGCCTGGAGAGGGCTGGCTTGTAGGGTTAGAATAGAGGAGAAACTAGTGATATCCACTCGTAGCCATGACAAAAGCGCGAAGGGCGGAGGAGGCGTTCAAGCGATGGGATCACATATACGCATGGATTCCTTACCCAAAATACGAGGAATAAGTTGTTGCTTGGCGGCCTTCTTGGCTAGTATACGCTGTGCTAAATGGTACATTTTACGGATCTTGGACGAGGATCCAAGGCGAACAAAATTCTCTGCTCTATACGTTTAAACTAGCGTCTTCCAAGAACGCCGAGATGATATGCGCCATCCTAAAAGCTCAGTATGTCGTTAGATCATGATATATGCCCAAATCTGTTCTCATGGTTGAAGTTTCCATTACAAACACTACGCTAAAAAGTAAGTAATGCTATTAATTTTGCCGGGTTTACGGCTGGGTCTGGCGTGGGTAAGTAATTCGACTCATATCTATGCCAGTGCACACTTGAACCCCTGAACGCGGCGGGCTAGATCTCGGCTGAGATACACCGATGATATGCTTTCAAACTTTTTACCAGACTTCAAAATTGATCACTCTTGGATATTAGGGATAGTCTAAACTTTGGTTCACCACCCCTGTGCTAGACCAATCATGCAAGCTCTGTCTTACATATGCGTACAGACACAACTAGTGATACTAGCTCCACGCAAAAAAGAAACTTCTGATACGTGCTATCTCATACAAGACATATTGGCACATATTGTTAACCAATATACTAGTGAAAACTTCCATACCGGTTTGTTCGTTTTGAGAACCTGGAACCCTGTGAGATTGTGAAGCTAAACCAGGAAGCCCGTAATGTTACATACGTCTTACACGAAAAGCTAAACTGAGACACGCCTCTCAACCTTCGTGTTGCGCTAGCGAGTTTGAGTTCCGTGTAGCTAAACGCTAAATTGGTCTAACTATATCTCCACGAAAATATTTGACGCTATAGTACGATATGGGACGTACTCAACCAACGTTGGTACTTGGCCATCCGCGACGCCCCAAGCCAATTATGTATATACCACTGACGCGCGTCGGGCCTAGTTTCTAAGGGGAATCAAAGTATTCATTTAGGCTTATCAGATACTCCGAGACTACAAACCCACTGAATATACGGGCAATAACCAAACGAAATCATCAACGTGTGTTGATCGTATTATTTCTTTAGTGAAGGTTCAGACACATGTGTAGACTCCGCCCTGGTACACATACGGTAACAAGCCTTGGCCTTCACCTCAACTGAAAAATTACGACGGGTAAATCCGAGCACTTTCGTCCATCTTCGATGATCTGCATCTCTCCTCTACTAAATTAATTTGCATACAATTAGAGTAGGCCCTCAGCAGCGAGACGTGGATCTGCCAAAGGATATAATACCCGGTACCAGGGGCTAGAGAGCCTGGGGTTTAGGGAGTTGTAGACATGCCAGCGCCATCTGAGAAACCATATAGTATGGCCGCATATTCGTACAGCTCGGTGTGGTGTATTTAACACCACTGGCATTTTTATCTGCAAGGCTTAGACCACGTTTAGCCCACAGGCTGTACAGACATGCCATATTGTATAGCGAACGGTACGTTTACAAATTGGATCCGGATTATAAGCAGCATTCACGATATCGCAGGGTTATAAAACTCATCGTTTACTGGTTACGCAGAAAGGAATTAGGTTATAAGGTCTTAGAGCTAAGAAAAACAAGGTTGGTATAAGCCTCACGCCGAACATTCACAATTCATTTAGTGTACAAGCCCGCTTACATCAACTTGCGGCCGTCTTGCATCTTGTTACGATGTCATAGACAGTATCGTAATCCACATACTTATGGGTGAACAAATGCGACCGTTCCCCCGCCAACAATAACGGGGAGCTGTTTTGTGACCGAGACAGGGCCAGCGATTGGGTGTTGACCAAGGCGGCGGTAAACTTGTTCCCAAAGTATAAGAATGTCTTCACCAAGTTGAGAATTTCCAAGGAAGCTTCACGATAGCCATAGTAAATGTACGAGGAGCCCGAGTCTGATGAGGTCCCTTCAAGGAAGCCGGGTGTCGAATCATTACCAAGATTGTTCTGTAAACAATGTTTAAACGAATTAGTCGTGGTAAAATGGGTCACCGTAATATCCGCCAGGGAAAATGGAGGGGACAGAGCACCCTTCACGGGTGAGTGGCCAAGGTCAAAGGTTGCCGTAACGTCATGCAAGATATACGAGGTAATGTCTTTCACCTGTGGGAGATTGTTAGCCAAGTCAAACACCATGACATTTGTTCTGAGTGGCTCCTTCATAAACTCTTCGTTCGAGAAAGCCCAGGCTTGATCGATCACGTACAACAACGAGCAGTTCTTTTTTAAAATAAACTTGAATTCACTGCTAGTAGCCTTTGTCCCATTGTGGTAATATTCTGATTGAGTAGAATAGGAACCAATATCGACGTTTTCATCATCCAAAATAGCAATCGATATGCTTCCATTAGTTTCCACGTACCAGTTTGAAAGAATCCAGCTAAGCACTAGCTGGAATTTTCTGAGTTGGCTATCCTCACCCATCCAGGTAATTTTTTCAAGACCCTTACGAATAACGATTGGTCGGTCATCAACGGCCGTTTCTGACACAGTTTGAAATTTTGTGAGGTCAACAATGGACTTTAATTCGGTGGACCAAACACCAATCTCTTCAGGAGTCATAGCAACCACAAACGATTCGCTTTTCTCCCGGGTATCAATCACTGCGGATAATGCTTTAATGCGTTCATGATTGACCCCCTTGGCAAGTCTGGTCAACTCAATCTTGTTGACGTAGTCACAGTGCGGATGTGTTACGACAGACGATTCGCCGTCACGATCGGATCCATCCTTATCGTCAACGATAAGGTCGCATCTCGAGCATTTTCTGATAGAAACACCAAAGGACTTATTTTTGGGGAACTTGGAGGTCGACGAGGGCGTACTTTGGGCTTGGGGATTGAACTGGAGGGCACGGTCCTTGATGGTGCTCAATCTTCTGCTGTTAACACTACTGGAGAGAGAGCTTAAACGCATCTTACCGGTTATTGGAGAATAACCAGCGACCTTATTCAGAGGCTGGGTCTTTTTTAAAAAGCTGATTCTGAAGAACTCTTCCTCTGGGATCTGGCGGGTTATCGCGGCAGAACCAGGAGCTCTGAACAAGCCACGCTTGGCTATTTGCAACGAGATCTCTTTAACCAAGGAAGTATCGGAGAATCTGGCTCGCTTCTCCGGCGAACCGCCCAAGCCCAGGAAGCTGTAGGATCTTTTCTGGCGAAGGGCAAGCGGCGGGGAGATATGTTGGGCACCAGTACCATTAGCGGACGAGTTGGTTGTGTGAGAAGAGTTTGGAGAGGGGTGGTCAAAGTCGCAGTCGGTAGAGGTTTCAGAGACGCTTCCATCAGATTCGTTAAAATCCTTGAGGGATGCCTCGGCTAACTTCAAGGTGCTTTGGATATCGTGGTCCACCATCGACTTTGGAACTTGGAAAGCATCAATGGCATGAACGTTAGCCGGATGAGCCAACTTGGAAAGGCCAGTGATAATATTGGCAGATTCGTGAGAGGAGGTCATATTTGTGTATTGCTGGGAGTTAAAGATAGTATAGGTTGTAGTTTCTCGGGTAAGCAGTGTGGGGGCAGATCGGTAGGATAGTTGCAATCTGCAATAGGGGAGGTTTTTTTTCTTCTTTTTAAATGAGGTATGGATATAATATATGATAACAGCAAGATATTTTGGGAGATTTGAATTTTATTGATAAGGTGGCCAGCCGGAGTTTCAAAGCAATCCTAGCCTTTCCCCTCCGGCGGCTAGTGGATCTCGACTCACGACAGCCACGTTGACCATAACACGAAACGTATGCAGGAAATTACTCGAAAAAGCTGGAGATGGGGAGGGCGCAGGTTACATGCAGGATACGAATAATTGGAGCCATAACCACGCTGACATGGATAGGAAGATGGGTAAAGTCTCAGTTTTTATATTTTAACTTCACATGAACGATCCGTTAAGACTGGATGAGTCATGCTTGACATTCTCCGAAAAATCTTGTATAATTCTCGAACGGCTCGTCACTATATGCCAAATAACTTTATCCGTATTGGACAAGCTGAGAATTTATGTGACCTATATATAACACTACATGGAGCACTTACAATGCTTATGCTTGCGTAGCATAAAAACAAAAAAAAATCTGAGATAATATACCCTCCGTGGACTGAAAGTTTGAACAACATTACATATAACTCCGATGTTTTGGTACCTATAACATGCATTTCCACAAACGGAGGTCATCCACATAAGCTAATCCGTCTTTTTGGAAGATTTTCTCTGGAGGGCGGCCCAGAGTGGTAACAACTTGAACTTGACGGAAAAGAATTTTTCAATGATAAATCTTGGAATGATCGCCATAAGAGTTGGCAAAATAGTAGCCATGGTCCCTCTGTAGACGTTGAGTCTGTTGCTGCTGGACTCAATATCGTCAACCACCTTCTTGGCGTAAGCCTCGGCCGATACCGGATTGTTCTTGGCAGCCATCTGTCTTCTCTCGATAAGCGAAGCATCAAGTTCGGGACAGGCATAGACAGAGGTCTCTGGGAAAGGTCTGGTGTCAGCGATATTCGTCTTGACACCCCCGGTAATCACATTGAGCACCCTAACACCGAATGGTTTCATCTCCAAGTGTAAGACAGCCGCAAACTGGTGGATTGCAGCCTTAGTAGAACCGTAAATAGAGCCCCATGGGAATGGCATGATGCCCGCAATAGAGCCAGTGAAGACGATGATACCCTTGGCTTCGATCAAAAGCGAAGAGAACTCACGTGTCATTCTAACCGGGCCAAGAACATTGGCTTGGAAACACTGCAATGCTTGCTCGTCGGTAACATCGATCGCTGGGAAGGTGCAAGCTGAGTTACATTAGTAATTTGCTTCAAAAAAGAATGGTTCGTATACGTACACTGGCCGGCGTTGTTGTACAACACGTCAAGTTTACCGTTGGTCTCCTTTTCGATATAAGCTTTGGCTTTCTTGACGCTTTCCAAATCGGTGACATCGCAAGTGAAGGTCTTGACACCGTATTTCTTTAATTCCTCCATTGGCTCCAATCTTCTGGCACAGGCATAGACTTGGTAGCCTCTTTTAGCCATTTCGATGGAGGCGGCGTACCCGATACCAGAGGAGGCACCGGTGATGACTGCGGTCTTTTGTTCAGGCATAGGTGTAAAAATTGAGTTGTGTATCCAAAGGAATAGAAAGGCGAGTATTTAAAAATACAGTTCGGGGGTATATGTATACTTGCCCGTGATTGCCGATTGTGCGGGGAGTGAAAGGGTTACGTATCGTGGTCCTCGCATTCCTTTTCAAAAACCTCGCGCATGTGAGGATTTGTTGCTCCTGTGGGGGAGGTAAGGGCATAAAAATTAAGTTTAACCCGATCGAATTCCGTCGAACAGGACGCTCTATGAGCCGAGAAATGACGCACGAGTTAGAAAATTCGGGCTTTCAGTTTTTATGCACAGAAATTTGAGTATTGTGCCAATTAATAAAGTTTATCTTTCGTTACAGCTATCAAATGGGTGAAGCGGTAAGGGAAGGGCGATGGGTAGGGCAATGAACCCGGTGCCTCTCCTACCCCGGCGATACCCCTATAAGGACCTCAAGGGGACCGATAAAGCACCGGTTGTATGAGTGGAAGCGGGGACGAAAGCAGTTAAATACCCTTTCTCTTTAACAATATATTAATATTACATATTGCTAAACGGCCGGAGTATTATTTTTCAAAAGTCTGGTACACGAATAAGTTGGAAATATACATGTAGCATGCTCTTCACCAATAAGTTTCTATTCGGTCGACCTAAACGCCCGGAGGTAGAAACCAAACTGAATATAACCGTCAATATATACTTGTAGATTGATAAAAGTCTTGTGCAAGGTACAAGACCTAACCCCAGGACGATACTTTAAGAGTCTAAAGCATTAGCATTACTTTGGAATGGAATACAAGACAAAAGCCTGATTCGGTTTCCCGCTTAGTCTTTTCAGTTATTGATTGAATCCACCTGGCCACAGATGTATATGAGAAACTGATCCGAGGGTGCGGCCAATATGCAACATCCCGACAGCACTTGCTACTGCTGCCATATGCATACTCTGAATTTGTGGTGCAGGGAATTAATACTCCCGTATAACACCTACATAATGTATACATAATTTTCATTCTGATGGTACTGAGCCCTTTACTGTTTTTATTGGGAAGTTATAGGGCTGTTCCACTTTCACAAGCATTTGCAATAGCCCAAAAACGCGTGGGCAGAATTTCTGTTCTGTTGATTTGCTATTAATCTGTATGATACGCCTAATGCCTACAATTCACTCTTGAAGCCACGGAATGGCAAAAATCTATTCTGATGCAGCCCTTTTTATGAATATCTGATACTGGAACCGATAACCAAGGGTAAAACAATAGCCCGTACCGTCGAAAAAGACCCATCTCAATCTGAGAATAACATTTCTCGGAGTAGCAATTTCTTACTCCAGTGTACCATTTGAGGATGAATTTCAACAACAAAAATTTTACTAATTACACCAACCAACCAGGAGAAAGCTCTATGAAAAGGAATAAGTTTGATACAGATGGTGAACTTCCAACCATTCCGAACTTTGGAAGTGGAACGTTTCTGAATGTTGACGAAACTTTAAACTTATTTTACAACTTTCCAAGCGAAGAGGATTTGAATATTATGGAAGATATGATCATAATACCAGATATTATAACGCCTACCCACACCAGGAAGGTACATGACAATGCTGACCATCTGATTAATTTCAAAGATGAGTCTTACGATTTGTCTATGTTTAAAGCGTATCCAGAGAATGCAACCAGTATACTCCAATCAACGGCACCTGACCTCAATTTTCTAATATGCAATTCACAGTCAACTATCCATACTGCGAGATCTCTTCAACATAGAGCAGCAGATAGGGGGGGCATTCTACAAGAAGCTGATACCCCAGTTGATGAATTGTGTTTGGAACATGTAGCTTCCACAGCACCGAATACAGTCAATCTTTCCACCGTGATGGATCTCTCTATGCACGAAGCTACCATCCTTAATACCCATATTCCAAATATAGGAAGAAACATTCTGACGGATGAGTCGTTGATGGTGGATTGCCAGACCTACACCGACCAGTTCCCAGCGCCATCTTTTGCCTCATACACAAACTCCAATATGATGGCAGCTACCCCGATAGAATTCCACCATGGTCAATTCAAGCCTCACACATCGCCTAAGAATAGGGTACGGTTTCAGGGCGCTGACGTCGGAAGCGTAGCTACAGTACCGTGCACTTTCTTTCATCCTGTAATCTGGGGAGTTATGGAGCACGAAGAAGCATCCTCCACGACTACTTCATCACTACCAATATCTGAAATCTCCTTTAAAATATCTCCAGATGTCCAGAGAAGAGAGACAAGTTCGACTGATACGGAGAGATCTTTGTCCTTGGGCGAATGCATGCCTCATACCATAATGATTGGCGAAGGCTCGACTGGAGCCTGGGGGAACACCCAAACTTTGCCCCTCAGCAAAATATCTTTATATGACCCGGATGGGGTTGATATCACAAGCTCCTTACCTCTTATTAAGGCCATTGGTCCACGGAAATTTTCTAAGGGGGCACCACAGGTAGCGGAGAGAGTCATGGACACAGTCCAAGCGGAATGGAATGCGTGTGACGATTTCGACCATTTTGGTATAACAAAAATCCGAACCCAGAATAAAAAGAGGCGGCGTAAGGCAGTAGATCAGGTCAAGTTCAGACCGGTGTCGATATTTACTGCGTTGGGGAAAAAGGTGGACAAAAAGTACGAGGATGTAATTCCTCCAACATCATGTTTTGGATTATTGAACATGCGACAGCAAAGAGCATGGTCAAGGCGATGCCCAATTGCAATGAAGCAGGGATCAACCAAGTCCACACAGGGATGACAGCTGCGGAAAGAGTAAATGAGGAAGGATTTTTAAATACATTATTTATAATACTGCAGATTCATAGAGCTCGGGTGTTATGGCGAATTGCCATTTGAATCTATATTGACTAATTTACTCATTATTTGGATTTAGCAGTTACATATACCAGTTTACTCATACCCAGTACCCATACACGGCGCCAACATGTTTCTAATACATTAATGAAATAATATTGCCAAAAGTTCTATAAATATACACGTTTCAAAAGCGGAGGAAAAAAGGGAGAACATTGAACTAGGTAACAATTATAGACAAGGCAGAGGAACCAATGAAAATTCTCTTCCAAGGAAGCGCCAGGGTCTCTAGTTACATTGATACCTTTCTCCTGATCTTTTGAGCTTGAACTCTTTTTTAATCCAGTCCTATGGAAGACGGCAGGAAGGTTCAACACCCGCAAAATATGCTTCCTTAATGACCATGAGGATCTTCTTTTGGCTGCTCAGGGTCAACAGTAATCATGGTATCAATTCTCAAAATTGCAATACAGGCCTCTAACGCAGATTTCAAGGACTTGATCTTGGAGATGGAGGGCTCCAAGACACCGTGGATGGACTCATCAACAACCTTACCGTTAATCAAATCCAAGCCGTAGTTCTTGTATCCCTTTCTCTTGGTTTGGGTTGGCAAGGCAGACTGAGACGCGGCGTGGTAAGATCTCAACTTGGCAACCAATTCAGAGGAGTCTTTAGCGGCGTTGACAGCCAAGGTCTTTGGGATAACCAACAAGGCGTTGGAAAATTCGGCAATGGCCAACTGTTCTCTGGAGCCGACAGTGGTGGCAAAATTTTCGAGATAGATGTTCAAGGCAGTTTCGACAGCACCGCCACCAGGGACAACGTTACCGCTCTCCAAGGTTCTCTTCACTACGGACAAAGAATCGTGCAACGATCTCTCCATTTCGTCCAAGGTGTAGTCGTTTGGACCTCTCAAAATAATGGAAGACGAGGAGTGTGCCTTGGTGCCCTTAATCAAGATACATTCATCATCGCTGATTCTGGTCTGAACAACCTCTTCGGCGTAACCTAAGTAGCTGGCCTCGTAAGTTTCGTCGCCATCCAAGTTGGACATACTGCTGATGAAAGTACCACCCGTAGCTCTGGCAATCCTCCTCAAGTCTTCCTTCTTACAACGTCTAACGGCAATAACACCGGCTTCGACAAACTCCTTCAAGCACAAGTCATCGATACCCTTGGTGGTCAATACAACGTTGGCGCCCGCAGCAATGATCTTTCTAATTCTCTCAATGATAATACCGTACTCCCTTTTTCTGATTTCTTCCAACTGTTCTGGATCGTCAATGTTAATCTGGACACCCATGGCCATTCTAGCCTTCTGTAAGTTGATGTCCAAACAGGCAATTTTGGCACCAGTGATGCTCTTGAGCATGGCCTGGGACGCGACGGTACAGTTCAAAGCGTAGCCGTTGACCAAGACGGATTCCAAGGCGGATTTACCGTGCGCCTTCAAGACGTTTACAGCCTTGACTGGGTACTTGGTTTCGCCCTTGGAGTTGGTGGTCTGGACGGCCAACATGGCATCAACAACCATCTTGGAAAAGAACTCAGAGTCAGAACCAATAATCTTTGAAGACATGGAGGTCTTGGCAATGTTAATCATGGTTTCCTTGCCCAAGCTCTCAACCGGTTGGGACAAGACTTGCGTGATGTACCGAGTTGCTTCTCTTAAGGCGACTCTGTAGCCAGTGATAATAGTGGTTGGGTGGACCTTGTTCTTCACCAATTCGTTAGCTCGCTTGAGCAATTCTGCGGCAATGATGACAACAGAGGTGGTACCGTCACCGACTTCACGGTCTTGTTGCTGGGCCAACTCGACCAAGATCTTACCAGCCGGGTGTTGGACATCCAACAAGCTCAAAATAGTTGCCCCATCGTTGGTCACAACAACGTCACCAATATCGTCAACCAACATTTTATCCAAGCCAACAGGCCCCAAAGAGGACTTGACAACGTTGGCTACAGCGGAGGCGGCCAAAACGTTTTGGTTTCTGATGTCATCGCCGCTCACCTTTTCACCACCGAGGACTTTAGAATGTTAGTAACTGGTTCAAAAATGCGATCACTTAATCGTCTTGTCGACGGAAGGCAAATCAACGGAGCAGACTGGTACACATACACAAGGTGTCGGAACGGGCATTATTAAACATTTGAGACATTGTGAAACAGGATAGTTAGATGTAAATCAAAGGGTTAATATAGTATGAACCTTTCAAGCACTTTGTAACGGATTATCTCTGGGAGGCTGATCTGTAAACACTATTTTCGGCTTGATATTGTCACTGCATTTTTCCTTAGAAAAAATCCTACACATTACGCGACGTTGTTCAATAGATCAGTATGGAACAATCCGACGGAGAGAGCTATATTTAGTACTGTAAATTACCCACTTAGGACATAGCGGTCCACAGTTTACTCTTACACGCTTTTAGGGTAAGAGGCTGGCTATGACATGGGCCGAGGCACGGGAGTTGCAATTAAAATAGATATATCACCAAAGTTTGCTGAATAGTATATGCTAACAAGGCTTATAGATAACTAAACATGTTTTTGGTATTCTCAAGGCTTGTATCGTGATTTAAGTGTTTTGGCGCAAATTATAAATAGTAGGCTTATGAGCCTGAACATTGGCGGCCATCTAGCTTTTATTATGTTAAACCTATGTTGATTACCTAGAAACAAAGCTGAAGGCTTAATAGGCTTTTGAAATATCTTGATCGAGAGGAATCAAGATCAGTGTTAATTTCGATAGACCCTAGAGGGGTAAACCGGAATGACCATTATTGGCATTGCTTTTACAATTGATCCATTAAACTAAATTAAATTACCTCGTATACGACAAACACAACCGGTGGATATACAAATACTATCGTTCTGGACCCGCAAATTTAACGATAATAATGCATAACCAGAGTCTATGTCATATGGTGCCGGTCAAAACCCTCAGCTACGAGCTGTAAGTTTGGAGCAACAAACCGTGTCTGATCATAAAAAGGAGTATCTAAAGAATTGTACAAAAAAAATATGTAAGAGTATAGGAACTGGTTTACGGTGGGTATACATGAAAATAGGGCCGTGGAACATCACGCCATGCTGGACGCTGATCTCAAACACACTCTCGTTATACCGAATTCCCCAAGCTCTCCGGAATAGACTACCGACTATCGAACCTTTTATAATTTTTTTTTACTAGTTTTAATATAAAGGGAGGATGAAGGAGAAGGCTCGACCGCCAAAGAACGGCACTGAGAACAGAACAGGCAATACTAGCACACCACCAGAGATTATGTCAAATAGAACGCCCGCCGAGGTGCGAATAGAAGGGAAAGGGCAGTGTTTGATCCTTACAAGATGGTGCACTTTTTGCTCTTCTTGATCACAGGTGGCTCTAAGGCAGCAACAATGGCCTCGTCGAAAACGTTCTTCAACCCACGCTGGGTTAAGGCGGAACACTCAATGTACTTGATGGCTCTCAATTCCTTGGCCAATCTCTCACCGGCATCGGCGGAAATTGGCCTCAACTTTTGTCTCAGCAACCTTTCCAAAACCAATTTATCGTCTCTCAAATCCGCTTGGGTACCAACGATCAAACACGGAACGCCTGGACAGTGGTGGTGGACTTCTGGGAACCACTTCTCTTTGACGTTTTCGAACGACGGTGGGGATATAACAGAAAAACAGACTAAAAACACATCTGTAGATGGGTAACTCAACGGTCTAAGACGATCGTAATCTTCTTGGCCCGCGGTATCGAATAATCCCAAGGTATATGGCTCGTCACCAATCATAACAGTGACGGCGTAGTTGTCAAACACGGTTGGAACATAATCGGATGGGAACTTATTGTTGGTGTATGAGATTAAGAGACAGGTTTTACCAACGGCACCATCACCGACGACAACACACTTTATAGTTTGCATTTTGTTTGTTTATCCGTTTGGGTTATGTGTGTGGATGTCTGGGTTTGTTAGTATTCAATTTGAAGCGAGCAAGATGGTCTCTTTGGACAAGCAGTATCAAACAACTATTATAACCGCCTCGGAAAGCGGCGTAGCCATAGGGGGCGGCAGTCGTCTCAACCCAGTCCCATAGACGCCGGCAAATACTTACGTATTATATCTCTCTTTAACAGTGTTCCGCTTCTATTAACAAAAAGGGACGACTTGGATAGAGGGTGATATAATGGGATGTCTTCTAAGCCGAAAGAAGTGGAAGTAGTGCTGGTGTATTGTTTCGTAGTGCTTTTTACTTTTCCTTGCCTGCTTTTCTCCTGTGTAAAGGGAAGAGTGGTGAACGAATTTCGCCTGTGTTTTAATTCGAAATGGGTTCCGACGTTATGTACCGGATACCCGGAGCCTGCCAGCGTGTGCACCTGCCGCCTGGGTCAATGATAGACAGATAGCGTTCGCCCCCAGCGCCTCCACAGTGCCGGATTTGTCCAGACAGCGGTTACACGATAAGGCATGATGGTAGTTATTAAGATATCCTATCCTTACTCAGCCGCACTTTGAAGACCAGGCAAATAAGTGATGTAGATTCCAGAAATTTTATTATTCCTGTTTAAGGAAGTAGGCGTCTGTATTTCTGTCACTGCATGTTTCAGGAAGCTAGGAATATCTAGGTGGCGAAGTATGATGCTAAGCAACATGCAAGGGAACAATAAGATGGCTCTGAGAAGCCTTTTTTTGGGCTTAAGGATTTCTGTCTCCGGGGCTAGCTAGCAGTTTTTTGACGTTATGTGCTGTGACATGTGGGCTCTAAAGGCAATATATTATGACTACAATAGTCTAAATGCCTACAACTTTGATAGCGACAAATTATATTTTCAGTAGCGTGTCTGGTGGTACAGACCTTATAAATTAGGACTGAAAAAACTTCATCTAGTTTTCCATGAGTGGAGGTCAGCCGTGCCGACCGCTATTTTGACACATAACAGATACGTGTATGTACACGCTCCCCAGTGGTATCAAAATGTCGTTCGTATAGAAAAAAAAAGGCGTATAACCAGAAATAAAGAGGATATCAAGGTAGGTATTAGCATGGGATTTCAGGATAAAACATGTGTACAAGAAACACTGATAGTTACAGCTTATTATAAAGGAGCTGGTACTGAGCAGCTCTAGACCGATAGTTAAATGAGAATACTAATCTGAGTGTACCAAACAGGGTATAGTATCACCCCGAGTAATAGTTCCCCAAGAGAAGGAACAAGCTATAATCATCTAATGTGGTACGGTCCATTCTGGTGAATAGTGTTCAACAACGCGGGATATATAATCGTAGTTTAATATATGTATTTATTTGAGTTTTGACAGAAAGGTGCTGCGGTCAGTGAGGAGTGTATGATCAATAGAGCGAGTTTTCGAAACAATATAAGTATAATCCACCTTTCATTGATGTCCGTTCACAATATCGAAAACCACATTAAGGCTCGCACCAAAACTCCATTGACGAGTCTTACACTCCACTTTGCTGACGTAGTTATTGATCTGACATAAAGACCGAAAAAGATCCACCCAAACATTTGACGCCTAGAGAGATGTGAAGGTTAGTAGCTGCATCCTAGAAAGCTGCGACTGGAAAAGGTGGGGATCAGATACTGCAAAATAAGCACTTACGATGCACCCTGCCAGCGAAGCCCTACTCCGTTTCTTGGTATATCAAGACAAACCGGAAAATGCGCAGGCCAAGTAATTGAGTTATGGTAAACTTACCATGCCCTTAGGAATAAGGTTATCATTTTCCACCGCTGTATTACCGTGGAGAAAAGTGGTAATCAAATTATAAGTGTGTACTGCAGATGCCAGGGATCGATTTCTCCGCAAAAAACTCAACAAAGTTTGATAGTATATGGAAAATTTACAGTGATTTTCTCCGGAAACGTTTTGCCAAGGAAAACGTTAGACCTGGAATGGTGTAATAGATGTGACTTTAGCTTTCACCCTGTAAAAACAAACCTACCCCTCTATTGTGAAATGATCGGAAAAGGGAGGATCACTGAGAAAAAAAGATTCATACGAGCGGGAATATGCATTAACCATAATCTCACAGGTCTTGTTGATCGGCAATCACAAAGCCAAGTTGTAGATTTTCGTGTACGTTATGAGAGAATGCAGCTTTGGATTTGTACCCTGAGCCGAATCGGAATCATATACGATTCCACCAGGTTGAATACCAATCAACGCTCAAGCTAAGTCGATAAATATATAAGTATGCCATAGACCTGATTGTTACCCTGTTCTGTGCGAGAAAACAACATAGTGTGACTATGATATAGAGTAGGAAATTTGAATGGTGGCCCAAGAGGGAATGCGCATACCCTGAAAAAACGCATATTCGCAAATTTCGGCAGCATGTTGCAGAACGTGAAGAAGGGCCAGGATAAATACCCGTAGTTTGTCAAGTTCCGTTTAAATTTTACCGGTATTGATATTAATATCCACCCTACAACAGGAGAATGTTGAGTGCTTCCTTTTGTAACCATGTTTGCATCTATCATATCTCTTAAAAGCCTAAGGGTACTGACGTCTCGTCTAGATTCAATGGCTAGTGCATATCTAATAAAATATCTAGCGTACCTAGCCCGATATTAGCCGAGACGAGAAAGAATTTTCACATCTGAAATATAACGGATGATAAATTTTAACTGGCAAGTGGAAGACACACCAGCATATTCCGGAAGAGTCGCACTGTAATAGTCCTTAGTATCATAAGAAAGAGAGAAATTGGCTTATTATACGAACAGTAATAGTGTGTGGTCTTTGGAGAATATCATACGACAGGTTTCAGGGCGTAGGAATCGCCGTAGAAGGGGCAAAGTTCTGCCTGCATACAAAGTGGTCCAGGGTAGTTCTCTTTACCAGGGCCAAACGCACATACACAGCCTTCTCAGATCCGGTTGCATGCATTGTCACCACTTTGGACTCAATATTAAATAATCTTAGAGGGTAGGTGGTTCCATTGCTCATGTATAAATACCTGTTTCAGCCGTACACTCTGCATCTAATAGAGATACCTAGGTTTAAAGTTGAACCCAACAACGCCAATTGGAAGCATCCGTAATGTAAGTTTCAGAGGCACCCGGCAAACGTAATAGCGCGTTCTGCAAACTTTCTGCCTTTCCAATCAAGGTTCGCTATTTTCCCATACAACTTTAAGACTTAATAATTAGGCACACGAAAGTAGCAACCCTCCCCATAATTTCTAAATTGAATACAAACTCACAAGTTCATACCGACTGATGCTCCACAGAATCGACGCCGAAGTATCATCCAGATCGCAAGTTACAGGTGTTGACAGCGATTGTTTCGATGGAAGTTGATTGCACCTCGTGATAATCTTAGACTCCAAGAAATATGTATCTGGAATCGCAGAAATACCTAAAGTTCTGGAAGCACGCATGATCTGCACGCCAAGAACTATGTAGTTTGAGGGTTTCCAGAAGGGGCAAATCCTGGACCTGAGCTTTGAGCACAAAGTGTGACCACTATAGAGTAGGCCGTCCGTACACATGTGAAGGTTTTAGCATCTGTTTTGAGTTATGTCTGTATATCGTAGCACCGAGTGAATCAGGGGTATTACCCTCCTTTGTGGAACGATATGGGAAGCACGGAAGTAACACTGAAGGTGCTTCCTGGAAAACATCCATGTACCTTAAATCTGGCCCTGGGACCCCACCTCGCTGCTCTCATGGTGTTGAAAGGCACGCACAGTTGGCTTGAAATGCCTACTCCTAATCCCTGGTGCATACGAAGATCTTATACACCAGCGTGTCTGCAAATCCTACTAACGCACAGATATCGCCGTGCATTATGTAATGTCTCTGATAGGTTTCTCGTACAATTATCGGCCCACTCCATACTACAGTAAGGAATTGGAGGAAAAGAGGTTACTCTGGACTAAAAGCTCCTGGGAAGAATGAGAAATACTGGTCTGACGGGGAGGCTAGCTCAGGTGCCCACAAAAAAAAACGAACATGATACTATATTATAACCCTTTTAAGAGACTCCAGATCTAATACAATATTCCTGGAGTATTTGGGAAATATCCTCTCTCACGATCCAGGGTTAACAGCCCTGAGTAACACCACCTGAAGCAGGGTCACGAGGTGTGCCCCGTACCAGTCGACGCGCAGATCCTTCTGCGAAGAAACAATAGGCTGAGTTTTACCATCGCCAGGCTTACATCCGTTAACACCCCTTAGCTAATGTAGGGCTTTTTAGCTGTCGATACGTCTGCTAAGGACTGGCGGAACGCATAGCCATGCGGCCTCGTGTGGTTCGTGCAGCTCCACGTAATTCGTGCGACGTCGGCTCAGACTTGCATGCCGTCCTTGCGTGTTCGTTTGAGCGTTTATTTCTTTTTTTAAGGCTAGTACAGCGAAGAGGCCTGTTCGATATTCCATCATTGGTCTTAAGATTTTTCCGACGCCCACACTCTCCAATTCTACCCTTGACACATACCAACGTCTCTGCTCAAGAATCTACGTTTGCATATCTGTCATCAAGGCTGAACGCTATCAGAACTTCAAGAGGCTGGACAACATTGCCCCTGAACAACTCTACCCAGAGGCATCCCACTATCTAGCAACCTTGTCCACCACAGCTTATCCAAACCTATCCGCAGCATTTTGTACACCTATCCAAGCTTTCATAAACATCCCTCATGCCTACACAGAAAACATACACCGCGAGACTGCCGTTCACTCCCGCAAAACTGTCGCCGCTCTCGGCGCCACAGCTACTAAAGAGCAAGCGGGACTCTATCCTCGCAGTTTCCTCCGACGAGCCTAGACGAAGTTCTAGAAGCAAACGCACATCCGTGGGTGAGCTCGAGACGCCCAGCGAAGAACCCGAAGATATTCCACCGCCCAACCCGCTAAACCGCAGAAGCATCGACAGCATCATCACCGACGAGGAGGCGCTCATCCATCAAGAGGTGCGCGACCACGTGCGGCGGCGCAGGACACTTGCGGCGCAAGACGCCAGTGACGCCGTGAGCGAGCGTATCTCAGACGATGCACATTCCACTGATGCGCATGAAGACGACTTCAGCGACGACGATGTGCGCGACGAGTCGGTGCCCGACATGTTGCTCAACAAGTTGCGCACGCTTCCGCTCTTCATGGCGGCGCCTAACTCGTTTCTCGTTGCGGTGGCAAGTCGCTTGAAGCTTATCCAGCTCAACGCCCAGGAGTACGTTGTCAAGGCGGGCGAGCCGTCCAAGTCCATGTACTGGATTCTCAAGGGGACTGTTGGGGTGACTTCCCCCGACGGTGAAGCGGTTCACGCCGAGCTAGCTGCTGGCAGCTTTTTCGGCGAGATTGGCATTTTGTTCAATCGCCCGCGCACTGCCACCGTCGTGTCGCGCACGCGCGTTTTGCTCGGCGTGTTAACGGCCGATGCCTTGAACCTGGTGCTCCCATCGTATCCCGTGGTTGAACGACGCATTCGTGACGAGGCACAGGAACGGCTTGCGATGCAGGAAAAGAAAAAAAATCGTGATTTGCCGATGATTCTGCCGTTTTATGCAAAGCGCAATAGCGTCATCTGGGACACCCCACACTTTGCGTCGCCCAAGCTCGACCCAAACGCTGTGTACGCGTCGAACGTCGCTACCGCGGCTGCGCAGCTTCCAGGACCCAGCCTCCCACCAATCTCGCACTTTGTGGGACCACCCGTTCCATCCCCTACCCTTCGTCTCACCCAGTCTGAACTGCCGGAGTATCCCCCTGCCGGATCAGATACTTCTCAGCCAGACAGAACATCGCACTCGTACCTTTACCCCTCGGTGGATAGCTCTATCTCAACGCGTGGGTTCTTGCAAAAGTTGGCTATTTTTCAGACGCTTCCGCCGTCGATTATTCACAGGCTCGCGTTGGACGCAGAGCCGTTGTGTTTTGACGCGTTTGAGTATGTGTTTTGCAAGGGCGACCACGGCAGTGATATTTATTTTGTGGTGTCGGGGGATGTGGAGGTGATCGATCGTGAGGGTGTGCGTGAAAGCGACTCGAAAGACGCGTACGATACGACTGGGCATTCTGATAGGCACGATAGTGCGAATGATACCGATGGACGCGACAACTACCGCGCCAAGAACATTGTCGACAAAGTGCTTGCACGCATGGGCCCCGGCAACTATTTCGGTGAAATGGCGTTCCTCAACTCCTTGGCCACTGGTAGCGAAGTTGACTCTGTGCGCACCGCGTACATCCGGACCATCACCACCGTCGACTTGATCGTTGTGCGCAGTGCCAAGTTGATCACTTTGTGCAAGCAGTATCCGTTGATATTTGAGGATATGCGGTTGACCGCATTAGAAAGGACGGAGAAAAACGGCTCAACGGGTAGTCACCAGGCTTCCATCAGCCTGGCAACCTTAAATTTACCGCCTTCCCCGGCGAGCGAAATCCCCGAGACAGGGCCAGGGGCGAGGGCAGAGGCGAGGCCAGAAGCAAGCCCGAACAAGAATACTGTGACGTCAATTGTCAGCCCTGCACCGCAGGCTGCGCCATTTGGCGCCTGGAGCTTCAACAATCAGTCGGCGTCTCGCATGGGTTCCCAGCTGACAGTATCGCATCCTGCGCGCGATTTAGAACGCCCGACATCGATCTCGCCGCTGTACCTTGAGTCGCCGCCATGCTCGCGAACTCATTCTCTGCACGGCCTGACCAAGGTGGAGGAGGACCAACTCCTTGCTCAAGGGGATACCCAGATAAATGCTCTTGAAAATGCCCTAGTAAACACTCCAGCAATTGCTCTGGCGAATGTCCAAACAAATATTCTCGCCCAGCCACAGCCGCTTGCCACTGCCCAAGCCTCGGCAATTGCTCTGGCAAATGCAAGCCCCTTCTCCGGCTTTACTTTCAACGAAGCCATCTTTAACTCCAAAAAGCGCAAGGCAGACAGTCCGTCGCCCACAGATACCGCTCACGGCAGCATCCCCAGGGGTACGTCTCCTCTTGGTGGTCCTGACGACGCCAGCCTCTCTCTTACCATCCCCCCTATGAACCCACTAGCTCCACTGGTCAACATTTTCGCCAATCACCTCAACTCCAGCAGCTCGCAGTTCCAGTACATGTCGCACGCGAAACGTGTGCGGCTCGCGAGCATTTCTGGGCAGTCTATGGGCCGTCGCAAGTCCTCTGTTCTCTCCACAGGACTCTTCCCGGACCGCATCTTATTGAAAGTTCTTGGTTACATGGCTTTACCTGACCTAATGAAGATGCGCAAGATCTGTCGCCGCTGGCGCCAGCTCCTCCATGTCGCACCCAATCTTTTTGAGGTCTTGGATTTGACTCCGTGGAACACCAGCTTGGACGATAAGGCGCTCATTGCGATTACAGACTTTGTGGGCACCCGCCCCAAGGCCATCGACATCTCCAATTGCTTCCACATCACGGACGAGGGCTTCAGCTACATGGTGAACGAGATAGGGATCGGGGGGACGTTGCGCACAATCAAGATGCGGTCGACCTGGGAGATCAGTGCCATGGCGATCATGGATCTTGCGGTGCCGTCTATCGGACGCTACCTCGTGGCGATTGACTTATCGAACTGCCGTAAGGTGCGCGACGACGTTATTGAGCGTTTACTCGGTTGGAACGGACCGCAGAACCAGCAGCGCATGCTGCAAAACCTTCGTGAAGACCACGGCCTCATGGGCGCGCCACTCCCGGAGATGGCGCTGTTCGACAGCCTTGACGAAACGCGGGGCCTCATAGGGTGCCGGAGCTTGAAGGAATTGAATCTTGGCTACTGCAAGCACTTGACCGACCGGACGATCTACCACATGGCGATGTACGCTAACAACCAGATTGAGTCACTCGACCTCACGCGGTGCACAACCATCACCGATGCGGGATTCGCCTATTGGGCGTACCAGCCATTCCCTAACTTGAGGCTGTTAAATTTGGCGGACTGTACGTTTTTGAGCGACAAGTCGATTATTTCTATTGCTTCCTCTGCGAAGAACTTGCAAACGCTCGATCTTTCGTTCTGCTGCTCGCTCAGTGACGTGGCGATTGAGGTGCTTTGTCTTGGATGCCCGCAGTTGTGCGAGCTTCTGCTTTCGTTTTGCGGCTCTGCTGTGAGTGACCCGTCGCTTGTGGCGATCTCGCTCCATTTGCGCCACCTTGCACGCCTCTGTGTCAAGGGCTGCGTCCGTGTCACACGCGCCGGTGTCGATGCGTTGTTAAGCGGCGTCTGCCCGTTGGAGTACCTAGACATTTCGCAGTGCCGTAACGCCCATATCTATCCCGGTGGGATTTTAGCGGAAACATTGCCGCTTAAGCCGGGCACCCGGTCCGTGTTTGTTTCTGCCGGCCCGGCCCGCAAGGTCACCGAGATTGTCATTTGATTGTCGGTTATCTGGGGTTGCTGTTTTTTTGTCCTGTAATTTAATATTGTAGTTCAATGAATGTAGTAGGCATCCTTGACTTGTGCTTATATATATGGTTCGATTGTACAATTGATCCAGATTGATAACATTGGTATGGCATCTACCCGTAGATGAAGCACGATGACATCGGTTATACCGCAAGCTTTGTTATAATTTCATCCAGTATTAATAAACGTTATCATTTAAAGGAAGCTTAGTAATTTTTGTGTTGGCGAGGGCACGCCGAAATCACCTCTTTCGGGCGGTAACAGTTCAAGGTTCACGAAAGTGAAGGTTGATATTGACATTTCGATTCGTATCCTAGCACTTTCTCACTTTTAATCGATACACACGCGCAAATGGCCTCTGGCTTTTCTAGAAACCTGATTTAGACAATATATTGAAGCTGGAAACCGGTGGATGGAAACTAAATTGGATTTCCTGCGACATAGCTATATATAGATATAGGTGTATTTCTGAGAGCTTTTATAGATGATTTAGGAAGTAGAGGGGTATATTTAAAGGGCTTTACCTACTCGTAGGGGTTTTGTCCATAAACTGTACCACTTTGCCCCTATATGGAACCCAGCACCAAAATATATCCTTTGACTCTATTGCAAAGTGTGTCAAAAGCTGAACGCAGCTTATTTCAAAAGAAACTCATCTGATCGACCGAACGATCGGCGCAATCATGCAAAGGATTCATACTTAATCCTTGTTTTACCTAGTCGTCTGTAGTGACGATCATATCTTGAAACTTGTAACTTAGGTCCATCTTTTTTGTAAACCACCCAGCAACGGCCAAACGAAAGTGTATTATAACCGGGTGCAACTTTAAAGAACTGCAGGGTATAAGATCGCAGAGTTTCCCCTGTAGATGAACCTTGCATTCTCCAATTGCTAAAACTCTTTTAAGAGAAAATTCGACGGGGAGGTGACTCCATGTTTGTGTCATACAGTGCTGACACTATAGCCTGCTGGGCAAACATGGTTCCAATGTCCTAGGCCACGAGCTCAGAGATCAAACCAGAGGTCGTTTGCCCCCCGCACAGGATCTGCCAATTCATGCATGAAAAACGTGCTCGAACTAAGCAGCAACAGCTGCACTATCTGTCCTATAGCCGTTAGGCCAGCATACGATAATATTGCACCGAACAAGAGTGGCTTTTGAGTCATGACTGTTACATCGTTTAGTCACTCTTCATTTTGATGTTACTGGCTTCTAAACAATTGTACGACATAGCTCAGCTATCTACATAAACCAGAATTTCGCTTAGTTCTGTTGCTACCGAGGTGCGATGCCGAATTGAACCGTTCACTACAAGGCTTTGTTTTTTGTATAGCTTGTTTCTTTCGGCAAGCTTTATCATATAGATAAAGAACCTCATAGCTACCCTGGGTTTCAGAAATTACCCTGATCAATACTTCGAATCCGTCTGTAAACTTTTAAATGCCGCGATGGGAATAGCCAGGTAACAGCCTCCGATGCGCGGCAAATTGAGAAATGGGGTGTCTCATGGCAACCAAACTACGCAACTTTAAGAATATATACCCTACTTGCTTTATTTGAGATTAGCAGGTGACTACCACAGACAGATAAGTACTTTGACCCTAAGCATAGACAAAATAGGCATTGCAAACCGTATCCTGTGTTATGCGAGGGATTCGAGCAATAACCGCAACTTACCGTTACTCCGCTCACCATAAACAAGCTGAATCTCTGCTAATTATCACCCAGAGGTCTCAGGTACCAGTTTAGCAACCTCTATCTCTTGACTCACTGAAATTCCAGTAGCTGGCAGCTAGCGGTTTGCAAATGTAGTAAGCCACAGTATAGACGCTCGCTGCCGCAGGTTACTGTCAGAATCTCCGATGCTATGAATGACTATTCGCGTTCAAGAAATTTTTCAACCCATGCTCTTTTAAGGTGATACCACGCAAAGATTAGCTTTCGACCCCTATCGTTAGGACAACCTGTACGACTAAAGTGAAAGCAGAAGCTCTCGTATACAGGTGTGTATGATCCATGCGGGGTCAATTGCTTATATGCATGAGCCGTGGCGATTTAACTTTGAGACATGAACTAAACGCTAGCGCGATGAAAAGTCACACATGCCTGGCACCTCCAACACATTGGTACTATTAATAATGCGGGATGCTACTATCCTCCTTGCGATAAAGAACGAGCTTTGATGTACAGGTATGGCATCCATACGCGGGGAGAATACCGGGCCCATATTCGTTAAGCTTTACGGCCGATTGAGTTGGTTAGAGATATCTATGGCCTCTTTAGCTTTGTGATCTGCTCGTGGAAACCTAAAAACTCCAAGACCATCGGCAATATGGTATAGTTAATGAGGCTCAAACAAGCGTGCGGAGACACCGTCCATTTGCAGTTACTCCAGTGCTTCGTGACATAAGAACGTGATGACATCAGCGCCAAAAATAGCATGCATGTTTCCCTTCACATGCAGCGAGCATCACGCATGTGAGACAGTGTCTTGATTTATGCCAACGTCGAAGGATTTGTATAAAGATCATCAGGTTTCCACCTTTCTATTCCACCGGACCTTCCTTTCACATCATCTAAATATTGGCTTGCTAGCTACTAGCCTGGCTCCTATACCGCAACTGCTTCAGACGATCTTCCAAAGAAACCCCACCTACTGTGCATTCATACACCTAAATCGTTATGAAATTGACTGTTACCACTACAGTTTTGCTTATCAGCACTGTGGTTGCAATCGATTTGGATGTTTCATCCAAGGAAAGCATTTGTTCAGCCGCAAGCACCATCGCTAAGGGTGTAATGGACTATTACGAGGGGACACGATACGGCGGAGTAGTTGGCATGTTCCAACAACCATACTATTGGTGGGAAGCGGGTGAAGCCTTTGGCTCCTTATTGGACAATTGGTACTACTGTCAGAATTCCCAGTACCAAGCCGTCATCTCTGACGCTATCATCGCTCAGTGCAACGCCCCGGCCTACGACTTTATGCCTCTGAACCAAACCGTCACCGAAGCCAACGACGACCAGGTCGTGTGGGGTATTGTTGTAATGGCTGCTGCTGAACATAATTTCCCCCTTCCAGACGGGACAGGGGCTTCGTGGGCCGAGATGGCGGAAAATGTCGCGGATTCTATGTTTGCCAGGTGGGATCCAGATAACTGTAACGGTGGATTGAGATGGCAAATTTTCCCCAACATGAGTGGCTGGGACTACAAAAATGCCATTTCGAACGGTGGCTTGTTCCACTTGGCCAGCCGTTTGTACAGATACACCGATGACACGAAGTACTTAGACATGGCCACCAAGGTTTACACCTGGATGGTGGATATTAACATGCTTGACACCAGGCAAAGCCCTTGGGCATTGAACGATGGTGCCAATATTGGTGATGATAATTGTGGAGAGATGGTGAACCACTATTACAGCTACAGCTATGGTTTGATGTTGTCTGGCGCTGCTTACTTATTTAATGCTACCGAGAACGAGGAGTGGTATTCCGCCACTTACAGTCTTTTGATTGCCTCCGCCGATTTGTTCTTTTACGAGTCAGTCATGAGAGAGTACCAATGCTATGTAACTGGTCTCTGTAACAATGACCAGCGTTCCTTCAGATCCTTGTTCTCTCGTTCGTTAGGCCTCACTACCGTCATGGTCCCTCAAACCGCATTCCCGATTAATTGGTTATTAAGCGCATCGGCTAGAGGTGCTGCCGCCTCTTGTTCTGGTGGTAGCGACGGGGTTACCTGTGGCTTTGATTGGAGCAAGGGGTCTTGGGACGGGTGGTACGGCTTGGGAGAACAGATCAGCGCCATGGAGTGTATTCAAAATTTGCTAGCGTCCTCAGCCAGTGCCCCACTCACTCAGCAAGGTTGACAAAGAGGACTAATTTTATCTTGATAACCTTGATTCTTATATTGCACACCATTAAGCATGGTATTCTTCATTCGCTCATATATACATTCTTTTGCATACTCATTTATTTCGGAGTAACTTTCATACACTCTGTAATACATATTTTCTGAAATACGCAAACTAGCCATAAGCAACCTAACCGTCAGGAACCCAGCCGTAAGCAACCCAGCCATAAGCACTAGATTCTATGCGAAATAGATATATTTTTATTATAAAATCCTAGACCTCCGGGAGAACCTTGTGTACCACGAGGTATTCAGAGGCCCGGATGAGAAGCATTTAATGCACCGTAGCTTAGACCCGTCTGAGCCCGAGGTGAGAACTAATAAGGCTAACTAACAAGCATTGGATACATCGTACGTACACGAATTAAGATACGCATATTTGAATCCTAAACCTTCCCAGACCAAAAACAAAAAATACTAAGTCGCTGTGCGAATATGTAGGTTTAATTTGTCCCACCCGCTAAAACCTACCTAGTCAACCCATTAGTACCTAAGCACGATTTAAGCGAGGGTTACAAGGGATATATACCTTTAGTTCCCCGGAATTCGAGCTACGCGCTGATTAGTCGGGCTGCAGTTTTTGCCGCCTACGTGGATGTAAAACAGCACTTTCATCTTCCATGGCAATTATATAAAGCAATTATGTGGCATGTGACACGCGCACTAAGCCTAAATCCCGGATCAGTACTATACACGTGACTTTTCTCACCCCAAAATCGTACATGGTGAGGGGTAACACCAAGGCTTCTGATGCACGAGGGTGCATTAGAAAAACGGGGGAAAGTTCAGCATGTTCGTGCCGCGCACGCGTCACCAGTATAACTCCACCTTCGAGGGCCAAAACACGTAAGCACAAAAGTTTAGTGAACCCACAACACACATTGTGACGTTAATCTTTCTTCGATAAACTATCGAAAGCCTGAAAAAGGATAGAGCCCACTAAAATTTTGTCCTCTACTCTAGTCACAAAGTCAACACAGCAAAAACCCTTTTGTCCTTACCGCTCCACTCTTTGACGCGCACACTTTTTCAAACCACCAACCATGAAGTCATTCTTAACAACGCTTACCCTTTTCATATCCATTTTTGCCACACTCACCCAAGGCTTGGCCCGGTCGGACCTTATATACGTTAGTGCAGTCTTTAAGGATCTTCGGGCAAATGTCGAGCAATACGCGGAGCACCACCGTGATTACCCTGAGGCTCTCATGGTTCCTGAAATTTTCAGATTACTTGTTGATGCCCAGTATCACACAGACGATTCGTTTACCAGTTTGATTCACCCAAGATTCCCTATTGCTGATTTGAAGAACATGGTTGTGAATTTGCCCTGGTATAAGGAGAGATTGATGGGTTCTTTGGTTAAAGCGATGGAGGATATGAACAAAGGCCAATGGGGGACTGTTACCCCGCCACCAGATCCTAACCAAACCTTGGTGATGGCCTCCAAGACTACATCGGAGGAAACAACCGAAACCGAGGTTGCAACGGACCAGTAAGATGGCAGGGGAAGCGAGAAATGACCCAGTATTGGAAATCCCCTGAAATGCTTGGTTTCTACTCAGCTCTTGCGTCCTAAATCATCGGTCCATTCACTTATTTTTATCAACACTAGTTTAACAAATTCACGAGACCGAATGGCCTGTAGAGTTTATTTTGACGCGCACTGAGCTTCTACTCTGTCGCTCCAAAAACATTAGAAACTTCCTTGAGATCCCGCACCACCACCTGTCTGTCATTGACGATTCTCGAGCGAAGCTTACCCATTTGGGACCCAAAGAACCCATGTTTATTCTGCCTATCCACTAAGATGCTGCTCCAGCCAGCATTATATGCAGCTGTAAAATCCTTCGACAACTCATCTCCAATGTGCCAGCACGAACTCGGAGCAACCTCGTCTGGGGTAGCGGCTTGTCTAATTTTATCGAAAAAGAGCTTGTCGGGCTTCAGCACATCCATATCGTAACTGAGGAAAATGTTCTCAGGAGAAAACCATTTCAGAAACCCAAACAGATTGAGAACATCGATGGCGTTACGATCTGTATTGCTAGCTACACCCATTGGGATGTGGTGATGTCTAAGCCAATCCAATAACGGAACAACATCGTCAAAGGAGTCGTAAACTTTCGTGGATTTAAAGTCGGCAAGCAAGTCCTGGACGAAGGTATATGTTGTACTGGCTACCTCACCGCCGTGTGAGAGATCGAACGTATCTCTGATAACCAAGTCCCACCAATCATCCAGCTGGGGTAACCGGATTGGTCCAACAACGTTCTTTCCATAATTGGGATACTTGGAAAAGTTATTCTTGAATGCAGAAAGAAACCTCTGCTCGTATACTTGTATATCTGAACTCTCGGGGATGATTCCGTGTTCAATAGCGAAGGAGCAGTAAAGTTCGTGTATCGGTTTCTTAGGAGTATATAAAGTGCCGTACGCGTCAAAGGTGACAAACATTGGTTTGGCGAGGATGACACCGTTTTTTTGGACTTGCTGAGACATAAACCGGGAAGGCAAGTATCGTAGGGTGCAGTTCTTCATTCTAAGATGATTTCGGGAAGTATGAGGAGGAAGTACAGATGGAGGTGACACCAGTCGAACTTTTCGCTGGATGATCTAAACTTTGGATCGCTGAACGCATACCAGACCTTGCAGGCGTTCCCAAAAGTAACTGAGCCTTTCTTACAGGTCCGAAGGTGGCGTCCACATATATACATAAAGAGGGCTTAGCAGACAGAAGTCGCAAGCGATAGGGCAGACAGTATTTGTGTATTCTTGACTGCTGGGGGATCTTAGAGTTAACGAAATGGACGGAAATTAGTAGGCTGAGAGGGTTAAGAGTATATTTATGGTTTCAAGAATATTGGGACCAAACCTTAGACCGAATAACGAAGAACTGTTAAATTCCGAGTTCCCCGCATCAGGCTACTGGAAGTAACAGAGTATAGCTTATTTAATATATCCTTCTCACGTTTAGAGAAACCTTAACTCCTGGTATACCTTACCTTTACTCTTGTTCGGGCTACAGGCTGACATTAATGTTAAAAGGAACTGGAAAGTTCGTAGTATAAAAAAACTATATCCCGGATAACGTCGGTTGGCGTTCATATGCACGGTATAAAGCATTTACTCCATTTATTACGGATTCTTAAGTGATTACCGCCTGTGCAGCTTCCTACAGGTGTGTATTACGCTCAAACCTGGAATATTCAAACTTAGAGTAATCCCCCAATTAACGAACGTGCTATTTTGCCCTTTATTGAATTTCCTCGCTCCCGTATTTCTTATTAATCCCCATGATGTCGCAGACTTCTAATTTAAAGATATTGCTTACCTCTACCACCTAACCGGAGATGGCTAAGCCTATACTATCCGAGAAGCTTAAGAACACCAACTTTCACAAAGGATGCTTGGCGTGCGAGAAGAGACCTAAGTGTGACGAAACAAAGCCTGGGTGTCTCAACTGCAAGAAGAAAATCTTCAATACGGAGCCTATGCGATTTCCTTCAAGTGGAAATCTTTCTGTGACAATGTGACCAGCCTTACAGCCTCTGTGCCATCGAAACAATTCCGTGGAAAGCCTATGTCAAACTCTAATTGAGGATATGCACCTAGATGGCGCTCCGTTCATAAAGAAGCCTGGGATGCAATTTACAACAGAGTTCCGATTTGCTGAAATATTTAATAGCGCAATGGAGACAGTCACCATCTTAGTAACGGGAGAGACTACGAAGGAGATTTCTAAGCGCTCCCGGCGTATGTCTGAGTATCGAGCCCCAGCCTCTCCGTTTGACGACGATAGACCGATGTCATTGAGAAGCAGCTTAATGTCCACATTCAAAAGATGCGCAGGGCACCACATCAGTTCAGACATCCTGAAGCTGGAAAAAGCCATTCTTTATGCCACGGCAGAACCAAAATGATCAAGGAGGGCTTATCTCAGGGCACACCGGTCACCAGCTCGAGCATGCCTTCTGTTGACCCCATTTATGACTCGTTTAACGAGATATTGAGAAGCACATATGTGAGACAATTACGGAAAACTTCCAGCAGCTACACAGATGCCGGGACTAGCCCCTTACCCCCAACTCCCGTGGCAGAGGACCATAGTGGAATTTTACCAGACATGGAATGTCCAGATCAGTCCATAGGAAGAGGGACGACTCACTCGACTTCGGGCGATGGCGGCATCCTACCAAATTGTTTCTCTTACACCCCTTCACCAACACGCCACTACCCTGCCATGTCGATGGTAAAAAATGGTTCATCGATGATGAACTCTAGCGGAAGTGGCCGTTAATGAGCTGATGGGGCAGTTTCCGACCAAGGACATGATAATTTTTAGTCCATCACCCCGTCTCTTTGCAGATGGAAATTCACCCAGACAGCATCCCGTCTTCATCTTTTCTAGACGAGCTTCTCAGACAGGCGCAAAGAATACCAGACGAACAAGCCTATGTAGTTTGGTGCTCTTATCGCAACATACAAGCATTCCCATCAGAAATAGTCACAAGTATGCCTACCCTGGCGAGCCCAACGTCTTCAGCGCTGATCAGAGCGTTTACCGATTTTGACCCGCCTGGATTGTCTCTGATCAGGCCCCCTGATTTGTGGTTCTCGCCTTCACTGCGATCGGGAAATTATCAGCCACGGGGCTCTACTTTTGACACTTCCAAGAACCATATGAGTATTCCCCCGGTGATTACTAGCGACTACGAACGCATCCTTACCTCCTTCGGCGAAAACAGGTACAGGCTAACGTAGATGAAGAACAACCCGACGGAGAATCCTTGGCGGACTTTATCTCTCCCGCTTGTCCAGAAGTACCCCGTGGTTTACTCAGCCATTTCCCCCATAACGTGCTTCCACATTGCACGTAGCGACGACGATATCCGTGCTGCGGGAATGGGGCACATGCGCGACGCGGTTATACGGTCGGAGGAGGGATTGAAGGAGGAGTCGCCCCCTGCTGACATGGCGCTTGTGACATGTTTGGCTTTGGCGGTCAGTGTGTGCTGGAACTGCCATATTTCTACCGGTATTACGCACTTGAAGGGAGCGAAGAAGAAGATCCGACAGGTGTTGAGCACGTTAAACCGGGTCAGGCCGGTGTACACCCCGAAGAGCGTGCAATTTTTGCTCAACTGCTGGATGTACTTTGAAGTCATGGCACTCATCACCTCTGAGGGAGACAATGAGAGGCTATTTTTGCAAGAGACCACTGATACCGAGGGCGACAGACATCGGGTCTCGCTCATTAACAAATTTAAGTATCTACAGACGTCGATCCGTTGCTTGGGGTGGCGCAGTCTCTATTTCCGATTATAAATGAGGTAGCATCGTTGGTGGCGCATATCTGCCATACTAACCAGCCGAAGGACCTACCTGCGAATATTTCGTGTGCTGCTGACTTGAAACGGCACTTGCAAATGTGAATGCCGTCAATCAACCAGCGCACGGCCGAGGTGGAGGACTCGGCGTGGGATTTACCTTCCTGTATTGCCTTAACCGGGGTCTACCGCTACGCCATGTTGCTCTACTTGCACCAGGCAGCACCAGAGCTTCCGTCGCTTCTGTCGCACGAGCCTGCGGAAAAGATGCTCACGTTCCTTGCATCGATTCCCACACACACGTCGTACCTCTATCCGTTGTTTATCGCGTCGTGTGAAGCCGCGCCGGGTGACGAGCGGGAGTGGGCGCAGCAGCGTTGAGAGGACTTGGCACGCAACTTGTGGATCAGCAACGTCGCAAAGACAAGTGAAGTCATTCGCGAAGTTTGGGCGCGGAAATATAGACGTGAGGTTTCAGATACCGTGTCCGTGGGAAGCAATATCTCTGGAGAGACGCTCAATCAGTACGCCGGCACGTGCGCGGTAGCTCTCTCCGTAACGGCTGTCACTGGAGCACCGTCAAGAAAGAGTGGGGATGGGAGGTGTTGCTTGCGTAGAATGGATCTCGATAAAAACTAGCAGTGTAATATTGTAGATAATGGTGCATGGAGAAGCGATTCACTTGAAGTTGAAGCCGTGGCCGGGAACGGTGGTACGCATTGGTAGTACCTGGTTACCTACACATCCATCTGTGGCAGATAACCGCATTTATGCTATGGCGTTCCGGAAAAACTATACATCTTCCCCGACAGCCCTCGATTGCTGTGAACTCGCTTTTTTAATTCTTTCTCGGCTTGGCAACTCCATCCCAGATGAAGTAATACACGACGGTACCGTCGGTGTTGAGGATCCCGCCGATCACCTTCTCCGGCCGCACCCCCGCCCTCCGCTCGGCAATTTCGCGAAAGATCCCATCAAGGGTCGCCAAGGTTAACTTTTCACTCACAAGCAAGGGCAAGACGTATTCCTGGTCACTCAACACGGTGGAGGAATCCGTGGCTATTACTGAAGTGGGAGGAGGAGCGCCGCACAATACGGTTCGGCTGGATAGGACAACATCCTCCACGGCGGTCCACAAGTTGTAGTGCACGAGGTTGGTGGCGACAATTTCAGCGAGAGACGTCATAGGAACGAGCTAGCTTTGAAGGGTAAAACTTTAAAGACGCAGAATGTGAAATGTATCGAATATCCGCGTGAAATACTTGTAAGAAAAGGTTCTGTAGGAAAATAATTAAAATTGTCCTGCAACAAACGAATTACGAGAAGCGATCACAGTGAAAGCTATGATCACGTGTTACGTACTTTGATGTCTCGGATGCTTTCACCGGTTTATAACAGGCCATGAAACACCTCAAAACACATTCTAACGACTCATTAATAGAATTAGAAGTTAATTCATCCAAAATAAAGACCCTTTTTCGGTTTATAATGCTTTATATGTCGAATCTGTTGTTTCCCTTGCTAAATCGTATCATTTAGAGTATATCGGAAGAAAATATTACCGCGCGGTTGAGAGCGCGATTGAGTGCGCGATTTTTTCCGATTCATTCTGGTCCATATACAGGTAGCCTTTTTGTTTTCCCACCTCCACTGGACCCATTTATTCCATTCATAATGAAGATTGCCTTATTTGCGGTAGCCTTGGGTCTCTTAGACTGCGGGTTGTGCTCTGAACCCCTCCCAACTCCTGCGCCGTTGGAGAAGCGTGCTAAGAAGGTGATTGATCGGAGAACCACCACCACTTCCACCACGGAAGCCTTGCAGGCGTGGCGTAGAACCATTTACGATACGGTGGTAGAGTTGGTCCACCCAACGGTCGTTGCCGGTGTGACTTTTAGCGCCAAGCCGCCAGCCACCACCGATGCCATGGCGTTCTGGGTGTCGTTGAACAAGGATGGGACGCCAAAGACGATTAAGCCTAAAAACAAAGGTGGGATCATCAAAAACTCTTCTCCAGGCTATTCCACGTGGTTTCAGACTCCAATGACCACCACACTCAGCTTCGAGGAGGTCAAGGCTCACAACATGCTGCCAGATGAGAAGCACGTGGAGGTGAGCTACACGCCAGAGGACGAGACCTATGTGCTGTTGATCCCGATCATCCGTTGCACGCCTGAAAGATACTTCAAGAAAGGTGTCGCAAAGAATGTGGTGTCGGCACCTTTCTGTACCCCGCAACAGGACGTACAATGGCGCACGGAGAAGACGTACTTCCTCACGTGGTACTCCAAGTTCTTTAATACAGATGTCACCAATGTTAGGGTCCATTTGGCGTATATCACAGAGACGCGTTCCGAAAAGGGCATGGCCAAGCGTGGTATTATCGACCATAAGGACGCTGACGTGGAAGACAGACCGATGACTGGTATTGCCAGTGCCTTCTACTCGTCCTCATGGGTCAGAAACCAGGACGGGATTATCCCAATCTATATTGACGAAAAGTGGCTAGTCAACACGTACTCCTATTCCAAGGTGATCATTGGTATTCAGCCGGACGACATGTCAGACGAGGATTTCGACTTCCATACCAACAGCATCAAGGTCAACATCTCCAAGACTGCCAAGGTGGCTAAGAACCCGAAAGGGGTGCTCAAGGAAGAGAACAATTCAGGCGATGACGTCTATTACATCATTATGGCTCTTCCTACCGTGGTCATCCTCGCGGCCCTCGGCATGTATGTTTTCCTCTGGATGACCAAGGGCGACAGAGACCTCTCGCACTTGAAAAAATACCGCGGCAAGTTCCAGAAAGTTGGCAGAAACAAAAAATACGATAAGTTGCCACAGTTTGAGGACATTCCGATGACCAAGAAAAACGTCAGCAAGCAGCACTAACGTAGAGTCTTTTAATAGTACGCTAACTGATTGGTTGTAGCTTGGCATGGGTGTGAGCAGTGAGCCGTTCGCAGAACTTGGTGGCTTCCTGTGACCACCACGTCGTTAGACGGTGCCTACAGCAACGTATACCGCCTGAAGACTCACCCGCTAAAGACAACACGAGCTGGGACAGATACTGGTTTTACAGCAACTGAGAGGTTAAGTAAGGTTTAGCAGACCCCTATGTACAGAAGATAAACGAAGCATAGTTTATAATACTGTTTTCTTCCGAGAGAAAATAGCAAAAACCTGGTATACGGTGATTTGGCCATGTTTTTATTGCTTTTATTGCCACTCCGTATAAACGCCAATGTGATATCCTGCACATACCGCATAATTTTTCTGACATGCATTTACAAATACAAATACCTGATTAGATATTAACCTGAGAAGGCAACTCTTATACCCAACATCTATATATACTCAACATGTCCGAAAGAAAAGTTATTAACAAATACTATCCACCTGACTATGATCCAGCCAAGGTGGCCAAAGTGAAGAAACCGATCAAAACGGGGTTTGCGGCGTTGCCGACGGTGCGATTGATGATACCCTTCTCCATGAAGTGCACCAAGTGCCTGGAATACATTGCACGGATGAAAAAGTTCAACGCCAGGAAGGAAACCACCAAGGAAACGTATTTGGGGGCCAAGATCTACCGTTTTTACCTAAAGTGCCCCCAGTGCTACAACGAAATCACATTCAAGACCAACCCCAAGGACGGAAACTACTTGCCCGACAAGGGTTGTATCAAGCTATATGAGTCTGCACTGGAGCCCAGCGTGGAGGCCCAGAGTAAAGTCGAGTCGATGGATGATATTCTAGAGCGCTTGGAAAACGAAGACAAGGAAGATAAAAACTACAAAGAGGAGCAGAAACTCCGGGCAAAGAACAGCGGTATGTTACCCGCGCCCAAATTGAAAGACCAGGAGGGAGACCTAATGGAGAATATGGAAGCGAGATTGGACCAACAACAGCACGAGCAGGATGTGATGGACCAGTTAGAGGAGATCCAGGAACGGAACGCCAGGGTTTCGGCCAATACCGAAGCCAACGTGCTTCAGCAGATGCGGTCGGCCGTTAAAGAGTCTCAGATAGCCGTAGGCCAGCGTGATGATGAGATTGCAAAACTAGCGTTCCAGACTAAAAGCAGCGCTGAGACCCCGGTGAGCTTTAGGCCTAAACCGTTTAGGGTCAACAAACCTAGCGTTTTGGGGTTGAAGAAAAAAGGAAGTGCGTTGGGGGTTATCGTGAAACGAAAGGCTTAAATGCAGGCTATAGGTTTCCACCGGGTTTGTTACAGACATGAGGTTTCATTTAGATGAAATGAGACTTTAGGTATTCTCTGCTTGCGTGTTAAGTAGGGGTATTTGGGATAGTTGCCATTGTGGTGATGTCTACGGGTCTCCTCGCATACCGACTATTCTGGTGCAAGCTGTAACAGAGTTGACCCTAAATAAAATATAAACAGACAGTTTCTGATTTAGAGAAAGAATAACTTTCAGTGCTTATTGTCAGGGGTGCGTACGCATTGAAAGGCACGTTGAAGGTAAGATAAAGTGTAATGCTTGCCAATACAAGCTACCATTCTTTACAAACCTAGCCACTTGCCTGAGAATAATAGTATTTTAAAAATAAGCTACATGTAACAAAATACGAGTAATTGAGAAATTCAGTCAGAATGTGGTTGTAGAACATATATGCTTACCACACCATCCAGATGGAGCCACCAAGCAACCCTGCTAAGACCACAGCGGTAAGAATACCCGCACCGGCTTTGTCTCCGCCTGTGATGGTGAGCTCATTTTGATTCAACGTCACTAGTTTAGTGCTACCAGCATTAACATTACCTACTGAACTGCCACCGGTGTTGTTCTTATACGGCGCTGGAAGTTGACTGACCAACAAGTTCTGCATCACTTCCAAGGCACACATCTGTTCTCCCAAACCATACTTTCCATCCCATCCAGGAAATGTCCAATCGAGACCACAGGTGTGACCATCACTGCCACCGGAACACGACTGAGCAGCACCCACGGCAGATTTAGTGAGCAAGCCCATAATATCTTCATGGGTAGATGGAATCAACACAGCAGTCAACCCCAAACATCTGGAGAAAATGGACTTGAAAGAACGTTGATCGTTATCACACATACCCGCTGCCTGACAGTACTGTTCATACATGATCGAATTGGAACTGTTGAAGAATAAGGATGTAGCCGACAGCAATAAGTCATGAGCACGTTCCATCCAAACCTCATTCTCGGTGTAGTTGTACATGTAAGCACAACCAGCCATATAGACCCCATAATTGTAACTCCATTCAATCTTGGTAAATTCTGTGCAATTTTCTTCGATGTTGGCACCATCCCAGATTTGCCACACAGAAGTCGAGTTATGGATGAAACCAATCTCGTTGGACCAGTCCCACACGATTTCCGCGGTATCCCCGTAGGTTGCATTATCCGTGTATCGAGCCAAACGCGCCGCCATCAAGAACAAGCCACCATTAGAAATGGAATTTTTGTAGTTGTAGCCGGAGTTGTAAGAGAAAATCTGCCATCTTAACCCACCATTACAGTGTTCCGGGTCCCATCTGCTCCACAT